GTTGAAAGATCTTCCTTCCATTCTACCTCCAAGAGCCACCAGTAAACCTGCAGTTTGGAAGGTTATATGAAGGAGCTTGATAATTTAGGGTTTTATACGTAAGAAAGAGAATTTAGAATTATTTTTTTAACCAAGAGCCAATGAAAAAAAAAATTTAAAATTGTAGAAATCTGGCCTTTTTATTATTATTTTGATCAGAACTCTAGCTGGAACCTTTTGGATCAGGTGAAGACTTTTGTGGACTTCCTGATAGTAAAGAACTACAATAGACCAGCCTTGAAGTAACCAATGCATGGGTATTTTTTCTGCGTCATTTCTGCTTTAGCAATTTTTTCGACTTAGGTTTTACGTTGGATTTATATGGGAAATCCTGATAAAAAATAACAGTTTTTTTTACTTTAATACAGTGTTTCCACGGGTCATTAAAAATAATTAAAAGTCATTAAATTATTATTTTTTTAAATTAAGGCCTTAATTGGCATTAAAATTCATTAAATGTGTTTATTGTGGCATTTAAAATGCTTTATTTAAAAAAAAATGTTTATAAAAACAATTTCGTCAGACATATTATGTGACAATATATTTGCGTGGAAATGCTTCCGGTTGATCGCAAAGCTGTATGTTCAGAAAAGAAGCTTGAGTCGGAGAAAAAGCTAGAGAATGGGGGGGGGGGCAATTTAACAGCATTCAGATAAGGATGCTGATCAAGCCATGCCTGTTGTCTATCTATAGCTGAGTATCATCAGCATAACAGTGGAAATTACCAGCATGCAGTGTGAAATGACCTTTAATTCCATCGGTTCTTTCCAGTTTGATCATTTGTGTTGTATAAGCAAACCCCTTGTAATGAGGCTAAACTTAAGATATGTTTGAAATCAGCCTGGAGCTACTAAATATGCATCATTTTAAAAAGAGCACCCATGGCCAGAAGCGTGTAAAATAAGCAGGAGAAGAAGGCCACAATTTGGAGGGCAGCTCTGGACGGATAGATTGTGTTTTCCATGTTTACCTTGGCTGAAGCCAGCCCAGTCACCGCTTTATTAAGGCAGAGCGATGTGAAGGGGGTCTGAAGAGCCAGAGCCGGAGAATAACTGACAGGAAAATTGCAGAGGGAAATTATTGTTATTCCACAATTAAATTATATATAGTGGGTAGAATCACCCCTGACAGGGCTGAGGATGTGTGTTAGAGTGAGTGTGAAACTGGATCTGTCCACCAAGGCCAGTGAGGCTGCACTGGCAGGGAGGAGGGCTGAGACGTGAATTAAAGAGAAGGAGAAGGGAGCAAAAACAGCCTATTTCTGATCCGAGTGGGTGTTAGAAAAAACACTGCTTAACCCCTCGGTAATTAAGTTATTTTGAACAGTTATGACGACAATACGGGAAGTAAAATAAACCATGTTTTTGTTTTGTGCGTCTGATACCCCGAATGTTTGGGTCGATTCAGAGAAACATTGTTTAATCCCGGATCGGCTCCATTTCTCAGGGTGAAATCGGTCCTTGTCGGTGTCAGGAAGCATTAAAAACACGCTGTCAGCTGTGAAAAATGAACCGGTTTCAAATACAAAAAAATGAGCACTCGGCCGTCATTCTTCTTCTACCAATGATTCTTTGAATACACACAGTTTCGGGTGATATGTAAAGTAAACTGTCTCTATTTTCTACCAAGTAAAATTAATGATCCGTGAAAGTTGGGCAAAAACAGAAAGAGGAGCTGAGCTGGTCGCCGGCTTTTACCAAAATAAACTCTGTATTTTTAATCTTTTCTCTTTTTTTTTTTTTTTTTTTTTTGCTTCCAGTGGTTTTTTTTTTGTGTGTTGAAACAAGAATAAAAATGTAGCTTGAAATAATGATCTTTAATAAGGTAGGGTGACCATATTTTCATTTTGAAAAACCAGGACACCTTGGAGCGGGGGGGCGGCGGCGGGGGATCTCTGTTCCCATGCATAGGCCTAGGTAATCCTACAATAACATGATATTAACAGTTGATTTATTAAAAATGCTTTTCAGTAAAAAGTCAACAGCAATAACTCCAATAACAAATGATAATTTTATTCAAAATGTATTTATTAAAAATGCTTAACAATTCCTGTAATGAATTAATAGCACAATGAAAGAAATAATGTCTCATCTAATCATCCCTCACTTAACAATAAAAGTTAACAATAACTCTCAACTCCCAATATGATGATACTCAGCCTCAGCAATGAACAAAATAATGTCTGTTCTGTAGGTTATTGGAAAATATAAACAAATGAGCTAATTAACAAAAAATACCTCTTTTGTAGCAAAAATAATTCAAAATGTACCAAAAACGAACAAAAACATATCAATAGAACATCTTGACTTTCGGTGTCCAGGTGGCTTTTCAGATCCCTTGCACCTCCATTGGACACCGAGACATATGTGCCTGCTTTGCAAACTGTGCACAAGGTCTCCCATTTGTCTCGACCCGGTCTGAAAGCGGGGAAACTCTTTTGTAAATCGTCGGTAAACATACATTTGTGCCTTTGCATGTTGTTGGCGTACTGACAGCCAAGCTATCTATATTCTGATTAAGAACGGGGCACCCGCACTGGCGCGGCTCAGGGTTGATGTCACACGCAGCGTCGTGCGCAGTGCCCTAGCGTCTGTAAATTTAATGGTCCAATGACGGTAATTTAAAAAATAGGACATTTCCTCACTTCCTAAAAAAAAACCCGGGACGCCCAGGACAGGATGTGAAATACGAACATGTCCTGGGAAATACGGACGTTTGGTCACCCTAAATAAGGGGAATTTTTCATTCCTGTATTAGCCTTTGGACCTAGTTTTATCTTTATTGAAACCATTTTTTTATCCATGCACAATCAACTAGAATATTAATATAAAATAAAAATGTCTTCAGATCTTTATTTATTACAGCATGAGACTAAATTTCACTTTGAAATATCTATGCTCCATGTCAACAATTTAGAGCGAAGGTTTTGATTTCTACATTTCTGAAAGCTTAAATAATAGGATACGCGTTAGCATTTAGCAGCTTGTACCAGTCTGTCAGTAACCTCCCAGAGGGAATTCATGTTTCATGAAAACTTGATGAAATCAATAGGTCTGGTGTGTCTCCAACACACCGGGGGATGTATTCACATTTGCAGTATTCACAGACGGTCCTGTTTTCCAGTCCTGTGATGAATGAGATGTTGCAGATTGTGACGCAGTGATCCCACTGACAGCAATGACCGGTTCTGAGTTAAAAAAACGGAGAGTAGGATTCATCTTTTTAATTTTGGAGCTTGAAACATCACATATTACTTTGGGAGATTGCTGCATCTCATTCCTCTTATTTGAATCTTTCTTAAGCAGAGAGTCTGGCAGAACAAAGATCCTGGACCCTTAAGTCCTTCTTTACTTTGTATTTTGCTCGTTCACCAGGTGCTGCAGTAGCAGCTAAACAGATCAGCAATCTCATTACTCTATCCTGTAAACTTTGCTTTTTATCAATGTCCTTTTTTATTTTGGGATACATTAAAACATTTTTTAGTATTCAGTTTAGAGTTTTCTGACAGCCGCATGGTTTTGTGTTTAACTCCTGGTTCAATCTGGGTGCCAGTGGATCTTTGGGGTTTTTATCACATCACCCAAGTTTGATCCTACTATGTAAAAAATCTGGATATTATTTCTAGATAGTGGATAGGATTATGTTTCCCTGGATGTGCTCAGCATGTGAAAGCTAAAGAGAATTGATTTAGACTAAAGCTATGAGGAGACTGACCTGAGCAGGAGCTTAGGAAAAGGCATTCAATGTATTTAGCAAATAAGTAGAAAAACATCCCAGAGTCTGGCAGCCTATGTTTTCTTTTAAATTATATCTGCTTATATATATGATAGAGCTCACTTAATTTATAGGATAATTTTTTTAATTAAAATTTGTGATGTCCATCTTTACTTTTTGACCGATGCTTTCTGTTAATGGAATGTCTCTGAGTTCAATATTTTATTTCACTGGTATCTAGATTTATTTGTATTTTAGTCCCCAAACAGGTCAACTCTACCTTAAAATGCATTGAAAAGGTGAAAGTCTGGATGGTTACCTAAAAAGATCTGACGAGAAGATCTCCTCCTCATCTCCAGAAACTTTACCTCCAGTGTTTCATTGATCCTTTATCTAAAAGCAAAAGTTACGATTTCCTAAATAGATCAACTGCGTGTTTAAGATATTTTTCCTTCTATCTTATAATCATTACAAAGTCACCTCTCTCTGCTTCAGTCACCTTTAGGTTAAGTTGCTGCAGCTCTCTGTTCTCTGCTGGTGGCTCAGATTCAAGTCGCACTCAGGTCACTAAAGAAAGTCTTACTGATGACTTAGACTCAAGATTTGAAGAGACATTTACCTGGTAAAAGGACTAGTCAGCATCTCTGCAGGAGGTTTTGCATCCTGCATCCAGACTTCAGAACCAGGGAGATCTTGAGGTGGTTTAATATGGCTCCAATTTAAAGATTCTATTAGATTTTTGTTTTGTTTTTCCCTTTTCCCATCTGTAAACTTCATGATCTGTCCATTTTATATTTACTGAGTTCTAGATTAGTGAAAGGGAGGGTCATGCATTTTCTGCAATGCTCTGAAGACTGAAATAGTAGGCTTTTCCCACTTCTTTCTTTTTCTTCTCCTTGGCTTTTGATTGTTTTATTAACTTCATTATAACATGCTATTGTTCATGTTGTATAATATTTCATGCGTTGGTAGGGACATTGTCCTTTAGATGTTTGTGTCTGTATATAATGATTCATTGTACAATACTTAATCAAGCCTTTTTTGTATTAAATGTTTTTGAATAAAATTGAAAGATTAGGGTAGGTTCTTGAAGTTGCACTGACACCTTTAGAGAAAAATGGGTAAGAATATAAAGCCCAGTGTTAGGGAAACGGGATAGATCAGGTTTAACATCCCAACAGTGTAAGAATAAAAATAGAGAGATTATTTAAAAATCTGTTTCTCTTTCTGTCTTTTCTTTCTTGCAGCACCCTCAACAACAACAACATCACTCTTATCCCACTGTCAAGCTTTAACCACATGCCCAAGCTGCGGACGCTGTGAGTAAATCCCCCCCACACACACACAAACACACATTTATCTTTTAATGGTGTTTTATATAATATTTTTCCAAGAGTTTTAGACCTTGTCTGCATGTTATTTGTGCCTTCTGAGTCTGCAAAATTTGACCCTTCTCAGCTTACTTCTATTGGTTTAATGCTCTGCTGTTCTTTTTCTGTAACATAAACTTTTTTTTTTTACCCTAAAGCTACAACTATATAGTCTCCTAAGCGCTTCATTCCTGCTATTCGGTTTCATTTCACCATGGTTACATCATTTAGGTTTCTTTTTTGTCTTTTTCATGATATTGTTAATTTATTTGATGGACTTGTTTAACCAGAGGAAAATGATATTGGTCAATCTCAAGGATATCATGATGTCCTGCTTTATATGATTGTTTCTCTGCACAAAAAAAAAGGATTTTTATCTAACATTAAATAAATGAAAATCAATGTGTTAAAAATTATTTATAACAAATTTTCCATAAAATAATTAAATTTCCAAAATGGAAATGGAAGACACCTCCTAAGGTAGTTGAGAATGACCGAGCTAAGATCCTGTGGGACTTCAAGATCCAGACTGACAAACAGGTGATGGCTAACCAACCAGACATCGTGTTGATGGACAAACAGCAGAAGAAGGCAGTAGTGATAGATGTGGCAATCCCAAGCGACAGCAACATCGAGAAGAAAGAACACGAGAAGCTTGAGAAATACCAAGGACTGAAGGAGGAGCTAGAAAAGATGTGGAAAGTAAGAGCAGCAGTGGTGCCAGTGGTAATTGGAGCACTGGGGGCTGTGACCCCCAAACTGGGAGAGTGGCAACAGCAGATTCCAGGTAAAACATCAGAGGTCTCTGTCCAGAAGAGCGCAGTCCTAGGAACAGCTAAGATACTGCGCAGAACCCTCAAACTCCCAGGCCTCTGGTAGAGGACCCGAGCTTGAGGAGGACACATATCACCCCACGAGGGGTGAGAAAACAGTTTTTTATCAAGATTTATCTATTAGGTTTAAGATTTATTGTTTTGTTTATTTGATTAATGAAACATTTATTCAGATACATTTTTTATTGAATTCAGTTCATAACGTATTGATTTCCATATATCTGTGATTATGTAACAATTTTTTTCTAGAATCTTTGGTTTTTATTCCAGATTTATATAATTATACAGTCTTTAGAAATACTTCTATTTTCAGATTTATCGAATTTTATTACAAGACAAATTTCCAATTACTGTATTTAGATAATTTTAACACAAAACACCAAAGCTGGAAACTGAACAGTACTGGAAAGCCATATGGAGAAGGAGGCAGCACAGTGGTTGGTCTCTCTGAGAGAAGACCAGTGGCAGAAATCCAAGAAAGAGTCTCAGGTATGAAGAACTGGACAGCATCAGGCCCCGACATGATACACACCTACTGGCTTAAGAAACTCAATGTACTCCATGAACGCTTGGCAGCACAAATGAACCAGCTGCTGAGAGATGGGAACCACCCTGAATGGCTAACCGGAGGGCACACAATCCTTATCCTGAAGGACCCCTCAAAGGGTACAGTCCCATCCAACTATCAGCCCATAACTTGCCTCTCCACAACATGCAAGCTCATGTCTGGGATCATAGCAGCTAAGATCAGTGGGTACATGGATCAATACATGAGCACAGCTCTGAAGGGAATTGGTAAAGATACCAGAGGTGCCAAACATCAGCTCCTGATAGACAGAACAGTCGCTAGAGACTCCAGAACCCAAAACACTAACTAGCACTGCCTGGATTGACTACAAGAGAGCCTACGACTCAATGGACTTCCAGATACAGACAGACCGAATGGTAATGACAAAACAACCGGACATTGTGTTGGATGACAAAAAGCAGAGTAAAGCATTTGTGGTTGACATAGCAATACCAAGTGACTGCAACATCAGGAAAAAAGAACCTGAAAAACTAAAGAAATACCAGCCGCTCAGAGGTCGAGGCATCAGTGGTACCCGTGGTCATTGGGGCATTCAGTTCTAGGAACAGCAAAGGGGCCTCTGGTAGAGGACCGGAGTTTGGAGGAAAAAGGGGGGGAGATCACCCACAATGGGTGAGGAAGAGTTTTTTTTTTTACTTGTAATTATATATAGATTTTCTTCCATTAAAGAAAATGATAAATTCACACTGGCTATTAAAATAACACAAAACTTAAAAAGTCATAATAAATAAAATTTGACTAAATAATAACTTAGTAAAATCAAATATTGATTTTAAGTTTTCCCTTTAAAGTAATAATTCAAAAAAAGAATAACTGCCTCTGACAAATTAAAACATTGAATCAACATACCTGTCAACAGGTGCAAAGTCTCACTGAAAATTTCCTGAACTGTACAGAAAACTATCTAGATTTTTTCTATCTTTAATGGAAGGGTATGTCAACTTTCAGGCACAACTCTACATTTTACCCTGTTTCATTATTGACGTGTTGCACATATCTGACAAGATTATACCAGAGAAATAACCTTTGTTCAAGATTTGTAAAGTGTAATTAGGGTCCCAAAACTAAAATATTGCTTAGGGATCTTTATATTCTAATTGTGGCTCTGTGCCAAGCAGTCACCAAGACCTTACCTTGATGGTAAATGTCACAACTGTCCCACATTAAGAACCATTTTTTTTTATTTAGATGTTTAACATAATATTTCCCCATTAAAGTCCATCATATGAAATATTTGCTGCTGCATGTGAACATCCTTGACCAGAGAGGTCAACCCATTGACTATTCAGCAGCAGTACCTGTGTCACACACACAAACACACCAGTATCACTACAACAAAGCTATATTTAGGCCCTATAGATGGATAAGCTTTGATTAGTTTAAACTGATCCTCTGCTGATGTTGCAGATGTGAGATCAATGCTCTATAGGGACCCTACTGTTGTAGAAATTAGTTCTAATTCTCATCATGCCAATGGCACAACATTTTTAAAAAGCATCTTCTAGTGAGTCTGAGTCTAGAAAGAAAAATAGTTTATTAGTTTCATGTTAAATATACTAAACAAATGTCAAGATAGCAGGGACTGCTTCCTTCATAGACGTTTCTAAAAGCTTCCTCTGTATCTGCTTAGGTTTACTCTCAGAACTCGTGGAAACATGATGCAGTTAAACACATGCTAGATAATGCTCCTTCTCTCGGTCCCCACTGAGCTGCAGCCATCCACACAAACCTGGTTTTCTGCGTCTGGAGCAGCAATCCAGGCTGAAATCATGCCTTGGAAATTGGATTTGAGGCAGCAGCATGGCTGCACTGTGCCAGCAGATTGGGGGCAGAGTTACCAATATCCAATATGTTTTAATCAGACGGTCTCTGCTGCTTCTGTTTTCTTTCAACTCAAAGTGAATGTCTCCTGTGATTTGCTTGTTGTTCCTCGTTCTGTTTGCTCCTGCTCAGTGTTTCTGAATCTCATCTCAAATTTGATTTGCCTTCTTTGCTCCTTTTCCTTGGTGCTCCCTCATGAGATCATCTCTGAGATGTTCTCTGGTCTTAGGATTCTTTTGCCCTCCACCAGGCTTATATCTTAGTTTGGCTTTTACTCCCCAGTTGTTTTGTCAATTGCACTCCTAGTCTCTCATTTCCACCCTCCTCCTTTTCCTTTCTCTTACTTTACATTCTGTCCTTTAGTCTTCATATTCTTATTGAATATTTGTTGATTTGGGAAATAAAAGGTTTAGAGTTTATCTGGATTTTATGGATGAAGTGGGAGAACAATGATAAAGAGTCAGAAGATTCCTCTGACTTAATTTTTTTTTAGATCTGCCTACATCAGCTTTGAACAGCTACAGACTCTGTTTCTTCTTGGTGGATCTCTGCCGCTCCTCCAAAGTTACCATGGTCCTCTGGGCTACTTCTCTGATCAATGCTCTGCTTGTTCTGTCTGCCAGTCTAGGTTGACACATAGTTCTTGGTAGGTGTGCAGGTGGTCCTTCTTCTCTCAACGTTCAGATGAGTGATTATCCGGAGATCTGAGATGTTCAAAGTTAGGGAGATTGTTTTGGAACCTAACCCCTAACTCAACCAGAACCTCCCTCCTGTGACCCTTCTGATGGGTCCCATGATTTTCATGATGCTGGTTGGTCTTTTAAGTTCTCTGGGGAACCTCTCAGGCCAAAAACAGAACATCCGCAAATAGACACAGATTTAATAGATCGCAACAGGACTGTAGTTACTGACTCTGTGACCTCTGATCTTGAACATCACCTGCAGTCACTCATCTTAGCAACAACCCCAGCCACCCCCACCCCCGCCGTCTTCCTTTCTCCCCTGAGTTTTAATCCTACTTGTCAGTAATTAAGGCGAAGCAGGAGGTGGGCCAGGATGTGGCTATCTGTACGCTGGGATTTGACTATAAACTGGATTTATAATAGCAAGGCGGTATTAAATCCTGCTGCCCCCGCTGCTAGCATCAATGAGAACATCTCTACATCTCTGTTCTATAACCGGATTTGTCCTCTGCTTTATTACAAAGGGAGGCCTGTCTCCTGAAAGGCCAGATACCCTGGCTGGCACATAATACGCTGACAAGACATTCTGCTTTTTATCCGCCCTCCTCCCCCTCCTAGTCTCTCTGCAGCCTGTGCAGAGGCTCAGCTCGACTCTTTGCAGCAACACCTGATGCATTCTGTGTCGAGGAGCAACTTTAATTGATGCAACACGTTAAATTTGAGGAGCTGGTTAGCGGAAGATGCCACTTAGGATTACATTCAAATCAAAGTCAAAGCTTTCAGTGCCTCCTTCAGTCAAATGATGCTGTTAAGAGGTTCATCTAGATAACTTAAGGGCCAATTTGTGCAATTGCTTTTCAGGATCTGAGCTTTGAATCAGGATCTTTTCTTGAATTATTAAATAAAATTAAACCACCAGCAATGTTTGGTTGAAACTGCCTCAGATTTGCTTTGTCATCGTTTTGGAGTGTTTAGCTGTTTAGTTGAAGAAGAAAAAGCTTTTAAAAATCATCTGCTGCTGATCTGAACAATATGCAGCTTGTTTTTCACATATAAAACAGCCTTCAGATAATCTTAATAATTCCCTGCACTGTTGTCATTTTCTTTATAAATAAAAGTACATTGGGTCTCAATGGCAGTTTTCACATGTAAATGTAAATGTTTAAAGATTACTTAAGTTAAAACCATAAGAAATTCCATAAATGGTGTTCAATATGCTATCCAAATAAAAGACTTGAAAATTTCTCTTTAATCATTTCTTTCCCATCTTATTTCTACTTTCTATATTCCTCCAGATTCCCTTTCTTTTTTTTTTTGATCAGTCCTTGTCAAAATATTTGATTCCGTCTGGATTTCTGCCTGTAGCATTGTAACAGCTCTCTTCTCTTCTCAGGCGTCTGCACTCCAACAACCTCCACTGTGACTGCCACCTGGCCTGGCTCTCTGATTGGCTTAGAGCCAGGCGGGGCTTGGCTCCCTTCACCCAGTGCATGTCCCCGGCCCAGATGCGGGGCCTTAATATCCCAGATGTGCAGAAGAAGGATTTTATCTGTAATGGTGAGTTTGTGAAAACATGGATTTGTTGATTTGAATAGCTGTTTTCAATTAAAACTGGCAAACTGACAGACTATTGGTGAGACAGGGGCACCTTCATGAAGGTATTAAAAGGTGTTAAATGTGTGAAAATAGGAGTTTTTTATTTTTTTAACAGTTTCTCCTCAGGTAGAGTGCGCAACAAGTTCTCATCAACTTTAGGAATATTGCTCTATATTAAGGCAAGAGAACATGGATTCGCTCCTGTCAAAGACAATAGCTGTTGCATTATGAGGAGAAAAAAAACACCTGCTGAGAGACAGAAGACAGAAGTTTACCTACCTGCTTGAGATGATAAGTAAATGAATGATTTCTTTACAAATCATCTAAGCTGTGTTTAATAAAGCGACAGATACTAAATAAACATCTAAAACAAATGATTACTTTAAAGCTAAACCTGCCGATAGTGCAAGGGTGTAACTTTGTAATGAAAGTTGGTGTGGTCACTCGGGTGCTGTCTGATGGACCTACAGTTACTCCACCCGAATGCTTTCATTAGGTTTTTGTTTTTTCCAAAAATGAGATCAAAAATGAGCTCAAACATATATTTATTGAATGCTATTCTCTTGTTGAGATCACGAGAGCCATAATAAGCTGATATTTATATTTATAGACACTTAGAGAGATGCCTTTTAGTGCATTACATTATAGGGCCCAAAATAACGAATAACTGCCGATCCTGATGCCTGCAGCGCGAGAGAGGAAAAAAACACTGACTGAAAACGCTCTGAATAAAGTTAGCTGTGCCCACCATCTGTTACCTTTGGCTAAAGGAAATCCGTGGAAAGGGGGAAAAAAGTGGAAATTTTTGGTGGAGACTGTCCCCATCAGGCCAAAGTTGGTGGGGACATGTCCACACGAGTCCTTCAGAAAGTCACGCCTGTGTGATATTTTTAACAAATTCAGGGCTAGGCTGTAATTCGGCCTGGCCCCGCAGGGTCTGGGCTTTCTTTGCTGATTAGAAAGACGAAAAAGGTTAGATTCGTTGAGCAAAAAGCATTTAGTGTAAGAATAGAGCAAAGATAGCAGGACTCAAACAGCTGCTGCATACAGCTGCATGATGTCTCCATTGGTGGTTTTTGACCAGGTAGCTGCCTGTCCAGGTAGTCCGTCCTCCTGTCTGATCGTCATAGGAAGTGATGCAGCAGACCACAGCTGCTCCTCTTAAGTGGAAAAGCTGAAGCAAATATAAAACCTGTTGCTTCTACACTGAAGATAACACATCACAGTAATAAACATTTATCATTAAGGATATTTAGATTTTAAAAATCTATATACAGTTTGTCCATTACTATCAGAAGGTAATGGCCTCTGATTCAGATGTTCTTCTTCTTCTCTCATAAATCTTTTTCTTCTTAGCTCCTTCAAAATGTTCACCTCTTCGTATTGTTAATGTTTTCCTCCCAACTTCTCGATACCTGTTTCTTTTCGTGTCTCTGCTTCCTTCATGCTCATATCTTAACTTATTTTATGTGCATATTTGGCCGAATAATAAGTAGCGTTTGGATTCAGTTCCTTCCTTTTTCATATCAAAGAGATTGCATGTTTTCCCAAAAGATTTTTCAAACCTCAAAAACAACAAAGCTACCATCACAAGAGATTAAAGTTTGTTTTGAGGGGAGATCAACAACATCAGGAAAAACTGAAATATCCTGAAATATAAAGAATTTTTGGAAATAAAACGACAGCAGGAAATATAAATGCAGCCCCAGGCTTTAACCAAATCTACTCATCTTTGTGGCTTTAAGCACTGAATAAATTTAAGCTTGAATTGATCATTTTGTGTATTTGCTACTGACTGTAGGTCCCGTTCAGACGGAGTCGAGGGCGTGCTCCCCTCAGGTAGCCGTGTGTCCTCCCAGCTGCACCTGCAACAACAACATTGTGGACTGTCGCCGCAAAGGGCTGACGGAAATCCCAGGCAACCTACCAGAAGGCATCGTAGAGATGTAAGGAAGCTTCACCTTAACCCTCACTGCATAAATCAGAGGTTTCGTATAAAGCTAACTTCAGGCTTTAATCTATTATGATGGATAATAAAAACCTGAGCAACAACGTTTTAACCCACAGCCATGTTATCTAACATCATCCATCACTGAGGACCAAACTGTTTTTAACATATTAGTTTTTATCATTAAATCAAACTCATTTGTAGATAATTATGATTGCTACAACTTTCATCTTCAGCTGTGAATCCAGGCTGAGGTTTCCTCCTCTTTATTTTATTCATGCAGCTCACAGAGTTTCTTCTTCATTGGTTTAAATCATGTGTTTCCCTTTACTGTATTATTCCTCCTGATCTTCTTTATGTTCAGTCTTAATTCAGGCTTTATAGAAACAAGGGTTCCAACACCAACTTGTCATTACCTCTAGAGTGAGATGCAAAAAAAGGAAAATTTAATGTTCGATCACAGTAGAAAAGACAGCCTCTGTTATTTTTGCAATTTGGGTGTATGAATTAACGTTCACCCACTCCTAGAGGGATTCAGATTTAACCTTTAGCCTAAAAAGCTTCACTGGTTGTTCCAGCAGGACTTTATTAATAAAACTAACACAAAGCTGAGGTTTGCTAACCACAGACAGTTAACATATGCAGAAAAAAACCTGAAACTCCATGTTAATGGAGCGTTCCTTCTTGTAACTACAGCTGTAGAGTTATACAGGGTTGCTGAAAGGGCCACACAGAAATCACCATCATCATGAATGTCAGTTTCATTGAGAGATCATTAGAGGCATCAGAAAAATGGCTTTTCAGTTAGAGATCCATTTTTTTTTTTTAAAGAGTTGAAACTTATTGGGTAAATAAGTGGGGGAGACTCTGGACCATGGGAAGAAGCCGGAGTACCTGGAGAGAAACCACTAATTTGCAGGAAAATGTCTAAAAAAGTTATGCTGAAAGTAAAGCGGCTTCAGCACCAGTTACTCAAAATATTTTTTAACACGTCTGGAATCATTTTGGCCCCTGTATAAATATTGGTTGAAATGTATCAATAAAAGCATCAGATTGCTTTATTTCTTATGATTAGATATGACTAAATGTTAAGCCAGGACTGCCCCCTTCATTCCCAGTTACACGTCAGTAACCTGCTTATAGCTGCTTGTTATTGAGACTTTTCCACTTTGTGTTGCCACACACACTGAAACGTACGTGTCACTAAGGGACATGTTTGATATCCGTATTGATCGCTGTCCCCTGCCTGTTTGTGCAGAGGACAGCTGCCTGATTGCTCTGAGACCAGAGGAGCTGTTGGCCAGAACATTTCTGGCCCACAAAGAGTCTCCTGCTTAAGTAAATCGGGTCTTTACTGCACTACATATATAAAGATGCCCACATCGGGGATGAAAGAAGAGACTATGAAAGCAGCATTTTGCAGGGACACACCCTCAGAATTAACATTGGAGCAGTGGTGATGAATGTTGTTGCTGCAGCCAGAAACAATAGAGTTTAATAGGATGATGTATTGTCAGTCCTTTAATGGAGACAAAGTCATCTTTCTGGATGTCAGAGGCAGGGATCACTGCCAAATGTGGATATGCATGTGTGCGTGCTACACCTCTGTGAGTCCTGCATATATTTTTATTATTTCAACTCTTTAACTCTTGATCCCTGTTGTTGATGTTTGTTTCATTATTTTTTAAGTTTTCCCATCTCCTGGCAAATGGAGGAGCTGCTTCTGTGTCCCAGACACACATCCTGTTTCACCTTTGCTCTAATTATACTGGCCACCTAGGAGACGTTTTTTTACACTTAACACCCAAATACTTTCCCTCCGTGCATATTTAGATATCGATCCTTTGTTCTGACCTTGTTTAACTGGTCGTCTGCATAATTGGAAGGTGTTATATGTGCAGATTGTTTTTCAGAAGTGCATGCTTTGTTTACTCTGAGCCTCTGGCTGCAGGTGAATAAGGTGCAGGAGCATAGCAGCAGTGGTCAAAAAGGTTTTGCTCCCATCAAACCAAGAAGATGTTTCACTTTGTTCTTTTATTAGATTATATTTGCAAACAAGTACTGTTTAATATCATGAAATACTGAGAGAAAGTGGGTAAACTTTTGTCTTATAAAGGCAGGAACGATGAAGAAGAAGGGATGGAAACATAGGTAAGAAAAAATGGATATAGTGAAGTAAGAAGGGAAGGATGAGGAAAAGAAGAGGGCTGGATTAGATTGCATTTATCATCCTGACAGCTGACCCTGTGGCTGGCCTTGGGACCCCACCACATCCTCCTCTTCTCTAATTTTTTCCCCTCCTCGCTCCTGTTGTTCACACTCCTCTAATTTCTCCTTTGTTGTCCTCTTTGCACAAACTGGTTTTACGATGCCAATCTCTCCCTCCTTCCTCTCATTCTCCCCTCAGTTAGCTTCTTACCCTTCAAATATTTCATTACCAGCTCCTTTGCATTCTTTAAATCCGTCTCCTGCCGACCTTCCAGTCTATTTGTGGAGAGGAAAGGAGACATAGACGTTATATGGATTTCTGTTTTTACCAAACTAGCATCCTCTTATGGTTTCTCACTGGATACTGGAGTAAAACTACTCTTACAGAGCAGGAGAGATGCAGTAAATTCCTTTAATTGCTGAGGTTTAGAGCCCAGGAAAGTTTCCTAATCACAGTGAAGCTGATTTGACACATGAGGGAGTCAGATGACATTCAAGGGTTTATAGAAATAAAAATACACAATTAAATGTATTACTGGAAACTATTTATCATTGCACTCCTGCTGAAAGCACTTCATTCAGCAGCCTGAACTACTTGAACTACTTTTGCCGACTTTGTTCAAATGCAGACATATTTCTTTCACTGGAAAAGTAGAAAAACTTTAGATAAATTTATATTTTATTACAGCAGCATCACATAAGACTGATAAAAGTTGAAAAAAAGCAACAGTTTGTTTTATTTTCACAAAAATTTTATGGGGAAAAAACAACAATAAAAACTGCAGTTATCATAGTTATATCTTTGTAGTATTTCCTGACGGTAGAGAGTCATGGTCCCTCTCATATGTTAATTTCAAACATAGTGCTTGATGAACACTCTGACAGGACCTTTAGGGGGAAAAACAGACCCACAGCATCACACCCTCTCCCCTGTACCCAAAAGTTGGTGTGATTCTGCTGGTGGAGGACCTTGTCTATTCATCCAGTCCGATAATCTCCTTTAACGACCACCGACCTTTCAGACACTTACATGGGTATGGGGTATTGCAGTCTAACAAAAGAAGCCAAACGACCCCCATTCCAAATAGGTTGACCCCTTCGTCTGTTCCAATTTGCATGTTTTCAAAACAAAAACAACTCTTTGTTGGTCTACTGCATGAAACCTCGAACTCAACACTATTCCTGACATTTTGAATTGAAAAAGCATCCTGGATGGGAAGCAAAACGTCTTCAAACTTGGAAACCAAGTCCAGTGGATTGTTTTAATTTTTTTGGAATGACTATGACCTGGATGACTGAGAACCTTCACCAGCAGATTCTGCTCAACATCTAGATCCTTAGTTCCACTGAGAACCACCCAGAGCATTTGTTGTTGAAGAGCTCTTACGTCCCAGCATTTTGCTGTTTGTGTTGGTAGGACAGGACAAGCTTTTATTTCATAGGAAGATAGCAACTGATGGTTGCTATGGAGGCTGTTGACCTCCTCTCCATTCTCCTGGTGGGAGATAAGCTTGGATTCATCAAGCCATGTTGCCTCTGCCTTAAAAGAAATGGATGTTTGTGTCACATCATATTTCTTCCCCATGGAAAGTATATGGATACCTATTAGAACCTTCCCATTAACTTAGGGCAGTAAAATATATAGTAAAACTAGCTTCAGTCAGATTTATTTTAAATGGATTTCCACTAATTGTTTCACACATCATTTTTAATGTGACAAATTATTATTATGGGATTCATCCTTCACTGAATTAACATTTTCAAATGAATGCTTCTTAGTGATTATGAGATTATTCTGCTGTACTGAAAGAAGAATTTATCTTACAGTCTCTGATAAATCTTTACTAGAGGGTCAGACAGATCATTTTTCTCCATCTATGCAAACAATGAAGGAACTCAGAAAAATCCAGCTTCTCAAATCTGGTCCGTGTACATCAGGCATGTCCAGAGTCAGTCCTCGATGGCCGCTGTCCTGCAGGTGTAGGTACCAGATTGACTCGGGCTGCCAGATGCTGAGATGCGTCAGAGCGTCCGCCATCTTAAATGTGGCAAATCTGCAGTTTCTCAGTCAGTTAAACAGTATCAGAGGGACTTTAATCTCTGAATATACTTTGTATTCATAGTATTTTTGTTTTTGTAATATTACAAGTTTATTTTTTGTATCCCTTTAGCTTCATTCTCCTGAATTTATTCTCGTTACAAATTCAGACCGCGGGCTCAATGTAGTTTGTTTGAGTGGCGTTGCCATAATGTGACATCATCGGGAAGCGCAAGGCCCATGGCGAATTCGGTGATAAAATTGTCCGTTTACAAACCGCAATCCCGCTTTCGAATAAAACCTACACCCCGCTATAATTACTTTAGTAAGCTGTCCAGACCAATCAAAATGTATTGCGCAATTGTGCAAACATTAAAACAATTATGTATTGTGACGTCATCAAAAGGCGCAGGCCCCCGAGTCAATTATCAGAATCAGTTTCGCCAAAGCAGGGAAACCTTAAGGTTAAGAGGCTTTGGCCCTAAAGTTCCAGTCCCGGCTGGGGGATGTTTGCTGCTTGTCTTCAGAATCAGAAATACTTTAATAATCCCAGATTTGTTACACGCTCCAGTTACAGTTTTATATATTTATTTATATATATATATATATATATATATATATATATATATATATATATATATATATACATACATACATATCCAACTACAGTAGATATCCATCTACACTACACTTCCTCCTCTCTCTAATCCTATTTCCTGTCTGCCTACTTTCAAAAATGAAAAAACGTAAAGGCCACTGGAGCCTAAAAATAATCTTATAAAAAGTTTTTGCTAATGCCAAGCTTTGGCATTTACAAATATTTAAATGACTTTTTCCAGAAGAAAAGCAACAACCTTCGCCTTTTGCTTCCTCAATTCTGTACCAACGCTCAAAAGCTTGACCAATGTTCACCCTCGTTTTTCTTCTTTTTTATTCCACTCAAATCTGAAAAATGTGACACCAAGAAGAACAATTTCTCTGCTCTATTGTGAAGCTACTAAGACCTGATAATACTGAGCTCCATCTAATGCTACTACTTATGGGTCCAGAGCCGCATGTGGCTCTTAAGACCCCCTACAATGGCTCTTAATAGAGGTTAACTAGTATATAAAGAGCTAGCTAATGTAGTATAAGAACAAACACCAGTCTTAAAAGCTTTTGTGGTTTTTATTTAATTTAATTTTCACGACAGCTATACATTAAAAGCACCAGATATATGTTTATAGAGGTATTTTCTTGCTTTTCTACATCAAATTATACCCTATAGAAATAAAATCCATGCTTCTGCTGTATAAATCGTTCCATATTTTTTCTCATTATATTATTATATATAAGCTATTGGTTGTTTAAGATGGCAACAGATTTCTTATGGCAGATATTTAACAAAAATAATAGGTTCTGTTTTATTGAAAAAAATCTAAACGGGTTTTACTCAGCAGGACTCTTGCAGACTCCTAATCTAATCTGACTTAAACCTATGTCTTTTTTTACAGCATCGATTCTTATCAATGTTGTCATTGTAACCAGAAGTAAATATTTACATACGTTGGACCAGTTTAAATGTTTTAAACAATTCTGAGGATGTTTCAAAAACTGGAGAGAAACTGGTCAGATGTTCAGGTGTGAACAGGTTTTTTAAAGGTGGAAGTCATTTATTTGCATGAGGAGAAATGTATCCTAGCAACCACAAAAAATTCTAGATTTTCTTTTTTAATGTGATGATTTAATTTCAGCCCATTAAAGTTTGCCATATGCTGACAAATTTTTGTATTGTTTCCCTTTCTCCAGTCGTTTGGAGCAGAACTTGATCAAAAGTGTCCCACCTGGAGCCTTTACAGCCTATAAGAAGCTGAAGAGAATGTAAGTATCCTCAGATGCAGCAATATACATATGAATACACACAAACAGGCATGTGGGTCCTGATGAATTAAAGCTGCCATGTTGTGCCTGCTCTAAAACATTATTAACATGATCGCAGGTCTGAACATAGAAATCATCTGCGATGTGTGCTTTCTCCTCACACAGTTGAGAAGAAACCAGTCTTTCTAAGCTGTCTCACCCTTCTTGTGTGGATAAATGAGTCCATCCAACAGTGAGATGAAATAAATCTCATGCTAACATTTGCATTTGACCTCTTATTAAATGTGATGATGGTGGACTTTGTTTCTCCATTGATGTACCCAAAGGAGCAGGCAGGTTTTAACCTCTCCACAGCAGCAAAGTTTAATAAAATGACGTGTCTCAACCTGAATATGCGACAAATTGCCCTGTTTTCTCTGTCCTGTCACTTTAGATTTCTGCACTCTCTCCATCCATCCCTCTTCTCTTCCTCTACCTCATTTACTCCAGACTTGTCCTTTCTCCCTGACCTCGGCTGATATATTCTGACTTGATGGTTTGTCAGACAGCTCGAGGACATTCAGGCAGAATGAACCCCATTACTGAGCATTACAGTAATCTCATTCTCTCCCCAGTGACTTGAGCAAGAACCAGATTTCCGACGTTGCTGCGGATGCTTTCAGCGGACTTCGCTCCCTCACCTCGTTGTAAGTACGCCGCTCCACACACAGACATCTGAACGAGGCAAATAACAATGTTTGTGCAGCAGATGTTGACATGTGGGAGAAAGGCAGCGGGTGGAGAGGTAGTTTCTGAGCAGGTCTGTGTTTGCATCTTTCAATGCAATACGAACATGACAGGCAGCTTTATTTGAAACAGTGGGAAGCCTACAAGTGAAACTGACAGAGGTACAATGAAAACAGCAAGACAAGATGAACTCAGCTAAACACAAGCCTCTGTTTTAGAACAGCGATGAAGCAAAGAAACCTCAGAGATGAACCTGAGATGAACCACATGTTTACATCCTCTGTATCAACAGACTTAACTTTAGTTTTCTTACGCTGTCTGACATTGAAGCAATCAGAACTATTCCTGCTTCAGGCCAGTTTCAGGTCAAACCATCCGTCAGGTCAGTTAGAGTTGTAGAAATTATGGTTTCCTAAATTTCGGAAATTTAGGATGGAGGTAAGCTCAGGGTTTTTTTTTTTGGGGGGGGGGGTTCAGCACTTTATTGTCATTTTAATATCAGAAGTACAGAGCAACGAAATGAACTCTTTAACCCAACCCCTTGGAGAGCGGTGGGTTACCATTTTGCAGTAGTGTGGGGGTTAAGGTCAGAACATCAGGATTCCAAGCTCTATGCCCTAACCACTAGGCTGCCAGTCCCCAAAGCAGGCATTAGCGTCTTGCCTAAGGACCCACATTCCCCCCAGCTGGGATACAAACCCAGACTTCCTGTTGCAGGACAGGTGACTTACCACTTGGGCTAGCCAACCAGTGTTCGTTGGTTATTACCCATTTAAAAACATTAGCTGGTTAGCTTGGACTTTGTAATGCTTAGGGTTGCGTTTAAGGGAGGTGGTGGCAGACTTGTTAGGATGGTCAAAAAATCACAACCACACTGATACTGGGAATTCCACAGTGTTGTCCTTTAATAAAAACACTCTTCACCAACCTTACAAAGTAAAGTTGAACCGAGGATATATATATATATATATATATATATATATATATATATATATATATATATATATATATATATATATATATATATATATATATATACTTGCAGTAAATTCTATTAAGGATACTTAAGTATAGGTATAAGTTTAGAAAGTATACCGAACAATGTACTTTTAGTGTACTTGTAATATTACTAAAGTAATACTTGTTCAAACTAAATTGGGACATTTTTAAGTTTACTAAAGTATACTTTAGCAAACAATAAACAATAGTATAGTCAAGTACACTTGACTATACTATTAAGTATATGAAATATAGTTTAAAATAAGTAAACTCTAAGTGCACTGCCTGATTCTAAGTATGAAATTAGTGCACTTTTAGTATACTTGAATAAATGACTTTTTGCTAAGGGATAAAAATTGGGCAGAGTCCAAACAACCTGTAACCTTACCAAAAAGTAGGGGACTAACATGTCACTTTAAGACCCTGTATCGATCTGCATAACATGTCTAGCAAACTAGAGTGTCTTAATGAGACAGATGTCTGCAGATTTAGCTTCATTTTGTCAACATAATGTCCTTTTGTCATGAAGGCATTTTGTTTGAGAAGTGCACCAGTCCCTCCTGCAGAAAACCCTGCATAGCTGCTTTGTTCCACCCTCAGCAGCATCTTTATAAGCTCCTCATGTTTGGTTCTGGGGTCAATTCCCTCATATCTCAACAGAACCATTCATTTCTGGGATAGAGAACCCGTCTCCCCCCCCAAACTCTCAGATTGTTGAACTTTTCCACTCTATCCCTGCTTCCCTATGTGTCAACTTCCCTATATGTAAAAGAAAGTTGAAAAACATTATCTGTCATTATTTTAAAATGATCTTGTTAATTTTGAAGGGGTTGTTCTGATTTAATGTCAGACATTAAAACTTTTCTCTTTTTTCTATATAAAGAATCTGTTTTTAATGGTGTAAGAACAGTGAATATTAAAAAAGTATGTGTTGAATCGCTTTGGTTCTTCTGGGCTTTCATGATTTAATTCCTCTCCCTCCATCCAGAGCCATCACCGCTGGCTGGAGGGCTCCGTATTTCAGATTTAATACATGTCAAGTGAAGTCATTAAAGAGCCGAACACACGTGTTGACATGTCTGCTCTGTAAACTCACCCAGGATGTTTGTCCCTCGCAGGGTGCTGTACGGCAATAAGATCGCCGAGCTGCCTAAAGGAATATTTGATGGACTGGCTTCCCTGCAGCTGCTGTGAGTCTTTTCTCTTTTCAGCAATTTGTCTCACTATGGAAAGCGTTGCCCCCAAAATGTTAAAGTCACAGGAACACGGGTAGTCATCTCAGATCAGACTTAGGCTCATTTATAACTTAATGCAGATGTTACAACCAAAAGCTTTAGTGGATTTTAAATTGATTTAATGCAATAGAACAACAGGAAATAGGATGTAACTAAGAGCTTTAAGGAAAATGATGCCCGTATTAAAAGGGCATTATTACTATTATTTTAAATCCAAATTGGCTTTATTTATGACTGAGAATATAGATCTTTAAAGAATTGTTGATAATTCTGACTGTATGCAGGAAGGAGCTCTTGTCAGTAACGCAGTGGTTCCTAAGACGCCCCTCTATGGAGACACTGCTGTTTGAGAGTTCAATGGAAAGGTTTATTTAGAAGATACATGTAGAACGTTTATAGAGAACTGAAACAAGTTTTGTTCTAGAATGGTCCAGTCAAAGCCAAGGTCTAAAAACCAAATAAACTGATGTACTCAGATGTTTTCCATCAAATCAAACTTGGTAGATTAGTGAGGAAAAAAACCCTACAACGCACTGCCTTAGTGGGCCCGAGGATAAACGCATGCCACACTTTTAAGATAATTTTGTTTTTCAATTTAGCTTTACTGTAGTTGTGATGTGATAAAATCTGAACACTGATAAGGTTCTGGGGTTGCTCTCTGGGATGGTTGAAGCTCAGAAGGAATGTGATTGGCTGAAAGGCAGCGCATTAAGAGTGTGGAGAGGACTCTTGTGTAAATAGGCGTGGTTGACCTAAAGCCATAGCCACAGATTATGTCATTTCTTCATGCTCCAGTCCTCCTTTTTTTTACCTTTAATATCCCCTAAAATATTTAGCTAGAAGCTAAAAAAGGAAGTGTAACAGGAAGTGGAATCTGTCATCATCCTATAATGGTTTCTAATGGTTCCTTCTTGGGCACAGACCAACTGCAGCGCTGCTGCATGGCGTGCTAACATTTTCTCTACAGCTCTATAATTGCTGCATGTGGCATATGGTCGCAGTGAATGCCGCAGTCCACTGCAGCAGCAGCTAATGTTCTGGGCTTTTCCATCATAAAGGGAAGCGAAGCAAAGAGAATGAGGATCAGTGGAACTCAAGTAACACACAGACACCTTTTACAGAAATCACATTTTGGTCATTAGTTTGCATAGTGCGTTGCAGGGTGTGGGGGGGGCACTGATAAATGATGGAAGCAGGAAGGGAGAGAAGAAGAAATCAGTTGTGATGTCATCAAAGATTATACGTAACCTCATTAATATTCAGCGGCTTCATCGGACATAAAGGTTCTGCAAGCAGAACATGGCTAAATATCGTCTGTTGAACACATGAAGCCCCCCTATCTGGGCCTGTCCACTCGTTACCAGGGACAGCAGGAGGGGCGTCTCCCTTCACATGTCCAAAAGAGATCGGTCTGACCCATAAGAATGTTGCTCTGTTCAAAGAGGATGCTGCAGTTGGACTCAGTGCAGGTACAAATCCACTGTTTGTGTTCCTGTGATCTGCTCTGGAGCAGATCCAGGTAATTAGTTCCCCCTATGAGCTGCTAATGAGGCGTGTGTGTGTGGGTTCTTATAGACAGGCTGGGCCTTTGAGAGTCCTCAGCAGAACAAGTCCAGAAAATTAAGCTGAGCTATTGCTCCTCCTACTAATTCACAGTCCACACAGAACAGAACCAAACAGAAAATAACTGAAGAGAACCAAACTTTGAGTGATGGACCAGTGGAGGAGGTGGAGAAAATCCCAGCAGGACTGCGGCTCAGTTTCATATGTGCATCAGTCCAAATCATATTTTCACCTTTCCCTTCACCCCTACCAACCAGAACCGTCTGATCCATCACTCACACCCATAACAGCAGAGACCCGCCTTTCTCTCTGACTGGCATAACATTATGACCACAGACAGCTAAAGTCAATGACACTGATTGCAGCTCTTTATGAGCGACATTTATCATTCAGTCCGTGGTGCAGGATACATTTCTGGGTGAATTTGGTAGGTACCAATCTGTGATGGTTGGATCAGAACATTTCCAGACCCACAGGTCCTCTCAGGTGTTCTCTATCTGCAGTGGACTCAATTTACTAGAGTGAACAGTTAATGTTGGTTCTGGTTCTGAAAGGTAATATGCTGTTTCACAGAGTCTGGAGCTGCAGAGCAGTCAGTAGCAGAACTTTTCACCTAAGAGACTTAAAAGCGAGAGGAACTTAACCAAAACACCCTGAGTTGGTACCAGTCGAAATGAAGGACTGAATACATTATCATGTTTATATATTTTAGTTCTTGTTTAATTTTCTTGGGTTTTTTTTTACATTAAGATTGAAAAAAATACAAATTCAATCAGTTATGTCTTGTTTACGTGTTTGCTTTAAATTAAAAAATATTCCACGTGTTTCAGATTACTGAATGCCAACAAGATCAACTGTTTGAGAGTGAACACCTTCCAGGACCTGCAGAACCTGAACCTGCTGTCCTTGTATGACAACAAGCTGCAAACCATCAGCAAAGGCCTCTTCACGCCTCTGCGCTCCATCAAGACTCTGTAAGTGTGGGACTGGGCTGCAGGCTAAAAGGGAAACTGTAAATTGGTTAAACTGATTAGGAGATACTTGTTTATATTGGTTTTTCCTTAAATAAACTGTGTCCATAAGTGTTTAATATATAATAAAAAAGCATCGCTCAAACCGTCTTGTCTACTCAACATGATCATCCAGAGGGAGGATCACAACACCTAAAGAACCACCAGGCAGACTTTTCTTTCTCCTTGTAATCAGATCAGTCCTGCTGGTGTTGGAGATTGCAGAATGCTTCCTTCCTCATATCCACCTCCTTCCTGCAGTGTTAATCCAACCAGACAGATATATTATTCACCAGATGTTCAGAGAAACAGTGGTGCATTACAACTGAAAAAACAGTCCAGACTCATCCCCCTCTCTATGCTCTCCCAGCCATCTGGCCCAGAATCCCTTTATGTGCGACTGTCACCTGAAGTGGCTGGCTGACTACCTGTTCGACAACCCCATCGAGACCAGTGGAGCTCGCTGCAGCCACCCCAGACGGCTGGCAAACAAACGCATCAGCCAGGTCAAAGGCAAGAAGTTCAGATGCACAGGTGAGAAATAAGTTTCTACAAAACTCAGAGCTTTGCTCCTCAGGAACGTCCTCTTCTCTGTCTTGTCACAGCCACAAATCTAATCTAGTGGGATTTTATTAGTATAATCGACCCAAACAAAGTGATGCAGAAATATGGAGCACACGGAAAACAATTTAAGGTTTGAAAATATGTTTATAAAATAAAAATGTCAATAAATGAAGCATATATTTGTTACAAGGTGATGGCAGCTCTATGTTTTAGGGAAGATTAAAGAAATACCTGAACCTCTGTGTTTTTTCATCCGATAAGATAATTCTCGAATGCTACAGTTCACATCGAATACGATTTGAGCAGCAAAGACGCGTTTGCTGCTTCATCTTTGATGCTTGTCACCATTAAGGTCAGACGTGTACAGAAGCAGCTGGTGCTTGTGCTGCTCCTGTGTTCAATGGCAGAGTGGATTTGCTATATTTGCAGTGATAAGTGGATAAAAAGTTGTTTTAATGTGTTTCTAAGCGAGAAAATTCACCCGAAAACATTACGATCCTGCCTTAAACTATAATTTCGCTGTGGAAGCCGCGCAGAGCCACATATACCGGAGTTAGGCAGTCACTGGTATTGATTTTCTGCTACTTTTCGTGGTGGCAGGAAGTAAATGTTAGCTTTTTCAGATATGTGATACAAACTGCAGGTATCAGAATAATGAAAGCGAACATATTTTGCCAGCATGTTTCAACATTTTATGTCAATTTAGGCAATGGAGAGATCATAGGGCTCACTTTTCATTATAGATTTAAAAAAAATACTCTTTGCTTTTTATGTAAACCTAGAAGAGTTCTACCCCATTTTTTATGTGTGTATATATATGTATATAGAGAGAGAGGTAATTTCTGATGGCTTCATGCTTTGATGCGCTTTGATACATTGATAAACTCTGCATGTAAACTGGCTGCTTCTGCTGCTCAAATCGCATTCTGTGTAAACGTTGCATAAGCTTTGTTGTTGTGATGTGACAAAAACTCTAAAACATTTGTCTTATTAATGAGATTAAACTCGAAGGATGAAATTGAATAAGAGAGAAATATTTGAAGGGCCATCTCTCGTTCTGTGTGGGACTCCATCATGGCTGCCATCACCTTGCAGTGAGCGAGCAGCTTGTCCAACAGCAGCAGGATGTCTCTAACTCTCTTATTTAGTAATAATAGAAAAATAAAATAAACAGACTTACTGAAATCTTTCTGAATATCAGCTTTCTTCGCTACTAAATATCGGTTTTCATTACAGCTTATTTGGTTGCTCATGTTGATTCATCGTCTTTTGTCACATCATATTCCCATCGTCTAAGTTTTAAACTCCTCATGTCCCAGTGCCTCCTCAGTTGTTAGAAACGTTCCTCCTGAGACCCTGTTGAAGGTCAGACTGTGGTCTTTGCTTCAGCTCTTCCTGTCTGCAGCTCTCCATCCCTGCCTCCTTCCTGTTCGGACCTGCAGTTTTCTGTCGCTTCTCCTGCCTGTGTGGACCCCCACCCCCATCCCCAACTGACTGGTGCAGCTCTCTTGTCGCCCCGCCCTCCTCCTGTGTGGACCTTCACTCTGATTGGTTCGTGCAGCTGTCTCTTGTGCTTGATCTAACCATGTGGCCCCGCCTGATGTGACATCACATGGTTCCGTCAAGCGCCAGGGACCGCCCGGCACACGCCTACATGCCTCCCCCAGCCAATCGCACGCCTTGGAGCATAACCAAGGGGTTAGGCACCAAGACTCCTCTACATGCACGACCTAGGACCTACTGTGAAAACGTTTTGGTTGACCTGTGTTGCACATTTAGAATCTGACATCAAATATTCTAAATTTCAACACCTCTTCGGTGTAAATAATTCCAGCGTACCTTCGCTGTGTTGGTTACAGGTGGAGATTTTCATTTTGAATGTGTTAACAGCGTTTGTTTTTGCATTGAATAGTTTAAAAATCAGAAATGAGTTTCTTTGCATTTTACAGCTTACAGTCTGACCACGCTTACTGCTGCTTTACTCACCCACTCTACTTTTCTTTGCATCTTCGCCTGGCGCCATCACCTGTTTGTGGTATTGATGTGTGAGCCATTATGTTCATCAGGCAGGTCATGTTGCGCCCATGCATGTTCTCAATGGAGCATGCAGAACAAACAACAGGCTAGATCTGAAGTCATGGCTGCATGATCTCAGTAGTAATGATGTAAACCAGCTCTTTTCCACTGGAACATATAATAAGAACTGCTTTTGTTCCATGTAAATAACAGACATGGCCTCCGCTTCACTTTGTCAAATAGAAACATATGGGGTTAAAGTTTGTTTATCTGTAGATTCCCCCCACCCCAACCCCCCAGTCATACAGAACCGACCCTCCCTGCTTTCTAAGCGATTCATTTAGTATAGCCGATCTGTTGTTTTTAAAACGTTTCATTTAAAGTTTGGAATGTTTTGTTTTGACATTTTAACACCAGAGTAAATGTATGCATCAAATTCACAGCTTTATTCTTAATTTGATGTTTTATTTAATCACTTTCTGTTTCTCTTCTCTCTCATTTCCTCCATACTACCTTTTTTTGCTGTTGTTTTTTTATAACCCTTACATTTCAACCTCCCTCTCTGTTTCTGCATCCTCCGCTGTCGTTCTCCCACTGCAGGTCAGGAGGATTATCGCAGCCGTCTGAGTGGGGACTGTTTCCAGGATCTGGTGTGCCCAGAAAAATGTCGTTGTGAAGGCACAGTGGTTGACTGCTCCAACCTCAAGCTCACCCGAATTCCTCCACACATCCCTGAACACACCACCGATCTGTAAGCCATTGCATTCATACTATCTGTATGCATAGGCGTTTTTAAAAGTTTTATCTATATGCTCCAATTCTCTTCACACCGTAAACTTTCTGTCTTTCAAAAAACTTAAAAGAAAGGTTTTAGCTTATTTACCTGCATATGCATATATGCAGTACACAGCGCCCGTCTGTCTCTCTGCTTCGTCAGTGCAATATCACCAATGTCACTGTTCGTTTTCTGCTCTCGGACAAAAATGCATCTTAGCAGTCTTTCCCATCTCTCTCCAAATCCCTGAGGAGCCGTCATGATGCCTTGGAAAGGGTCATGTACCAGAATACTGAATAGGCACCATAGATCATTCATTTTCCCCTGAAGAATGGTTGGGGTGAAGCTGATAAATCACATTAGGAATACTGCTAAATCTGTAAAAATCCACTCTTTTAAAACCAGGGAGAACTGCTGCTTTCTGTGATGGGGTGGGGCTTTTGGTGTCTGGCTTCAATGCTCACTCATTGGTCAAAAGACAACTTCCCTAAACAGGTCGTCATGGTAACACAGAGACACAAACAGAACTGGGCAGAAATGATTAATCAATTATTGAAATAATCCATGACTAATTTGGTATGGGTTTAATGGTGGCTAGAGTAATGGCATGTGGACTCAAACATGTTATTTACTGAAAGAGTAACACATTTACAGCATTAAATAAGACAAACTCCACAAATATAAAGATTTATAAACATAAAATATATACAATTTTCCCATTAAGGAATAAAATTGTCATACTTGTGTATAGGTATATTTTTTACTTGTTTTGCCATATCAAAATTCTTAAAAATGTAAGAAATTTTTTTTTTACTAATTTAGAAATGTTGATATATTAGAATTATCTCTTTTTAGACTGATCAATAAATACAAATTTAAAAAATCAATTGATTAATCGCTGAAATAATAAATAGGTGCAGCCCTACACAGAACACACAACCACACCCACTCGCACCGTAGAGTCATGTTTGTGGACTGTGAGAGGAAGCTAGAGTACCCAGAACTAACACCCAGCGTTTAGAGAGAGAATACCCAACCTCATGTAAAAGACCTAACAAACCGGCACCCAGCAGAGGGATTTAAACACTCTCTGAGTTTAGCCGTTTCTGTCTGCTACTCTTCCGAATGATTTCTTCTCACAAAAGTTATGAACAAACTCTATCAGCTCCCCTTTGGGCCATTGATTCTCTCCTGTGTTTAGTCAGCAAACATTCCTCCCAAAACTGTGTCTCCAAAAGCTCTCTTTTGGAGGCTGCTTTTAAGATTTAAATCCTGCTAAGATTAATAAAAAGAGTTGTTTTCTTTTTAATATGTTTGTCATCTGCATTATTTTCAGGTTTAATGGTTCTTAAACAATATTATAAATGACCACTGATAGTGTAGGGACTCAAGCTAAATAGAACAACTTTTAAGGCAAAGAAACATGTTTTTTCATTGTATGTCTTTCAATGTTTTGGGATTTAACTGACAAATATAAGGAGAGGAATAAGTGGTTCAAAATTTAAAAAAGTTTTAACTAAAATGGCTAGAAAGTTAATTTAGTTCATTTCAGCACTCAGAAAGGTTTTAAAAGACTCAGCTTTTCAGGTGGTCCAGACTAAAGTTAACCATCTGTGTTTGAAACCAAGTTTAATTCCAAATATCCCAGCTTTCATTTTAAAGTAAAAAGAAAAAAGGTCTGTTTTAAAGCTGTCAGCTTTGGTGTCCAGCCCTCTGATAGTTTAAGTCTGAATTTCTCACTGATTCTGCAGGTAAAATACTGACTCCTGGTGAGAGCTCCACACATCCAGTGATCCACAGAGCATTGACTTCCTGCTTTTAAGTCAGCTCAGTTGTTTTCTCTGTGAATCCTCCTTGCATCCATCTTTCCTGCCGGTTAGAAGATAAATCCCTTCTTCTGCTGTCTTAAACCTCCTCGCACTTTATCCTCCGATGAAGACCACCAAACAGCATTTATAGGCAGATAGTGCACATACACACAGGAGGACAGCTGTGATGTGCACATGCAGGATGACGTGCACGCTGTCACTCTGTAACCGGTGTTATCAGGGTAAATCAGAGGAGCTGGTGGTTCAGCTCAAGGTCTTAATGACTCCTTCAACCACAAAAAGGGGGAAAGATTTCAGCTGAATGTGCTGCTCTTCAGTTGCTGACCTCGGCGGCTGCATCTGATGGTAAACTAATCAGATTTGCGCCCCCTCCATTTACAATATGTAAATAAAGCACAGCAGGAAAAGCAGTATTATCTTCATACTACTATCAAACTGCTTCAGGCATCACAATAAATTATGTTTGTTTGACTTCACTCAGGTTGGTCCCTGTTTTAATGCTGCGTCTCTGATTAGAAGGTTTCCCCCTGAGCTGAGCTTTCACTGTCGCCCTGCATGGCTTCTGCAGCCCACACACAGACACAAAGTCCATCCTTTTAGCAGCACCTTTTTAGTACAAATTACCTCAATAAAGCAGATGTCTGGCTTCCTATCTCCTCAACAGTTTTTTTCTGGGCTCAGGGCAATGTGGGTATTGATGACTACATAGAAAAGATTCATTGCTCTCCTCCTCTCCTCCTGCTCTGCCTCCACATTTTTATTTCTTTGTCGTTCTCTTGTTTTTTAGCTGCATCATAGTTCAGACCCCTCCTTCCTGCCCTCTGCGTGTTTATATCGAAGTCCTTGATGCATGTAAAGCAGTTTGTTTCATGAGAAATAAAAATCTAACTCTCTCTGCCCTCTTCTCTGCAGGCGGTTAAACGACAATGAAATTACCACCCTGGAAGCTACTGGGACTTTTAAGAAGCTGCCCAACTTGAAGAAAATGTATGTTTATTCCAAAGTGCAAAGATGTTTTTTCTTTATCTCTTATTTTTTTTCCTTGCTCTAAGCTGTGATTTTTTTTTTCTTCACCCATGCATGTTAAGTGTATAATACGCCCTGAACTTTCCAACGTTTTGTACTGGTCCAAACTCAAACATTATTTAGAGTTTTTCTCTGTTGGTTTGGCTCATTTCTTGAAATTACATTCTCAAAATAACTCTGGCAATCCTCCTGACAGTTGTTCACAACAGAATTGAAATTCTCACGCACTTTGTCACATTTCAAATGTCTTTGTACATGTTTAAATGTACAAACTACATGTACATTTGGCCCAGAATTAGCACAGTTAGCCTTACTTTAGCATAACTCTGAAATGGAAAAATTCTGTCGATGTAAACTGATTGGTTGCCTCTCAGTCTAATGGTTTTTCTCTGAAACACAACATTAGTGTATTTTCCTTATTTGAGTCAACACATGCACAATAATGTGTTCAAATACCAAAATAAATCCAGGTCATGATATCATGAATACCATGTACTCTATGAATATATGATAAATTGATTAACTGACAGTCAGGTCACACTAGAACTTGACGAATTAGAAGAAGTTTTCCGCATCTGAAACAGGACAGGTGCTGTCCATCATTGTGATTCGATTCTCTATACGTATAGAAATGTGAATATAGAGCTTCATCCAAACTGTTAAAGCTTCTAACCATGCAGGCAGAGACTAAGTATATGTGGTGGTAGAATAGGGGGGAGAAGTTTAGGGATTATTGAGACATGCACGCAGTTTCTACCCACGCTGCATTGCAAGGGAAAATATCTACTGTGACATAGATGAGAATATGTGGCCAGATAGACGACACAACAGGCTTCTGTCTTGCAGGCTGATAGATACAGGATGGTGGCCAAGAGGATAACGTACAGGAGTGGGACCAGTAAAGTAACAGGCCACCCATAAAAATTGTTTTTGTTTTCACCAGAAGCCTTGCTGTTAGGATTTCACTTACATTTTTTTTCTGTAACTTGAAGTAGTATTGTATAAATAATAATTGTCTTAATTTCCTTGTGTGCAGTGTTGTCAGCTCTTGGCCACCCCTGTTGATAAATTCTATAACCAGTTTTTTACACTAACATGCTGTCGGCTGCACAATGAGAGCAGTAATCATATGATTGATGGACTGGGTTAAAATGAGGGACATTTCAAGGTCTTCTGCCACAGTGACAAAACATGTAAACATCTGACTTTCAGTGCTCACACAATGCCAAAATGGCGATTTATTTTGGAGGCACTGACAATCTGTATGACATAGAAACTTCTTTTTGACTGTTTTGGTAGGGAGATGAGTTTCTGCCGATTAACAGTCTGTTGTGCCAAATTATCCAGGTTGGTTTTTGGAAAAGCACCAAAAGTGGTGAAAACATCTAGCCCGTTTAGAGAAATTACTTGAATATTTGAGAAGAATCATAGCATTTTTGGTGCCACTGGCGATTTATGTGGGAAAGAATGAAGTATTGCAGGAAAAGTGAACAGTTTTGAAAGAGATATGAGCTTTAGCAATGATCTTTGAGTTTTGAGAATGTAATTTCTGTTTAATGAGCCCCAAATACTGTGAAAAACTATAATAGGTTGAAGGAAAACAAGGTTTAAAAAAAAAAGTATTAACAAAAGCACGCCACCGGTTTTAGATTTTGAGTGTAAAAGATGGAAGCTGTCCATCACAATTTATTATGTCTATAAAAGTCCTAGTAAAATACACTGAAGAAGTTCAGGGCTTTGGTTTATTTTTGAACAGAGCTTGTATTCCCTGGTCTGAAAAGAATATGAATAGCAAAAGGAGAAAACAAACATGTAGAAAGAAAAAAGATTTAAATGAATGTGAGAGGTTTATAGGAAGAGCTGCTGGATGAAGGAGGAACACAGAGAGGGAGAAAAGCTGAAATAAGGGCCGAGTAAAGCAGCCATTGATTGAAAAAAAGACCTTCAACTCAGATTTACAGTCAGCCCCTATCTGCAGCCTGAGAGTGTGTGCAGGTGGGAGTCTGTGGGGGGGTTGTGTGTATGTGTGTGTGTGTGTGAGAAAAAGATAGAGAAAGATGGAGCAGAGACGAGTGTTTGATTTATTGGAGAGGAAATTGCTAACCATCTAGCAGCATCACTGACAGTATAGATTGGCCTGATCTCATTTCCATTTTCCTCCTCCCCCCTCCTCCCACTCTCCTCACACCCTCCCTGCAGTTTGCACTGCTTTAATACATTTGACTTAATATTTGTCTGCCTCATTTTGTTTTTCATTCTTTCCTGAACTTTTTAAATTGCCCGCTCTCCTCCCGATCTTCCAAGGAGCTGATAAGAGGAAAACTGCAGCCTGGCCTACCTGCCGATGGGTATCATTTGAACTCATTGTTTCCCCCGGCCAGGCTCTTTCTTCCTTTCACTTTCTCTCTCTTTGTACGATGAAGGGAGGCTGCAATCGTTTTTAGTCATTTGTGACCATTTGTCCAATATACTTTATGTATGCAAGCCCGCCGTTTCAGTTTTAGTGGCGGCTTCCTGTGTTATCGAAAGGACTCCTTGTAAAAGGAAAGGATATTACAGGGAGAGATTTGGGCTTACATTAATTAGCTGAAGGGACATGATTAACTGCTGCAATCAAACCGAGGGGAAGGATGTGAGCTTATCTTGTCCCCCAGTTTATGAGAACAACTTTATTTGCTGAAGCAAACACAGGCAGTTAAAAAAACACCTGAGTGTGGAAAGAAGATGACGTGTTTTGGCTCTCTCTTTGCAGAAACCTGAGCAACAACAAGCTGAGGGATATCCGTGAAGGAGCCTTCGATGGAGCTGGAGGAGTGCTGGAGCTGCTGCTAACAGGGAATAAGTTAACGGGGCTGCAGGGACGTATGTTCAGAGGCCTGAGCAGCCTGAAGACCCTGTGAGTGTCACCACAGAGCTGTGTGTGTTGGGAGGGTGTATGCAGTAAATCTGTTTGCAGCGCTGAATTTCCCTGTAACTAATGATAATTAAATCGTTACATTTTATTAAGAAGAACTGGTTGTGCTTTTATATTATATGGCAGCAGCTGCAAATGGAAAATTGTTCTATTCCAGGGAATCAGGAAAGCTGTGCAACAGCATCTGAACAGGTTCAAATATACATTTTTAGACCCTAAAAGGTATATAAAGATAAACTGTATGGTTTATTGGTTGCTTCTTGAATCAGATCTACGATTTTTTTTTTTTTTTTTTTGCAATTTCTTTAATTTATAATGTTTATATAAACTGGGGTTTGACAAAGCTACAAGTGAAGTTAAACACTGACAAGGTCAAAAGAAAGAAATAGCAGAATTATTTAAGTCGTCAAGTTAAAAGTAAGGAGGCTAACTTGTTTCACTTATTCTTATAATTCATGTCATTTTCAACGTGAAATCATTACAGATTTAGAAAATCTTCAATCTAATGGACAGAAGTTGAGCTTTTCACTCCAACATAAAAAAGCTTCTGACGTCTTACACCGGGAGTGTTCAACGTTTTCCAGACCAGGACCCCCAAACTGATGGCGATTAGGAGCAGGGACCTCCTATTTATATATATATTGTATAAAATAGTGTTATATCAAATTGGTCATATAGTCACTCTATTACAGATGGAGTAATGTAACGAAAGTAATTTCACCCAAGTATTTCTGATTCTGATTCCTGGTTGATGGGACAGGTGTTGTGAATGAAACGGTGGCCAGCTCTTAAGAGTGTCGCTGAATGTGTTCATTGATGACTGAAAGACAGATTCTGCCTCCATTTATCTGTTAACTACAGTTTGTTGAATTCATGTTAATGTGGATTTAAAGACAATTCAATTAGTTGTTAAATTGCAGGGAGAAATATAAAACAAAAAAGTCTGATCAACCAAAACTTTCACGACCCCCATGCAGTACCTCCATGGACCCCCTAGGGGTCACGGACCCCCTGTTGAAGACCTCCGTCTTAGACAATAGAGATGTTTTTGGATCTTTTATCACACAATATACCTATGAGGAAACTTTTATTATTAAGTTTGATTATAGATTTAAATTTTTGGAAGCTGAATGTCACATGATCATTATATCAACCAGAATCAGCCTAATGAGGGGCACGCTCTTCCTATTCCAAAGTGAGGTGGTGTGTGTGTTTTCTGTAATGACTCTGTAATGCTATCATGTACATATATGCGGACTAATGACTCTCTAATGGCATCATGGCTGCTCCTGTATTATGTTAAGAGGGTCCTGCTCCAGTAATAGCCCTGCTAACCTGGTTAGTCTGTCCCAGAGATTGCTAATGCTAACTAACTCACTTACGGTCCCACGCGGCCGCATGTCAGGAGCTAATGTCATATTAAAGTCTGTCATGGCCGTCCAACAGAGGCTGCTTTGGATCTACTCCCTCCTGGTAATCAGGACATCATGGCTGCAGTCCCATTTGTTTTCATTGATATTTGGTTGATTGGATTTCCTCCAAAACATAATCATCTCTGATTTAGGGTTTGCTTTGTCCTTAGCTAACCCCAACTATTTCAAATATTATTCAAAAAGTTATATAAAAAAAACATTACAAATTATACAGACTGAAAAAGTATATTTTTTAAAAAATCCATATACTCAACAAAGCGGATCAGTTGCATGTAATAAAATCTAGTTTATTACCATAAGATAATTTCTTCAACCACAAATGAAGCAGAGAATCAAAAACGAACCCAGTAAAGAAATTTCTGCAACTATTCAGATTAAAGTTTTTCTGCTTTCTCTTTATGGTGTTTTAAAGAAAGGGTTTTGTAACCTTTTTAAAGTTAAAAACCTAATTTAAGTTTAGTAGAGGGAAAAAGACTCCAAACTGCAGCATGAATGTCTCTGTGATTATAAACTGCAGCAAAGCCGCACAAGGCAAACAGAAATGCTTATGCAGCCCAACTGGGCAGAATCTCTGGAGAGATTCTACTAACCCTAAAAATTCTCCATCCTTAGAAGCAAAGAAGCTTACCTTTCAGTTCCACACATAAATACCTTATTAAACTAATCATGGGAATGTTTTTAAGTGTTTTTCTGAATCATTAGATAGAGATTCTTCATATTCAAGGGTAGTTTGAAATGATCCAAATAAAAAGATCTGGACTCTAACAGCTTGGCTAGTATTCTTTGCTTTAAGGCATCTAACGGGCTGTTTCATAGCTGCTCATCCAACTACCTGATCATTAGAGCTCATTAATGCATTAGATGATCTGAGGGTTTCAGGACATCATCTACTGGATAGTTCCACCAAATCTAAAGTGTTTGTTGGTCATTTTTAAAATGCTAGATAAATATGTGTGTGATGTCAGATCTGGGATGTTTGTAGGAACTGAAATGAATAATGTGTTTCCAGCATGCTGCGGAGCAACCAGATCAGCTGCATCGACAACGGTACCTTCACGGGTCTGAGCTCGGTGCGTCTGCTGTCCCTCTATGACAACAGGATTGCCAGCATTGCTCCTGGAGCCTTTTCTACCCTCCATTCCCTGTCCACCATGTAAGTCTGGATCAGCTGCTTAATTCAAGCCTCTTTGCTCTCCCTTTTGTTTGTCTTTATTTCTTCTCTGGTTGGGATTCTGTGTCTCTCACACAATGATTCACCGCCTAGTACATGTGCACATGTTGTTCTCTGGAGATCCTCATCCTCACAGATGCTCTTCATCATTATGGAGCATATTGGCTGTGATCCCAGACATTTATTATCAAAGCTGCAGGTTCCAGCATCTGCACACACACTGACGGTTAGACTTGGACCCGGTCTGGACTGGCAAGATTGTTTTTTTCCTCCCAAAGATGAGCACACCTGCTGCAACAAAGAGCTGCATTATGGGATGCCATATTTGCCTAATTGAAGTGTTTGGGTGGGAGTGTTTGTGGAATGTAGAAGGATGCTTTCATTAGACTGATCAGTGGTTTGGGCTCAGAAGAAAAGGACCGTTTGCTGTGTGAACCTTTGCTCCCTCAATCGTCTGAGAAACCAGATGAAAAGTTGGTTAGTAATTAATTAGATCATCTTCATCAGCTCTTGGCTGGTTTTAGTCTGTCTTTATTCCTGCTGCTGTTTGTTCATTACAATGGAGCAAGAGGAAAGACAAATGGGGACAGAGAGGTGAAGAATAGCAAAATCATCTTTGTTTTTTTCGTCATTCATTCGTTACCTTCTGCTTCTTTCCTTCGTTTTCCAATGTCGTACCTTCAATGTTAGTTTGGCTCCTTTAAATAAAAATATTACAGCCCATTTCTCCTATCTGCAGCAGCTTAATACCAGCTACATTGAATGCAGCATTTCGATGCATTGATGCTCCTATTTCTCATTCATATCTTACTGAACAGCAGCTTCTTCAGGAACAAGGACTGATGTTCTGTCTGGAGCTGAAGATCAGAAACATTTTTTATCTTCAGTAAAGTTTTCACCCAGGAAAATGTCAGTTCTTAATTTAAAACACTCGATTAGATGGGAAGTATATCCGACCAGAACTCCTAGAGTGCTCTGGAGTGTTGGCTTAGTGGTTAGAGCACTATGCTTGTGCTTGGAGAAGGTTGCAAATACCCTGTTTGATCCCCACGGCCTCCACTCTGGGTTCCTGAGCAAAAACCTTTACCCCGCACTGCTCCACACAATGGAGCACATGGACGCACACATTTTAATGGCGGGTATTAGTTGCAGGAGTCATAGAACCATTTAGTAGAGACCATGAGTAGAATATAGAAACCTACATTATTTGGACAACAAACAAGGCGTTTTCCCAACTGCGAAAAAACATATAGCACAATGGATGAAGATAAAAAGCTGTACATATTTTTAACTCGTAAAATATTATTTTTTCATGGTTTCAAATAATTATTTTTGTTGCCTAAACTGCAGATGAACTTGTGAATAAATATGTTTTACTGTCAACATCAGATTAAAGAGATGATTTAAAAAATCGAGATATGTCTAAATGAAGCCAACTATTCCACCATTTATGTAAAATCCCATGATTCTTCTTCATGTTTCCAGATAAATGTCTCATTTATCCATATATCTGAGTCAGAACAATTAGATTTCTTTTAGGGATGCACGATATTGGGATTTTGGCCGATATCCGATATGCCGATATTTTAAAACTCATGTAGCCGATAACCGATATCGATACCGATGTTGAAGCTGGACAAAAATAAGTAGTCATTGAAAATAGCAGTTTTGTTATCCATTTCTGACACTTTGAAAAATAATATACTCAAATATATTTTCATATGCTGATATCAAATTGATTTTTAAAAACGCGGTATCGATCTATTTTACTTTCAAAATCTCGTGAAATTTCATCGTTCTGTTACAAACTCTCATGATATTTTGCAAATTCTTGTGAGATTTTGTTAGTAAAATAGATCAGTACGGCGTCAATATATCAACATATAAAAATATGGCAAAATTTCTTGAATTTTCAGGGGATTTTGTAGCATAATGATGACATATAGCAATATTTCATTAGTAAAAGAGATTGATATGGTGTTTTTAAATGGCAATATATCAGCATATGAAGATATTGTGATATTTTAATGTATCATCATTTTTTCCCTCGTCTTTAGAAGTTTTTAAATCTGTAAAAAAGAAGTTTTTGAGGAAAAAGAAGAAGTAGTGCTTATTTAATTTTTTTTTAGACTTTAGAAAATTAGAAGCTGATCAAATATCGGGTTAAATATCGGTGGGGTGGCCGATGTCCGATATTCAGTTTTAAGGCCGATACAGGCCGATACCGATAGTGGGCCGATTATATCGTGCATCCCTAATTTCTTTATATTCTCTTTTTTTTGCATGTTATTTTTCATACAATGTGAAATCAGTAATGTGATTGTGGTAAAAGATGCTGCAGTCATGAATTCAAGAGTGATCCAGCCGATGCTCCTGATTGGCTGCTTTTACAATTTTCACTTTAAATGGATCTGAACAAAGTGGATGCAGGAATAATATTTTTAAGAGAGGAACAAGTTTAAAGAGGGGATATTAAAAAAATGAATAAATTGAGCTGATAACCTTTTCATGCATTCTCTGTTCTTTACTAAATGAATAGAAATAAGCTATAACCTTTCCTCTCTTCTCTTCGTCTTCTTCTCTTTGTCTCTGATCCGAATGTATTCAAAGGCTACAAAATGTTTTTTGTTGTTGCTACAAAAACATCCAACCATTGTTAAAACTGAGAATGGCCTAAACCTTCTTTTATTTGTGCTTTTTGTGATTTTCAGTCTATTTGGAGTTCTGAATGTGAAACAGGCGGCAACTTGAATAGATTGAATTACAGGATGACTTTTTCCTTAACCTTCTGGTGACCCTCCTCTGCATCCATGCTTCATTTCTCCCACAGAAACCTTCTCTCCAACCCGTATGTGTGTGACTGCCAGCTGGCCTGGCTCGGTCAGTGGCTGAAGAAGACCAGAGTGGTGAGTGGGAACCCCCGCTGCCAGAAGCCCGCCTTCCTGAAGGAGATCCCCATCCAGGACGTGGCTGCCCCTGACTTCACATGTGATGGTGAAATGTTTATCCTCTCCGCAGATATTTTTGCTTCCCTTCGACTCTAGTCAGCACTATTGGAAACATGTTTGTAAACTGTGGTACAACCAGCTGAGCTCCAGGAGAAATGCAGCAAACATTGGAGATGAAACTGAAGTGTGAGAGGAGGTAAAATTTGGCGTTCTGCAGCCATTGGTCCTCTGCGGACCTTAGTCAGCAGTGAAGACAGGACTTAAATGTTTGCCTAAGAAATACTTATGGATCCCAAAAATTAGGGGTTAGGTTGTTAAAAAAGCTTTTCACAGGTGGAAAGAAGTCTGAACTGCTCTGATTAAAGCTTACTCATTTGTAAAGGTAAGTTATCATAGAAGGAAAATTTCATTTCAGGTGAGTCAGATTAAAATTTCGATTAGCTGGTGATAACAAAAGGTTCAAAGTCTTTAAAACCTCATTTAATTAAGATTTAACATTATACTATTATTAGGAAACTCAATTCAATTTATTTATGTTCAATGCACATCATCTCAAGGTTCTTTACAGAGTCAGTTCAATCAATTGTTTCCAACAGACTGGTTAGAAGTTTTTTATTTAAGGAAACCCAGTTGATTGCATTAAGTAATTGGGTTTTGCAGCATTCCCTCCTCCTGGAGGAGCCTTTATTGACACTGAAAATCACTTGTATTGTGTGGCTGAATTTGCAGCAATCTCTCATACCGAGCATGCATGTAGGGACAGTACACCCATTAACAGGAGGAAACCTCCAGCAGAACCAGACTCAATGTAAGCACTCTTGTAAGCACTCATGGGAACCATTATTGATCCTCACAGCTACCTATGAGTCCCCGAAATGTAGCATAGTCATGGGAAATTGTCCCCACCAGGTTACCAATACATTGACATTCTTATCTGACTGTGCTGTAGGTAGTGAGGACCATGTTTGCGTCCCATTGACTTCCATTGATTTCCAACCCTTTCTATGCACTAATAATGACAATAACCCTAAATCTAACCATAACCAATGCATACCTCACCTGAAACTTAGCTATTGGCAAAGAAATCAATTAAGGACCAGCAAAATCTTTTCACTTTATAAAAACCGGTCCTCAATTTGATGGTGAAATCAGAAAAATTGTCGTCTCTCTCTGATGCCTAGACAGGAGTACAAATACAGGCTGGTGTTACTGCTCAACAGTGCGCCTAGCCAGATGGAGCAACTATGAGGAGGAAAAACAGAACACAAAGTTAAAAGTTGAAGTAACAAATAATGCAATATGGAGAATAGAAGGAGAAACTTGCAGGGATAGGGAAAGAAATTCTATGTCCTCAAGCAACCAAAGCCTATAGCAGCATAAGTATAGAGAGACCAGAGTAATCTCAGCCATTCTAATTACAGGATAAGCTTGATAAAAAAAAATAACTTCTAAGCCTACTCTTACGAGTACACAGGGTATCTTATTCGCAAACTAAAAAAGGTTTGGTTCTATAAGAGTGGAACCTGATACGTAAAAATGTATGCTTCTGATTCTACTTTCAGAAAGTCTAGGAATCACCATCAAGCCTTCAGATTTGGAGTGAAGTATTCTGCTAAGAACAGCACACCACCCATCCATCCATACAATCGCTGAACACTCTTTACTTCCTAGTCCTGCTTTCTTCTCCTCCACAGGTTCTTAAGTCATTACCCAGGGAATGAGTTTGAAGAGTAGTTTTCTTGGTTGCTTCAGACCTTGATGTTCATTCCTGCATCTTGTACAAACACATTCACATAAATCTTCTTTCAGTCCCTCTCAGCCGTTCCAACAGTTCATACCACCCTCAGCTTTAAATCAGAGCTCTTACAGTCTCGACAGAGGTGACTAATGTCCAACTTTAAATCTTCCTCGTCCTACTGAAGTATAAAAGTAATGACATGAAGGTGGAGGGCAGTAAATCATTAATGCAAAGTGAAAATTAGGGGGTTTGTTTGACCTTTCCTTTATGGCACACCACTGCTCAGGTTGTGGAAATCAGAGATCTAGATCAGTAGCAACATAAAATCAATGATGCTTTGGCTCAGAACCAACCATCAAATGTTTGAAGACATCCTGCCGACGCCAAGACAAACAAACTGTTCCACATAACCCCCTAAGCTGAGGCCTTCTCACTTCTAGGAGGCACACAAAGACTCTACAGGAGGCAGAGGGACACACACACACACAATAGTACTCAGTGTGGCACCTATTTTTAGCCAAGTAAAATGGTCATTAAGGTGTCCAGATGCAGCCGGGGGAAAGGTAAAGTTAATTGAATTTGTGAGAAGATATTTAGCTCACATTTAGGTGTTAGTTCGATTAGCCGCGTGCAGAGTGAGTAAGCCCCGGGCTGCACCTCTCTGTGGACTCCATAGCGACATGCAGTAGATTAGACACACACATTTGCACATGCATGCATACATTACATGACCCTTCTACCCGTCCCAGAAGCGCTCATTTACTCGACATTAAGAGATTAGCTCAATTATAAAACTACAAAGACAACGTCAAAACAACCACAGGACACAGGAGAGAGCTATTAGACATGCATCAGTCTGCACACATGGAGCTTTCCTTAAATGCATGGTGAGGACCATTTGGCGGGTTGAGGGTTTGATTTCCGGCTTCGACACACAAAACAACACTGAAAATGTAAAGAACAATTTGTGTGTAGCTGAACAATTTTGTGTGAAATCATAGTGAAAATGCTCTGAATGGCAAATGAGCTTAGTGAAGGACTGAGCTATTTACATGATGGCATTTTAAACACAGGGACTGACAGACCCAAAGGTTCACATATGGGATGGCTAACTCTCCCTTTTTGAACTACACTCAAGCTCAAGTTCCAGTTGTGTTATGATTGGCAAGGCTTCCAGTTCTAATTATCATTAATTATCTTTTACCTCAGCTTGTTTTACTTTAGAGAACATCGCTGAGCTGCTTACATTCAGCACATCTCCATCAGAGCTGTGCTTCTGTGCTCATGTTTGATGCAGGAAATGGAAAAGCCTCACGCCAAGAACAACACAGCTTCCATCTCTGATCCTTCTTATCAGAGTCCTTGAGTGATTGCAATCACTCTGTGTCTGTGTGAAGTGTATGATCATTGCAGCCAAACAAGTGAAGAAAATATAAATAAATCTAGACTATAATGTCAGAGCAAAGATAACTTGCCTTACCCAGGCACAGTAGTCCTCTGTGGATTTTACATCCTAAACCCCAACAGACACATTCTATACCAACCAAAATGACCATTAGAAGTAACAAATATGGCTTATAGACCTGAACAGACCTAAAGTTTTACTAACTATCCTCCTTTTTCTCTTTCACATAAACCAAAAGTAGGGAAACCTAAGAGACAGCAGCAGCTTAGCCTAAATGTCAGCTTTTTCTGCCTAGATTGGATCAAAAGGAATATCTTTATTTTGACCTTGACATTTCATAAAGGCATTTATTAATTGAGATAAAATGAAAACTTTTCCAGAAAAGGACATATGTTTCCCACAGCTGGCTGCATATATGTGCCAAATAAGTGTTTTTGATGTATTTGTCTGACTCTTTAAAATACTGTTGAAGATGTCTCATTACAAATTTCTCAGCGATATATTTCATTTAATGCTCAGGTTGTAGGTCAGATGACTTCACAGCTATTCACTTAACATCTGCTTGTTTTAAAAGCATTAGAAATAAAAATGACCAAAAATCAGAGTCCCAGCTGAATTAGCTTTTCCCTTTTCAATTATTGTATCTGCTTAGTGTCTCTGTATTTTTCTCCCTTATTCCTCTATTTCTCCCCTTCTTTTTGGTCTCTACTCAAACATTTGTCTTCTCTACTCTTTCCAGGTGCTGAGGATAATGGCTGTCTTCCTGCATCTGGTTGTCCCGACGTCTGCACATGTTCAGACGGAGTGGTGCGATGTAGCAACAGAGGGCTGCATGCTCTCCCTAAAGGCATTCCCAAGGACACCACAGAGCTGTGAGTCCGGGGTGCACACACTGAAATACTCACAGGCTTGTTTTTTTAGGACAAACAGAAAAAGACATGAAAACTCGTTTCACGGCTGAAATGATGTTGGTCCAGTGCAGAAAATTAGAAAACACTGAAAACTGAACCTCCAGCAGTAATAATGAATTATTGCACTCAAAGGCATAACCACAAACAGACAAGCAGAGCTCTGTGGCTGTAAAATGGGACTAGGCTACAGGGTCAATAGCAGTGATTAGGTATTGATCAAGCTGAAGAAGACACTCCATCATGCTGTCTACATGACCTACTTATGACCTGAGGGAGAAGCAGGACGCCACTGGATCATGAAATGTGGGAGCGTCCCTGTGAGCATCAGTGAAACTCTTCAGTCTAAATTTTTCATGATGGCTGGAAGGTGAAGGCTGCTTAATTTTAACACAAAGATGGTTTCACTCAAAAACAGCACCAGATTGAAGATGATTTCAGACAGCACTTAGCCTTGTTCCCTAAAGACTTGGTAGTTGGACTCGTGGTCTGAGCCTCCAGTCTAAGAAACAGATTTTATATCATGTGATGAAGTGTGAAAGGAAGCTGGTATGACTGCAGCTGCTGCTCAGGTTTTACTTTGAAACGTTGAGGTTGATACAGTGCAGTGATGATGGTGGATTATAATGGCATGTCAGTGGAACAAAAACGGTTCCTGTTAGCTGAACGCTTCAAAATAATGACCACTTTAATGTCACCACATCTCAACCCTGCTTTAAATGAATCAGGATCATTTCAGAACAAAATCAACAAAACTTAGCCACATTCTCACTTTGCTTAAATAGCTGCAATGTTACAAGGGAACTTCCTCCTGAAATTATACAAATAAAGATACTTCCTGTCCTCATAATCTAAAAGTGTCCAAATCAAAGCACTCAATGTTCAACGTCCAACTTAATCCTAAAATAAATTTTAAAAAGTGTTAGAAATGCAGTAAATTAACTGTTAAGTTATTAAAAATTGAAATATGGTTGTTATAAATGTTCTAATTTACTCTTAAAAACTTGTTGGTTGAAAGAAAATAGCTCTGAATATAGATTTTCCCCCTGGTGTATAAATTATTTTTGGTTCCTCCAACTGTTAACTTCCTCCTTTAACACCCAGCATGAACCTCTGAGCATAATTAAGCCTAGAAGGTCTGTATTTGTGATCCTTGCCTTTCTCCTGCCAGGTACCTGGAGGGTAACATGCTGTCCTCTGTTCCTAAGGAGCTGGCAGCCCTGAAGCAGCTATCTCTGGTGTAGGTACCTTTCTTATGCAGCAGATCACCTGAATGCCTGCTGGTTTAGGACTCAGTGGTGTTTGCATGTGTTGTTCTGAGCGAAACTGTTTGTTCACAGGGACCTGAGCAACAACAGCATCAGCACAGTGGCTCCGTATACCTTCAACAACATGACACAGCTGGCCACACTGTAAGTTCCTGAAGCAACATGACAGAGTTTTTAGAAATATTCCTGTGATAATCAGGTTGTAGACCATACAGGTTGTTTTATTTAGAGATTTTTGATGCTATATATGGGTGTGTGTTCCTTCCAGCATCCTGAGCTACAACCAGATCCGCTGCATCCCACTCCACGCCTTCGATGGCCTCAGGTCTCTCCGTCTTCTGTGAGTAGCACGCCTCCCCACCAAGTGCTGCAGTGGATTCAGTGTTCTGTATCCTGCCAGGTGTCAGGATATCACAGGGCCACATCACACTTTAATAATGTCTCTGATGTCAAAGCAGGTGAAGTCCTGCTCAGAATGCCCATCACTTGTTGTTTTAGGGAAGAGAAGAAATAGTCTTTCCATCTGCATGCTGTGGCCTTTCTCTGTCCACCAGCATTTCTTCCTCCATCCATCCTCTCCTCCTTTCCTCTGCCTCCACCCAGGGTTGTATGTGATGAATCGACTCTCAGGCTCAGTCTCTCTGGGTCATCCATTCGGTTGTCCACCCTCTGTCTCCTGAAACCCACATGCCTGCTTAGACACAGCATCCATGTGAATATTACTCTCTGTCCGCCTCCACACATCATCCCAGATGTGGAGACACTAAACAGTGCAAGAACACACTTCCTTAGAGAATCTACTAAATCAGTTGGTTCTATATTCTACATATAGTTTGGCTTTTACTACAAAGATTGCTTGGTCTAACCCTAATCTGTTTATAATTTATTTTGCAAACATTTGTTTGGGTGAAGAAGGTGACCCAGATTCTGCACCTGCTGTGGAGGAGAGCCATCATTTTAATTTCCTAAATCAAGAAAATAGAAAAAAAGCTATTCTGTTTAATTTGTTTGAATAGAATATGTTAGTATTTGGAATAAGTGATATTCAGTTGCCATTTTATCAAAACATTTTGTGATAAGTCTTGTGTTGGGTTATGGGCTTACATCACAGCCTGAAAACCAACCTTAAAATGCCACACTTTACTACATATGTGCATTTGGAGTTCAAATCTACAATATTTAAATGCCACAATATTTCTAAATAAACTGAGATTCCCTTATTAGAGGAATCATTCCTAAAGTAAGAGAAGGGTTCCCAAACATCAAGCAAAATGACGACTTTTATCATGACCATCTTTCACCTCAGTAACAACAAAATATTACAGTAAAAAAGCTATTATTATCAATATTCCTGCAGTTGTATTTATGAGCTAAAGGGATGCAGATAAATATACTAAATAATAATTCAGTTTATGTATTTAAGGCTTTTATTGTGAAGGTTTGACAGAAGTTGAGTCCAGGTTGTTTCCTGTATTTAGGTCATAAAATATGTTCTCATCGAGCTGCATCAAGCCTGTTCTGAATATTATGGCTGTGCTACAGAGAAAACCCGATAGCCTAAGCTGGTTTTAACAGTCTAACCCAGCTGATTCCAACCTTCCTGTAACACATCCCGAGGGAGACGACCAGGAGGCATCCGAATAGATGCCCGAGCCACCTCAGCTGGCTCCTTTTGACATGGAGGAGCCACGACTCTACTCTGTGCTGCTTTCGGGTAACTGAGCCCCTCACCCGATCTCAAAGGGTGCACCCAGCTACCCTGCGAAGGACACTCTTTTTAGGCCGCTTGCATTAGCGATGTTTTCCTTTTGGTCATTACCCAGATCTCATGACCATAGGTGAGGTTGGGAACTTAGATTGAACTGTAAATTGAGAGCTTTGCCCCCCCGACTTAGCTCCCTCTTCACCACGACAGGTAACCCTAACTCGACCATGGCCTCAGATTTGCAGGTGCTGATCCTCATCTCGGCTGCTTCTCACTTGGCAGCGGTGCATGCCGAAGGTCCTGACTTGTTGAGGCCAGCAGGACAACATCATCTGCAAACAGCAGAGATAATATACTGAGGTTCCCAAACCAGACACTCTCCGGTCCCTGGCTGTGCCTACTGTTCTGCCCATATTCCCTTTTATCCCCACTGTTTGTTCAGTGGGAATAAAAGCTAATATCATTACAGATTGTCCCACCTGAGCTGTGGAGCTCTATGTAGCTCTACCAGAGTCACCATGGTCATCCGTACTCCTCCTTTAATTAATATTCCCCTTTTCAGTCTGGGTGGATGTACACGTCTTGGTAGATCTGCAGGCCAATCTCTCTCTGTGTTCAGATGATGGATTGAGTTCTGGGAGGTGTTCAAAGCTTGGGATGTTGTTCTAAAACCTAGCCCTGATTTGAACTGAATGAGAACATCCTCCCTGGTCTTTTTGATGGTTCTTGGTGGTTATAATGCTCTAGTTTTCAAAAGTTCTCTAAAGAACCGCTAAGATTAAGACACACAGAGCTGGACTCTGGTTCTTTGCTTTAGGTTACACAGGGCTTTTATTTAGGGGTGTCGGAAGGTGAAGGGGCTGTATAGAAAAACACACCATTCTTTGGATTTTTATTGGTAAAATAAAAGGTAAATTTCCCTTCTGCGTCATGATCACAAACTACTCTGTGTTTGCTCGTCAATGATTCAATCGATGTCATGAAGCTGATTGGGGTTTTTCATTGGCAAACCTTAGATGCAGAACTCTGAGGACTGCAGCAGTCGCTGTGGTGCAGTCTGTTAGAGCGTCCATAGATGATGTTTCAAGAAAATAAAGGGGTCAGAACAAAGCTTCAGCTCCTATTGTTGCTTAGAGCAGAACTTGTCTGTCTGGCCCTCTGCAGACAGCTTTGTTTCTGACCTTTTCTCTGTGTATCGACTGTATCTCTCATGAAGCATTTCACCTTGGAGAAGTTTACTGGTGACTTTTTGTATTCTTTCATGCTTCCTTCCTTTCATTTTAGTTGATGTTGCCGTGGGGACTGGTCCCTTAATGCCCCCACATAGCAACTGGTTGCCAGGCAGTCATCACTGTCACTTCCTCATTACCCAGAAGCCCCTGTGGGCGAGGCTTGTGCAGAGCTGTTAGACCACCTTACACAAACACACACACACAGCAATGCTTAAAGACATTAGGAACCGACACAAGCACACATTGTGAGAAACACGCACAGACAAATGTTGCACAGTGGCGCATGCTGACCTTCATGCACACATGGACACACACACATAGAGCTTAGTTTCCAGTAGTGCCAGTTTGATAGCTGTCCCCTGCCACGTCCCTCTGCTCTAATGGAATGTGAACTAGTTTCCAGCAGGCAACACACTCAAATGGACAGACACACACTCTGCTGTCCTCAGAGACAAGACCTTCAGACTCCAAATAAAACACAAACACACATCTAGAGACGTGAACACATAAATGGAAACCCATACGACAGAGAAGTCCACACCCTAAAAGAACTTGACTGGTTCAGACACAAAATCAGCTCAGGAGACCCAGTCCTTTCCAAAAACTAGCAGTTACCCGACAACGAAGATGAGCCCTCCGTTTGTTCTGTTGTTTTCTTCATGAATATTTAACGTGTTTTAATTATTAATAAGGCTGATTGTATTATAAACCCAAACAACATTACATGCTGTAGTTTGAAGCTTTGGGGGTTTGAAATCTGTTGTTTAGAGAATGTTCATCCATTCCTCCATCCATCAGTCCATCCATCCCTCCATCAGACCGTCATTCACCCTTCCATTGATGTGGATCTTAACTGTGGACAGTCACTCTGGACGGTCAAATAATTTATATTTTCATCATAAAGCAGCTCTTTTTATTTCTGCACAGTTTTGATAATGAGCAAAAGAACAGTTTAGTTTGAAAAGTATGCCCCACCCCTATCCTTCCCCCATTGACAAACCTCCATATGCATGTGATAAAGCATAAATCTCATAATAAAAGTAATGGAAAGATATCTGTCTAGAAGAAATACAGCCAGTTTCAAATCAAGATTCAGTCCAAAGCTTTCCTCCTTGAGAAAGTTGGTCTGATTTACATGAGCTTTGTTCGTTCTTTGGTCATTCTTGTACTTCAGCTCTCTCTTTTCTTCCTCCTTTCTGACCTTTTAGGCTGGTTTGCTGTAAAGTAATGAAAGTGAGAAGAGGTATTGCAACTTTCCCTTTATTGGCCACCAGGCTTCTCTGTTTACAAAACCTGCCGTTCACACGCTTTGAGAAAACACCCCTCATTGGGAAACGCTCTTAGTGGCTGATTGGAAGCTGGAGACTCGACAGAGTGAACCCTATTGGCATGGGAAAAATTGTGTTAAAGTTAGAAAACTCTGCATTTATTTTAATCAAATTACCTCTTCTGCCACACCATGAAAAAACAAAAACATTTTTCTTAGAGAGATTTTTTAAAAAAGGTATGGGGCCTTTCAGGATCAATTTTGGCCAGATGGTAGAAACTGGTACCGTACAAACTATATGTTTCAGAAAAACAATGTCATCAAACAGCTAATAGGATGGACCTTGCCATCAACCATGTAAGAAATGAGTTAATTGGGCCTCAAATAAAAACTAGCAGAAAAACCCTTGGGATCAAATGGAGTGAACCCTTTAGTTTGTTTAAACATCCAGCCACCTGATGAAGCTTGAATTACAGGTGTGGACGTATGACTATATTTGAACCTGGCAGATCTGTTCAGTTCCATATTCATTCTTGCAGAAACATTAAGAACCTGATAATTTATCATTGATCCGTGGGTCATCCAGACTGTTTTCTAATGTGCTTAATATCCGTGCCTCTTGTTTTCTGTGTTGTTAGGACTCTCCATGGCAACGACCTGTCTACCATCACTGAAGGAGCCTTCAGCCACCTGACCTCTCTGTCTCACCTGTAGGTTCAGCACTGTGTAGTTCTCTCTGTGTTTAAGATGTTTGATTAGTGCATTCATGTGTCTTGTCCTTGTGCTCAGGGCTCTCGGGGCCAACCCTTTGTACTGTAACTGTGACTTACGCTGGCTCTCTCAGTGGGTCAAGGCCGGCTTCAAAGAACCTGGTAACAAATCAATATCCTATGAACAAACCTGTAAGACTTTGTCCATGTCTGAATCTGATCCATCTTCTATGTAACTGTAGGCATTGCTCGCTGTGCCGGACCTCCTGAAATGGCTGACAGACTGCTGCTCACTACGCCACTCAACAGATTTCAGTGTAAAGGTGAGATTTTTTGGATCTGTTGGGTACTGACATAATTTTAAGGTACCATTTAAAGTAGCCAGATGAAATTCCAGATTAACTCTGTCATGTCGCTCTATTATTTGACTTGCTGTGTGGTTTAAAATTTATATTACTATTAATTCTTTACTCAGTAAAGCTGTTTGCTTTAAACACACGTCAAACTGAAGACACCTTCACACCCCTTGAACATTTCCATATTTTTCTCACAAAAACTAATTTAAATATTGAAATAAGCATATTTTTGAACTCCTCAACCCAAATCAAACATGAGGCAGCTTGAATTCATTTAGAGTTTCTCTGTCGGGATCACATGGAACAGGTGTTTTGGGGTATGACCAGCTTTGATAATCTCCAGAGGATCTACTAGGATTGCTAAACTTCAGATCTTTCCTCGGGTTCTCAGTTTTTAGGTGTGGACTTTGACTAGGCCATTCTAACCCATGAATCTGCTTTGATCTAAACCATCTCTGGGTGGATGTTCAGAGTGGCTGAACTCCAAACATCCAAATCTCAAATCTTCTGCAGCCTCTAACAGGTTTTCTTCTATTTAGCTCCGTCCATCTCAGGTTTGAACAGCTTCCCTCTTCCTGCAGAAGGAAAGCACCCCTATAGAATACTGCTGCCACTGCCATGTTTCACTGTATAGTTGACATGTTCATATCGAGTTAGTTTTCCTCCACAGACTGTCTCTTTTGATCAGATCACCTTCATTTTTCATTTCCAGTTGGAAATTTAGCTTCAACTGTGTATTTCTTTTTGCAACTACATCAAGCCCAAATTTGTTAAGCCTTTAACTGAAAGTTCTCTTGTGGAAAGATTATCCCACTTTAATTGTGAATTTCGCTAAATGACTTCTAAAGGCAAGTGGTTACACTGAGTTTAATTTTGGGATGTCACAGTAAAGGGCTTAAATACAACTACTAGTGACTTTTTTGTAAAAATGCTAAAAACTCTAAATTTTCTTCATCTTTCCATTGATGCACTAATTTTGTTAGTCATTAAAATCCCAAAGAAAAACCGGCTGTTGTTTGGTCATGCTTTAAATAATTCTATGTAGAATCCCTCTTTTATTCCCGTGGAATAGAATAGAGAACATCAGACAGACAGCTAGGTTTGCTACAATCTGCTACTGCAGCTGAGATGAGAGGAAACAGGCCTGTAACATTACAAGCCTCATTGCCTATCAACTATCTAACTTGGTGGAATAACTTTGGTTTTTAGTGATAGTTTAACCACATTCACAAAAACAGCAGAAGAAAATAAAGTGCTAGTTCTATTCTCCATGTATTTCACAAGATACTAAGGTTTGTATTTTTATGTATCTTTAACTATAAAACCATTCAAATATATTCCCCCTTACACTTTGCCTTGTTCTTGTCTAGGATCTTTTTGTTATGTCTCCATTAACCAAAGAGAAGAGCCTTTAGCACAACATGACTAGAAATATACAGCTGCTACTTCCCTTTGCCCTTTCTCTGTCTCCCTGGGATCACCCCTCATCTGTTCCCCTCCTTAATAAACAGGTCCTGTGGATATCAGCCTGATGTCAAAGTGCTCCCCCTGCTTGGCGGCCCCCTGCCGGAACAACGGCACCTGCGTCTCTAATGCTGCAGGATCCTACCACTGCACCTGTCCATATGGATTCAAGGTGAGAAGGAGAACATTCTCAGGCATCGCTGTTCAAACATTTTGCTCTGTGTGCAAAAACACATTTTAAATTACAACACCAACATGTTTTATTAGTAATTATTGTTTGCCTGTTTAACAATACTTTAAATGTGCAATATTTCAATGAAACAAAGAATGAAAGAACGGGTTTAGCCTCTAAGCAAGTTTCCTTCAATCATTTTTCATTGGATATACTTAATGCAGCCCAAATTGAATAAAACTGGCCTCAGAGGTAGCAGAGTAGCAACTAGTACTTCAATATGTATTCAATTAAACTAAAGTGGAACCAGACTTCATTTACAAGATTGTGTCTTACTATTATAATTAATTATATTACAAATGTGAAAATATAACTGTATAAAATAAATTTTTTAATAATTTTTTGGCATTTTCGCCACCATGTTGCAGTACTCAAGTGGTGATGTCACGGGGTTGGTCGGCTCTGTAGTTAGCAGTTTAAATACATTGATAGTACCAGCTACATCTCACAACTGTAAAACAGCAGATGTTTGGTACGATGAAAAACGAAGCTGAAAGACCACTAGAGCTTCTAAATGCCATTGCTTTTGAGTCCATTCACTGGGACTCGAGCCATGGGCCTATTCTGCAGAAAGACTTGAGGGTAGAGCAGCCCCACGTTCTACAAGTAAAGGTAGCCATACTTTATAGGGATGTTACTCAAGAAGAATGTAAAAGTAATATGTGGTAAAACTACTTAGAAAAGTATTTGTATTTTACTCGAGTACTAGTAACAACCCATCTCTGAAAGATGAACGCTGTTTACATTTGAGGTGTTATTAGTTACTAGGCAAAAAAAAAAAGCCAAACATACCAGAGAAGGAGATGAGGAAAAAATCATAGAAACTGGCCTACTGTTCAGTCTGTGCTATATCTGATACGTCAACCTGGAGATGCGGTTCCACATTCTGATTGTAGATTCTAAGTTTTTAAGCCAGCTTTTCAATACTAATATAGCTTTCACTAATTTATCACATTAGTTGGAGAAACACTTTAAAAAAAAGGTGGGGTGTTACCATGTAGATGTAAGATGGCTAGAGTGAAGGAAAGGTCTTGACTTTGTCTAACAAAAAAAATATATTAACTCTCCCTTTTCCCATGATTTCTAAATTGGAAACACCATTTATGGTACTTAGAAAAAGGAATATGTGCTTTATTGAAGGAATTATATCACAGTTTTCTCTCAGACTGTCACAGACTGAACGAAGATGACAGAAACTCCCATTTTAGACTTGATTTCTTATGTGAGAAAGTCAAAATTAGAAAACTATTTTCACATGATTTTATACCATCCTGTCCAAAATAAGTAAAAACAGGAAGATTTATCACATAAGGCACCAGATGTTGCTTGAGATGAAAATATTTTCCCCACAACGCAAACAGTGCATGTTTTTAAAGCCTTTTCATCATGTTTGATTTTGTCTCTGAGAGAAATGGACTTTCTGCATTTTCCTTCTCAAACCTGCAGCCAAGAATAATATAACAGTCACCATGACAACCTCTTCTGCCGCTCAAAAGATAATGTTTGATTTGGGGACTTTCAAAGTAAAACTAGTACTATTTCAAATTAAGATTCTGGTGCTTTGATTGCTGGGACTGCAGAAAAAAATTCAGCAAATTCAGTTATATTCTAAATATGCTGAAACAGAAATTTAAATGTGATTTCTTGTTGAAACGTATTTTTTTTAAGCAAATTAAAGACTAGGATTTACATATGTTGAATTATTAAAAGCAAGAATTAACATCCCCAGTATTACTACATAATTGATCAACTGAGGAATTTCATGTCATTTCAAAATAAAAAATTATTTATATTATTTTTGGTTTTCATAATGTCTATCTGTGTGCTCCATCAAATGGAAGGAAACATTTATTTTGGCTGCTAAAAGCACTAAGTTGAAGCAACATCGTCATTTCCTCAGGAATCGTTTCATATAAGGTTAGAAAAGTAATTTTTACAAGGATAAACAAACCATCAATCAGCACACACAACTTTTTTAAATAGGCTTTCTGGTCTAAGGAATTACATGAAAGCATTTGAAAAGTGTATATTATTGCAGGTTGTGCAGAATGAATGAGACAACATGGGTTTTGTTAGCTATGGTTACTAAGCTATGCTTTAGTCCACGCAGCCTCATATTTGCCAGGCTAATTGTTTGGAGTTGCAGGAAACAAAACTCAGACTATAATTCATGTAAAACTCCAATAAATATCTTACTTCAGCTCTGTCACTGATTTATTGCTACCATTAATCTTTCTGATTAGGTTTATCAGCTCCACGGTCCTCTGTTGTGGATTTTGGAAGAACTGCCAAAACATTTTATCAAAAGCAAAACTTATATTAGCTTTTTTGGAAGCCGTTAAAGTTTAAACCCAGATGTTTGTGCATGTTCCTCCTGTACCTCCCTGTACCAGCTGCATGTACCTGACCTTCTAGGTCATGTTCTGGTTCTGGTTTGTTTCAAAGCTAATGAATGCTGCCAAACAAAGATTAAATTTGCAAAAAATGTGGGTTTGCTTTAATACATTATTCCTTCAAAAGGTCCTCGATTGGCAGGTCTGCATTATTATTATTTACCGTATTTTCACGACTATAAGGCGCACTTAAACGTCTTTTTTTTCCCTCAAAATGTGCGGTGCGCCCTATGGTGCGGTGCGCCCTATGTGTGTTGTAACTGCGACTTTTGAGACCACCTCATTGAGGAGATGATGAAAGAGTGGCTGAATGTAAGGAGACCAGGTGTTTTTTTTCCACCCCTCACCATCGCTGTTAATATGTAACTCCATGCGTGCCCATCTCACAGCTGATGTGAAAAACATGGGGAAACAAATTAACCCTGTGCTCGCTGTTCAACCGCTCGACATCAGTGTGAACCGGACCCAGCAGGTGCAGCAGAAGCAGCGAGTTTACATGCAAAGTCAATGGTTGACGCGGGTATAGGCACAGCAAAAGGTCCCGCAGCGCGTTTTGGTGCAGCACGTCGGGAGCGTTTAAGCGCTGCTGCAGCTCAGATGGAAAAATTTAAGTTTTGCTGCTGGACGCGCCGCATCAACCAATCAGAGAAGCTGATCTGGGAGCTGGCAGCGAGACAGACAGCGCTCTGATGATATTAACGCAAATGAAAAGGCTCGGTGGATGCGTGGCTGAGGCAGGTGTATGTGAGAAGACTAGGTGGTTTTTTCCACGCATCACCATCGCTGCGTGCCCATCTCACAGCCGATGTGAAAAAAAGATGAATCATATTAACGCTGTGCTCGCCGTTATCCCGGGGGTCTGACAAAGGAGCTTCAACCGCTCGACATCGGTGTGGAGCGGCCGTTCACAGTAAGGCTGCGAGCGGCGTGGGAGCGATGGATGACAGACTGAGACCACAGTTTCATGATAAATGGAAGGCAGCGCCGGGCAGATTACGCCACCGTTTGCGGATGGATTGTAGATGCTTGGACTACTACGTGTCTGCTGGCTCTGTTGTTCAAGCTTTCGCAAAAGCCGGCATTATTTCTGAGGAGCTGCGCTGCACGGAAAGTGACTGACAGCGCAGAAGGGGAAACTGGCATGTCGGATTTAGCGCAGCTGTTTAATTCAGAAACAGAGGATGAGGACTTTGAGGGGTTTGATTAATACTCTGTAATAAATACTTGAATAAAGCACAATCATACTCAATTTTGCTCCCGCTCTATTTTTCTACCTGAAAACTTAATTCAACACCAGCCTCTGGGCCGCAGCGCATCAGGGCTCACCTCCGCAGGTGTTTTTTCATCTAAATACTCTAAATCTTTTTGAGTGAGAAAGTCCACCTGAAAATTTAATCATTGCAGTCAGTTCATCCAGATTATTATCCTGCCTATGTTTTAAGTTAATTTATGCGTCAATAAACGAAGAAGAAGGGGAAACTGGCATGTCGGATTTAGCGCAGCTGTTTAATTCAGAAAGATGAGGACTTTGAGGGGTTTGATTAATACTCTGTAATAAATACTTGAATAAAGCACAATCATACTCAATTTTGCTCCCGCTCTATTTTTCTACCTGAAAACTTAATTCAACACCAGCCTCTGGGCCGCAGCGCATCAGGGCTCACCTCCGCAGGTGTTTTTTCATCTAAATAATCTAAATCTTTTTGAGTGAGAAAGTCCACCTGAAAATGTAATCATTGCAGACAGTTCATCCAGATTATTATCCTGCCTATGTTTTAAGTTAATTTATGCGTCAATAAACTGTAGCAGAGGAGTAATCGCAGCCCTGTGTCATCAGCGATGTGTCTCTCACGGCTGGTTCCCAGGTTTGAATAATACTTTGTAATAAATACACCTTGCAGCTTTATTTGCTGTGATCAGTGGGAATAAAGTAGTTTTAATATGTTTTTAAGTGGGAAAATCCACCTGAGAGGACATGTACCTTTATATAAAAAACGCGCCCTATAGTCCGGTGCGCCTTATGTGTGTGTTAAATACAGAAATGGCACACATAACTGAGACTGCACCTTTTAGTCCGGTGCGCCTTATGGTCGTGAAAATACGGTAAATGATCCTGGTGTTGTAGCAGATTTACCAGACTGAACGTTAGCCTTGCATCAATAATATTTTTAGTTCTTCATTAAAGCAGTAATGATCACTGCAGCAGAGACTTTTAAAATAAAAATATACAGAAAGAATCATTAAAGTAATATTAATAAATCACTAATATCAGTAAATATCATTAAAGAATCACTAATATTTAACATTATTTAATCGTAGTTATATTCAGTTGTGGTTCAGACTGCACATAGCGAAGCTAGGCATTATTACCATTGCTAGAAAAAGAAAAAAAGGAAAGGAAAGTCCTTAGAAGACGCCCTTAAAAATAACAACTGGTCAATAGACTGTCAGATTTCTTGAGCTCAGGAGAAAACCATACTTACGGAGTAACTGATGGCTACTAGTTAAGCTCCCTCAGTTCAAATCTCTGGTGTTGTGTGATGACACTGACCTCTGTGGAGTAAATCATTATTTATTCTTAATTTCTCTGTTTTTTGTATTTTATGAGATAAAAACCTAAGAATTTATCTATTACAAAGCCTTGATAATTTTGATTTGAATTGAGAAAGCTTCCTGATGGGAAAGCGAAACGTCTTCAAACTTGGAAAACAAAGTCCACTGGTTGGTTTTTTTCACTTTTTTTCACTTTTTTGGAATTATAAAATTTGCTATAGATGGAGACAAAAGCTGGTAAAGAGATTTTTTTCCATTATCCCCATAATATTAGACTTTCAGTGAATGAAAATGTCAGCGATGTTACAGAAACATCAACAGACGGGTCTCTGATTTGCTACTCACTGGCAGCTGACAGAAAAAAAGGGCAGATGTATGGGGACCCTGAGTATTAAAACGACAGCACACAGGAATTGAACTCAACACAGCAAAGGGACAAGAAGTGAACTTTCACCACTAGGCGGGCTATTGAGCTTTCTCTGCAGAGCAAAATAAGATGTGTGACAAACTGCACCTCTTTCTGCCTCCATTCCTGCTGTAATCCCACCCTGACCCCCACTTCCCCCTCCCCTTCTCACCCATCACCTAATATGTGCCGCTTTAGAAAGACTAAAACAGCATTAAACTTCAGATGTCTAGTCAAGAAGTAAGTTACTTATTTTCCGTATTCTGGGACAATAAAGGATTTACATTTAAAAACAAGCCTTTAGTTTTTCATATCTTTTTTTAGTCCTTTCTATCCAAAATAATGAATTATTGCTTATTTTTCCTTTTAGGACCTTAACCGCTGAACCTCTAATGTCCAGTCTACTTCCTTATGTGTAGGTGTCATTTATAATCTTTATAAGGACATAGCTTTGATCTCATCTGAGCACAGATTTTACAACTTTTTCGCTGTACAAGCAAACAAAACCTTAACTCTGTTTTTAATAAAACAGTCATCTGCCAAGGACACACGCTGGGAAACAGCAGCAGCTTGAGTGGGCTTATGTGGGTTTTTTTTTATTTCTGTGGTTGTGTCCATCGGGTCATTATTAAAACATGGTGATGAAGCACAGTTAAGTACAAAACCAGAGTAAATCTGAAGATAGTGGAAAACATGAACTCCACCTGAGACAAGAACATAGATGGTATGAAGGATGAAAACAAAGAGCTAAAGCTGGAGAAATAGGAATGTGGGGAGAGTTTAATACAACAAGCAGGGTTAGAGAGGAATAAGTGTGTAAGAGAAACAACAAGAGAGAATAAAGATTGATGGAGATTGAAAGAATAAATGCATTTCTCCCTCAGAGGAGATGGGTGTGCTGAAGGTTTAAGATTAAAACTGTTGCTACAGGGGAGGCCGGGGGTAAGTAAATGTGACAATGGCCTATTCCACCTGAACTTAATCAACAATCACATGGCTCATCTCAGGGGAATTGAATAAAACGAGTTTTAAATTAATACTTGCTTAAATGAAAAAGCAATTTCTTCAATATTTATTTCCTATTTTCACAATGAAGGGGAAGATGGGTGTTTTGGTCTTTTACCTCAAGAACTGCTTTGCTCCAACTTCCTTTATAACGATATTGTAGAACCAAGGATCTAGTCAAAGTAACCGAGAATCACAATCTTAGAATACAATGAGCTTTTGACCCCAACAGTTTCATGTTCATTAAATCTGAATGTTTGTCAGTATTTGTTTAAGATATTTACTTACAAACCTGATGAATGGTCAGATTGAATAAAATTAAGGAATTATTTAATAACTGTTGATGATTAGAGATGCCATGCAGAAGAATAAATTATTTATATAATATCCACGAAGATGCTGACAAAGGTCTGAAGAATAAAGAATTTTGGAATAAAGAATATGAATAAACCCAGAATGAACCCCTCTCCTTTATCTCACCCTCCTGTGTCTCTTAGGGTCAAGACTGTGAGGTAGCGATCAACGCCTGTATCAGCTTCCCTTGCCTTAACGGGGGAACCTGTCACATTCAACCCGGACAAGAGGACCGCTTCAGGTAAAAACCGATCTTCTAAAAAAATATGTTAATTTCAGCCAGAATCTGAAAATGTTTGATCAGGGAAGTAAGTGAAACAGTTATTCATATTACAAATTATACGACTGAGAAAATTGACCTTTAGATAAATGCTTAGCTTTTGGATCAGGCCTGCTGGTCCTCTGTATCCTGTTTTAAAACCTTTGAAGAACCTGAGCTTGGATTTATACTGGAAGCGAATATGAACTTTCTCCATTATGCAATTTTCCACCTTAGCTGTGGTGTAAATGTGTTTTGGAAAACTTCATTGAGGTTCTAATCCAGACCCACAGAAATTAGTTTAACATCTCCTTACATTCCTCCTCCTGTGGGGTTGTTTCTGATTCAGATTCTGTAATTTTCAAAGGGGACCAAGCTTAGATTGCATTTATTGGATAACAGACTGTTACAGAGGAAACATTGCACAGCTTTGATAGAGTCGCTGCAAAGGCTGCAGAAAACCAGAATCATTTAACAAACTTAAATCGCCTTTTCAGTGAGCGGAGAGCTCTGGTAGGGATTACAGACAATAATCTAAAAACATTTTTGTGATTATCTCACAGTAGCGATACTCTATGGTTGCATTTAAGTTACTCCCCGCTCAGAATAAGTTTTTTAACATTCCTACCACAACAGTTTAACCCTCTGCAACATCACACAGCAGCAGCATGGCATGTGTGCACTTTAAGCCTCAATAGGTTGATTGTTTTGCCTTTAGATTAGAACATAAACAGTGAAAATTATCTGATAGTTTACTTGCTTCCCTCATAAAAATGTAAGGTATTCAATCCATTCATCTATTGTTTATATGAGCAGTCAGTGTGATGCTGTAGATGGAGTCACAGGCACGACAGACACAGAGGACAAGCAACCATTCACACACTTATACCTTAGGCAATTCAGAGAGACCAATAAACCTACAGATTGGACTTTAGACTAGGGGATGTAGCCAGAGTACGCAGACTTCATGTATGCACGAAGACAGGATGCAGAATGCATATGCACAAAGATCCCAGGCAAAGGTGCGGCTGGTTTTTGCGAATGTAAAAAAGGAATAATAACTGAGTTTGTTGAATTTGTAATCACTATTTTGTGTAGTCTAATCTAAAAATCCTATGAAAAGGAGTACAAACAGAAACAAATTACCAAACATGATTTGATAAAAAAATATATATATACAGTATACTTTACATGTTCCCATCAAATAACTCATCCCATAGTCCAGGGTCTACAATAAGGGCTGCCTCCCTCCCAGAGCTGTTTTCTACCCTGTTTATTATTATTATTATCATCACTTTTTTTGGAAGTTGTTTCTGCAGAAATCTATCTCAGAGATTTTATCCGTCCTGTGCTCGAATTTAATTATTTTTTTTTTCTTCTTGGAGCATTATGAGGATGGATGAAGAACGTTGATTTTAAAATTAGGACTCCTGCTCCCTGCATTCCTCTGATGATTGTTGGACTTTTATTGCCAGACAGGAATTTAATTAAAACATTTTAATAGCAGTGTTAAAAATGCATGCCCCCTATACAAGCTGACTTGAGATTGTGCTTTATTAAATTGAGATGTAGCTCAGATGGTCTGCAGCTAGCACAAAATGGTATAAACAAACATCACATATAGATAATTTTGATCATTACGACAGCTTTAGACATTGTGAGTCATATTTCATGTTTAGCTGCTGGATTGATCCCTTAGATCTGTCATAATGACATGTGAAGAGAGAGTGTGTACTTATTTAGAATTACCGGTACTATTCAGGACCTGGATTATTTACTCATCTTCTGAGGACCAGTTGCTTTATGGGGACCACAGCCCAGTTCAAATGCAGAAGACCCCTTTTTGTGAGATAATCTTCAGAAGTATAGTGTGCATAAAGTTAGGTTAAGCAGTGAATATACTGGATAATGTGAGGAATAGAATAGAATAGAATAGAATAGAAAATCCCTTTATTTTCCCACAATGGGGAAATTGTGGTGTTTCAGCAGCAAAAAGATTGTAAAAAAACAATGGCACACAAATGTGGACCTTGGAAAAAATTATAAAAATAACATAATAGTAAAGAGTTAAAAAAATAAATTATAACATACTGTACTGTAAAGTGTTTTTACGATTTAAAACTGTGCACCTGGAGAATAAATAACCAATATACAGCAATGGACTTTTTTTTACAGTAATGGATATCTGAAAATAGCAGCAACATCAGAGATGTGCAAAATGACAGCAGCATGTTATTTAACTGACTAAGACAGAAACTGTGCAAAATCAGCATGAATGTAACAACTTATTAAGGTTGTTGGGAACAGTGGTGGTTATAAAGTCTTTCAGCTGCTGGGAGGAAGGATCTGTGATTACGCTCCCTGGTGCATTTAGGGTGCAGCAGTCTGTCACTGAAGGAGCTCTCCAGTTCTGCAACGGCTTCATGCATGGGGTGGGAGACATCATCTAACAGAGATGTTCATTTAGTTAGGATCCTCTTGTTTCCCACCTCCTGCACTTAGTCTGGAGGGCATCCAATCACAGAGCTGGGCTTCATGATCAGTTTTCCATAAATGCAGCTGATATAGCGTATGGAAGTCTATGCAGTCTTAAAGCAGGCAGAAATACAGATTGCATGTGTATACATTTTTATGTTACCTATTTAGTACCTTTACAAGAATATTTACTAACTTTGTAAGGACCAACATGCCTTATGGAGACCAAAGTTTAATTCTAATGTGACAGACTCTGTTTTTATAATGTTAGGGGGTCGGTTTAGAAACATGATGAGAATTAGCTTCAGGTTTAGGTCAGGGTTTGGAATATACGGGTAGTGGTTAGGGTTTGGGTAAATATTAGGGTTAGGCATAAATTCAGTTACTAAAATCAATGTTTTGTTGTGTGTCTAGCTGTGTGTGTCCGCCAGGCTTCGATGGACAGCGGTGTGAGATAAACCCAAACGACTGTGAAGACAATGACTGTGAGAACAACTCCACCTGCATTGATGGGGTGAACAACTACACCTGTGTCTGCCCCCCCAATTACACAGGTACATACACACAAACACATACCCACTTGGTTTTCTTTTTATTTAGAGTAGTTCTTTGGTGCCATCTCTGATCACACTGATCCATGGTAAATTCAGTTTTTCTTTTTCCATAACGATTTATCCCAAAACATTCAGTGCATTTAGTGGATTATAATCTAATTCAACAGGGTCAGGCTCAATATACAGTATTCCTGAAACCGTCTATATTTTTCCCTCAAAGGCCACAAGGATGACTGCCTCCCCACACATGGACTCACACACATTTTAAATCTTTTTTTCCAATATAGTGGGCGGTAAGTTGGTAATGGGCAGCCTCTTCACAGCACACTGTAACTGTTCCTTCAGGAGGTTTAAAGTGCAATCACACACCAGAGAGAGAAGAACCGGACAGCAGTGAAATTACAGAGAGGAATGGGGTGCTGGAAGGGGAAAAGTTGAAGCAGACGGAGCCAAGAGAGGGCAGAGAAGGGGCTGTAAAAGGCCACGAGCTCTAAGAGAGAGAGCAGAGCTGGAAAAGTCCTGTAAGCAGCAGTGAAAATGCTGACTACGAATTCAAGTCCTTTGATACTGACACACATCCAGACATCAGGTCTGCACTCACTCTGAATTAACAAAGTGCACACACACTCACAAGCTTGATCCTCTGATCTCTGGAAGCTTCAACCAGTCATCAGGTGTCCCATCATTGAGGACGGTCCGTCGCTGGCTCCCCTGACTCAGCTTCCAGAACCCCAGGATTATATTTAGACTGCATTAGTTTTTCATCAGACACCAGATGAAAAAAGGATTCATACACCTGCAAATGTCAGAAAACTCTAGTAAAAAAAGCAACAAAGAGAGTTTCCACACTTATTTTCTTTTCATTGTCAAATTTATTTATATAGCACTTTAAAAACAGGTATAAAACTGCACCAAAGTGCTTTACAGGAAAGACAACAACACCAGTTAACAAAACAGTTAATAATCTTACAGTTGTAATCTTACAGTTACTCCATTAACTGTAAGTTAATAATCAGACACAGATTTTTACATTTTTTTTTTTTTATATGATGTGATTTGTCTATAATTCATCTCATTGAAAATCGAGTCCTTGTCTGTATTGAAAGGTTTGAGTCATTTATTGAAGGGACACTCATTCGGTATGCAGCTCCTATACTGGTTCTAGTTCAAATAAAGCATTCACACCGAATCACAAAATGTATTAAGTGTTGGATAATGCTGTTTGAATGCAACAAGTCCAAATATTTTAGACTTTAAAACTAAGCCAATCTTCTTCATGTAGAACACGGAGAAGAGCCCTTTACCACCTTTTATAAAACTAAAGAACAAAATCTATACATAGAGTCAGGCAAAAAGTCAGGAGGCCTTATTTATTGTGTTTTTACATGATTGTAAAGCGCTAGAAAGATTGTTCAATGTTTTTACATTTTAGAAATAATGTTTTTAAAAGTGCGACAGCAGAGTCTGGTTATTATGGGGGAGCATGATTTGTCATCATACTGTGGAACAGGGAAGCATACTGGACAAAACTAAATATAAAGGTCACCCTAAATACATATAAAGCAAGAAACACATCGGATGGGTGAGATCAAAGCACACCGAAGTATGGCTTAGTCAAAGTTCAGATTTTAATCATACTGAAAATATGTGGAAAGATTTGAAAACTGCTGCTCTCGATGTTTTCCATCCATCTGATTAAGTTTAAGCTGTTTTACGACCACAAAATAATGAGTGTAGAGGTTTCTTACTGGTGGAGATAAACCACAGAATATCTTCACACTGAGATTTTATAAAGCACTGATTAGGGGTACAGAATCTAAATGACCTTCATTCCTTTTAAATTTGTATTTTTTAACAATATTGAAGGCATACGTGATGTGTGGTGGTCGGTCACTTTAGGTGCCAAAACATTTTGAAGGTGTATGAATAGTTCTGGTCTGCTCTGTCGCTCGGGGCAGTAATTGTAGCTTCACTGATTTTGCTGCAAAACAATTATCGTCTCAATCTTTCCAATCTTAATTGTTGCTTCAATAAAAAAAATAATAATAATAAATTTATTCCTATTAGTATTTTTTTACCAGAGGGTTTTTAATGTGGAGCTGCTGTATATTTCCTACATTTGCTTATCATCTTTAAAATGCAAATAATAACTTTCAGTTTGTTTAATTTATTTAATTTATTAGAGGAAAAAGTTTTTATAGAGATGATTTTGGATGCGACCGTTCCAGAACATGATTGAAATGTGTTAAACCTGCATTTCCTCTCTGCTTTTTACTTACTGTTAACCCGAATCCTGGACATGTTATTCTGTCCTCTGTCTCTGAAGGCTGTCCTTCCTCTCTTTCCTATGTCCTCCATCTGATCTCCATCCTCTGTCCTATTTCACTGTTACAGAGTGAAATTCCTTTTCTCTCTGTCCTCAGGTGACCTGTGTGACGAGGTGGTTGACCCGTGTCTCACCGGTGTTGACCCATGTCAGCATGACTCCAAGTGTGTCCAAGTTGGCCGAAGTTACAGGTGAGGTGGGCCCATAAAGGGGTCATGGGTCACATCACTGAGGAAAATGCTGGAGTAGGGAGATCCAGCAGTTCATACACTCATTATAATCAGAAAGTTCTTCACTGATTTTCATGTTTAACGGTTGATTGAAGGTGTTTTTTATTCGGGATTTAAGCCCTCTAAGAATGTATAGCAGGAACTGGGAGCAGAGATTAAAATGATATATACTGTTTAAAGTTGTTTCAGTTTCAACCATCCAGCAAGTTGGATTTAGAGGTAGTTCTCCTTCTTCATCATTCCATTCTCTTTGTGCATCGCAACCAATGATAGCAAACATGCCCCAAGCATGATGCATCCACCACCATGCCTGACAGGTCCATTGCCCCTGGTGTTGTCAGACTGAACTTTAGTCCTGTTTGTGATCAAACAGCTGTGTCTAGTCAGAACATCAAACTAGTCCGCAGCTGGTGTTTGACTCGTCCACTGAGAAAAATGTACTAAGTGCCACAACTTTGGATCAGGCGCCTGTTTTTTGATCAGATCACTTTGAACTGGTACTACAGTGGATGGCAGTTTCCTGTCCATAACAGAGCTGAGCCTTATCAAAACATTTTTACTAAGATTGGTTCAATTGGTTAAAACCCAGACATGTGGATGTTCCAGTGATCCTGAACTCCCATCTGTATAAAGCTAACTTTAGTTTTCTGTAGTAACACAATGTCCTCCCGGCTAAAAATGTAACAATTATGCCTGATCTTCAAGCGGGTTCACAGTTTGTTTTGGTTTCTTGTCAACCAATTTTTTCCTGATTTGTAATGGATCTTCTTCAACCTTTCAGACGTAAATAAGTTTCTCTCTGTATGCAGTAAAAGCTGGGATCACTCCTGATCTGATCTCATCCTTATCTCCCTCCCACTGCAGGTGCGAATGTTTGCCAGGCTACGTGGGCCAACACTGCGAGCAGGACTATAATGACTGTTTGGAGAATAAATGCCAACATGGTGCAGAGTGTGTGGACGCTGTCAACGGCTATACCTGCATCTGTAAAGAGGGTTTCAGGTGAGCGGAGTGGGTACAGCTGGTACCCAGACCCAGTTTGATTCTGCAGGGCCAGACAGGAGGAAAATACAGATGGCACTCCGTAATCAGACACTTGACTTTCTGGACCTACTGAGTGCTAGTGTGTGTGTTCCTGTATGTGTGTGCAGCAGATGCAGGGCCATGTGGTTAATTATAGCGGAGACTGCTGGCGAGAGCCAAACAAATTCATCACAAGAGACAGAGAGAGAGAAAGTTGTGTGAGTGCTGAAAGTAGAGAAACAAAACATTTTGTAGGTCAAATTTGATTTGATTTGATTTTTTTCGATACACCTGTTTTGTTTCAATAAAGCTTTTTGCTTTTAGAAAATATTTGTACTGGTTTAGTTTTCAGGGATTATTTCAAAATTATAAGACTTCTCTACTCTGTTGCAAATTGGAAAAGATGGGTTTATTTTCTTTTTTGAGTGCTGAATCTTTTTCAGATTATTGTTCCATCTCATTATAATCCATCCTTAGTTCCTGTGCTGCTGTATCTCAGTAGATATAGACCCAATAGATCGCCCAGCTAGAGTTTTGTAGAAGGCTAAACCTGTCCAATCTGCTCCTCTCCCAGTGGGCTGTTCTGTGAAAACCCTCCACCAATGATCTTGCTGCAGACCAGCCCCTGCGACCAATCAGACTGCCAGAATGGTGCCCAGTGCCTGGTGGTTGCTGGGGAGCCCATCTGCCGCTGCATACCTGGTTACTATGGCAACAAATGCGACAAAATTTCCACCGTTCACTTCTTGGGTCGGGATGGGTTCGTGGAGCTACACGGCACCAAGCTGCGACCGACGGCTCACATTTCACTGCAGGTGGGTTGGACCTCCGACCTTCATCCACAGAAGTTCATCAGAGTGGAAATCAGAATCACTTAGTGAATCAAACAGAATTGGTCAGAAGTTTACATCCGCCTATAATTGGCATGGGTATCTGTTAGAACTCTGGTGATTTTACAGCAAACAGTTGGAAATTTAGTTTGTCTAGATTGCGCTTTTTCATGACATGTCACCTCAATGCACTTTACAGATTTTATGAAATTGAATTCAGTGAGTTTAAAGAACTAGCTGTACCAGCTTGAAGTTGCTGTGAATTTTCTCTGTACTGCGATCTGGATTCTGTCAGGGTCTCTGTGGGGCTGGTGCCTATCTCCAGCAGTCTATGGGCAAGAGGCGGGACACATGTTGAACTGGTTGCAGTCTGTCCCAGGGCAACACTAAAACCATGCAATCACACACTCACAACTATTAGAGAAGCCAGTTAACCTAACAGTCATGTTTTTGGACTGTTGGAGGAAGCTGGAGTACGTGGAGAGAACCCACGCATGCACAGGGAGAACATGCAAACTCCATGCAGAAAGACCCCAGGCCGGGAACTGAACCCGAAACCTTATTGCTGCAAGGCAATGCACCCATCTTGTAACCCCTGCCTGTATTCATTCAGAAATTAGCTACTTCCTAGATACAAGAATAAAACCTCCATCTGGAAACAGCTTCTGACAACCTCTGACTCAGTAGTGAACTGGGCTCTATGGAAAAACTCACTGCTCTTTCAAACTGCTTGTTTCCAGACTTTGACCTGGCTTTTATAATCCATAAATCTTAATTTGGGTTAAGTTCCAATCAGCCTGCAGCATAATGCTGCTTCCACTTTGCTTGATAGGCTAGCTGTTCATTTGGAGTGTAGTTGAATAATTCAGAGATCCTCCTACCTCCTCCTTCTACCCCAGTGTCACTGAATGTGAAACACACACAGCATAATGCTACCACCTCTGTGCTTTACAGTTACTACAGCTGGCCTTAAATTGAATCTTCAGAGCGTTCCTGTCATTGTGGCCAAACGGCTCAGTCTTTGTCTCTTCTGACTTCTTTGTTTCTTCTGAGGGCTCAATCTGCAGCTTTAAATTGTTGCTTGAGGAGTTGGAGCTTCTTCTTCTTCAACAGCCTCTCAGTCCATCTTTCCCTGAAGGTCTTAGTTAAGTTCCTTTCATCTGTGGAAGACTGTTAGGGATTGGCAAATTAAAATGTTCAGAAACAAAGATCCAAACTATTTGGGCTGGACTAGCCAGTCTAAGAGGTGGCTTTTTTTTTTCTTCAGATCCCATCCTTGTTTAAAATGATTGAGGAAAAGGTGTATCCATGACATCAAACCCATCAGATTAAATGCTTAATGGCTTATAATGCATGTGGTGGAGGTGGAACTTGACTCATACCATATTTTACAAGCAGGCTCTAACCAGAGTACAAAAAGAAGCAGGAGGCCGCGTTGCACAACTGAGCAAGAAAATAAATACATTAGAGTCTCTAGTTTGAGAAACAGACGCCTTACAGATCCCTAACTGGCATCTTCATTAAATAGAACCCACACTAGCCTGTTTGTGCTGTCCCCTGAAGGGAGGAAATCTTCAATTTCGTAGCAATTTCTCGCATGGAATAGCCTTCATTTCTAAGAACAAGAATGGACTGTCGAGTTTCAGATGAAAGTTCTCTTTATCTGGCCATTTTGAGCGTTTAATTAACCCCACAGATGTGATGCTCCAAAAACTCAATCTGCTCAAAGGAAGGTCAGTTTTGTAGCTTCTGTAACCAGCTAAACTGTTTTCAGATGTGTGAACATGATTGCACAAGGGTTTTCTAATCATCAATTAGCCTTCTGAGTTAATAAGCAAACGCATCGTACCATTAGAACACTGGAGTGATAGTTGCTGGAAATGGGCCTCTATACACCTATCTAGATATTGCACCAAAAACCAGATATTTACAGCTAGAATAATCATTTACCACATTAGCGATGTATAGTGTGTTTATTTAAAGTTAAGACTAGTTTAAAGTTATCTTCATTGAAAAGTACAGTGCTTTTCCTTCAAAAAAGGACATTTCAATGTGACCCTAAACTTTTGAACGATGGTGTACATCTGAGCCTGTATATATTTTGAAACCGTTTGGAGAACATCAGCACTAATGACATCCTTCCTCCCTGGAAACCTTTAGGTGGCACTGCAGGCAGCATTTCTTTTCATTTGAATTTCTTTTAAGTTCAAATATGCATTTTGCTGAAATGGTTTTTGAATGTTTGGATTGTATTGCATAAACATCTGTGAGTTGTTTCACTTGGTGCCAACACGGCCACACACACCAGATTTTTCCTGCCCCTGAGAGCTGCATCCTAATAGAGACATATTTCCTCCATTTAAAAAAGAGATTGTAAGTAGAGAAGCAGAAAACCGAGTGCAGTCTAACAGAAATTTGGATCCATGTGAGCGTGTGCTTGTCCGCATGCGTTGGTGCGTGTTTGTGTTGTTGCCAGGAGCTTTGAACGTCACTGTCGAGGCTGCTAAAAGACTCAGTGGCAAAGGAAGAGGGAAAGAAGGAAAGAAAGAAGCTGTGGCACATAATAAATCACTGGATGCTGTTTTCTGGTTCACTCCTACACCTGTTTACCCCTCTCTCCTCCTCCTCGCCTGTTGAGCTCTCCTTCAGCAGCTCGTTAGCAGGTGTTGACTTGGCTATGCTCCACTGGCGACAGTGTGTTAAGTGCTTGGCCCGACGGCCCCGTTTTCACTTTCTAGTTAGTTAGTGCTTTGGTGTGCACTCGAGCAAGTGCGACCTGTCGAGTGAGAAGAAGTATGATTTACTGTTTGTAGACAAGCAAGCTTTATTTTTCGTAAAGTTCTGGTCTTGATTTTACATACAGTGCTGTAGGAAAAGTATTTACTCTCCTACAGATTTCTGCTTCATCCTATTAAAGATTATCTGATAAAATAAAAACATCTGATAACAAAGGTCCAAACCAAGCTGGACCCATGGGTGGAAGGAAGGAAGGAAGGAAGGAAGGAAGGAAGGAAGGAAGGAAGGAAGGAAGGAAGGAAGGAAGGAAGGAAGGAAGGAAGGAAGGAAGGAAGGAAGGAAGGAAGGAAGGAAGGAAGGAAGGAAGGAAGGAAGGAAGGAAGGAAGGAATTAATTATTGTTATAACTATATTACATGTATAAAGTGATATTGTTTAAAAAGGGGTACGAAAAAGGGACATTTGTTTACTCACACCTCTTCACTTTATTATAGTCCATAACATCAACATCATTACCCAATTCCTACATGACTCATGTGTCCATGCTACTCCATAGTCCATTAAATCCAGTAAATGAATTTATTTCTGTTATATAAGCATATTTATACACATTCATACATGCCTACACACATCTCCCTTCATACAATTGTTATTCATGCCCATACAACCATCAATCATTACAGAAATGTGTATGAAGCCATCTACAGTGGCTAAGAGAACCTATGGATGTTCACCGCCCTTCTTCCATCTCACATCTTTTTAAGATAACCAGTTTTGGTCTCATGTAGAAATACAAGTTAAGAAAGAAACTTATTGACATCTATCTGTGTGGGAAGGTCTTAGAAAATTATTTCTGCAGCTTGAAGAACCGCGTTTAGAACCATTACCCAGAGATGGAAGGAACATGGACCAGCATAGAACCATCACAGGAGGCAAACCTACCGACATACAGCTCCAACATAGCAGCATTGACTCACCACTGAAACTATTGTCGATTTGATTTTAAAGCTCTTTTTAGCCTCTTAAAACCCATCGGGTCGCCGGCAACCCGGTGGACCTTAAGTGGGGGTAATAATTCAGAATGCATAAAATTCTAGTGGTAAAAATTTTACCAGCAGGTGGAGCCATTTCGCGCAGCTCCAGGCTGTCACCAAAATTTCCAAACCTCACATCTGAAAATGTTATAGCTAGAGGTCTGAAATTTCCTACATTTGTGGTTGATATGATGTAGAACAAATTTAATACAATGAAACCTGCTTTTTCTAAAGAATCTCTTAATTACTGCTGTTCAAAAAAGACCTATCATTTCCAAGAATAAAAAAAACAACTTTGAGTCATGTTTGAACTGATGCAGCTTGGTCTGTGTTCTACTCACCCAATTTTAATTTATATATTCAGAAACTACAGGGTGTTAGCTTTCAAATAATGTATTGCACATCTAATTTGGGTTTATAGTTCCGAAGTTATTTGCTTTTCCATTTGGGTATGCAAAATAGGTGAGGATTACCCAAAAGGAGGTGGATGTTAAGAGGTTAAAATGAATTCTTCCTTTGAATAATGATTAATGATCATAAGCAGTAATTACAACCAGTAGCTTGTTAAAGAGCAGGATTCTGTGAAGCATCTTCAGGGCCTCCCTGATTCTGGCAAACAGCCCTAATCTCCCTCAGTATAAAGTCCTTGTTAGGCGACTGAAGCAAAGGAGCCATGTTATTGTGCTTCGAACATCAAGAAAGATTAAAAGAAAAGGCTGAGGCAACAGGGCAGCATGACCTTCTGCCCTTGCTGTACCTCACCTGTAAACAGTACATCTACTACCATATGAACATGGTTGCTATCTTACAGTAGGAGCTCAGAAAAAGACAATATTATTTTGAGGAGGATTCCAGATTTTCTGATTAATCCAGATGTTTTTGCGTGGAATGTGCTGGAAAAGCTCCAGCCTACAGATGACTTCTCCTCATTCTTTTCAGTTTTCAAACAACTTTCTCCTCTAAAGCAAAGACTTGGACTGACTCAGCTTCCCATGTTTACGCTCCAGTGGGGGCCAGGCATCTGCTCAGTTACAGTGAAGACCAGCTGGCTTTGATGTGGGGACTCAGGAGGTTTATAAAGCCACAGGTTATGAATCTGAATGCCAGATTGTCAACACTTTCTAACATAACACTCACAGAAATCCCAAGGATTAGGTGAGGTTCAATCACATGAGATGAAATTAGATTAAATTAGTTGAGATTAGATGAGATATGAAATGAGATGATCACTCCTCCCATGAGGATTTGATCAGATTAGATTAGATTCAATTAGATTTGATGAGATAAAGTGAGATTGAGTGGTTTTATTCTCCATGTTAAAAATAAATATACTTTTGTTTTTCACTGCAGTATCAGATTTCTCGGCTTCTTGTTGTTTGGATCAGAAGAATGACAGCTTTTACATTGAATGAAACTGAATGGTGTTTGTTGTACGAGCAGGATAACGATAATCTGTGAAAGGTGCATAAATGTTGGGACTAAGAACACGACCCTGGGGAACACCAGTATTAATGATAACAGGAGAGGATCTACCAATGTTTATTCAACGCATCACATTGTGTTCAGGCACAATCCTCTAATAGAAATATTTTATTTTGCTCTCTGTTTTAATTATTGCATCTCATTACCATCCCCTCCACATGAGTGAAACCTGAAGGCTATCAAACCTTTCAGGCCGTCTTCCCGAAGGTGTAGTAGAACAACCTGCCTCCGCAGCCGTTTGCTTGAGTCAGGATGATCTTCAAACTCATTTAAAACATCCTTACTCAGTCAGCCGTTTATTCCAGGTTTATGTTTCTAACAGCGTTTGTCTTCTGCATGTTTTTTTCTGTTTTTTTTTTTTTGTTTTTTTACTTTAATGTGTGTTCCATCTCGTGTGTTTTTATAATTTTATGCACTGCAGTCAGAAGTTAACATGGAGAAGAAAATTATATATTTTTTTCTTAAACAACCGTGGCTCCGAATGACACAGAAAGACTTAGATATAAAGATGCAACTAAATGTCCCTCTGCGACCGTCAGAGGATCTACGGACTTATCTTTCAACAGGCTTCTGGCATCCTTATGGCTGGTGAATTGTCCTCTTCTTCATTGAATTTGGAGTTACTTTAAATTTCTTGGTTTCCTTGAGTCAACCGGGCTTTTGAGCTTTTTATATACATTTTTATTAAGGTTGAGGTCAGCGCTGTTCAGGCTCAGACTGGTAATCCGTAACACTGGGCATTTGCCCAGGACCGGGCCTTATTTAAGAGTGCGAGGGTCCTCCTTAAATCCCCAAAATACCGAGGGGAGGGGGGGTGTCGATGGAAAAATGCCAGGACCAAAAATCGTTCCCAGTCCGAGCCTGGCGCTGTTCCATCTGACCCATATGCTTTTGCCCACACAAACGAGCTAAATGTCTTCTGGGGAGAGGTTTGGTCCATTCTAGACAAAGATTGTACTTTTTAGATATTTTCTGATTTGAAGACATTAAGGATGTTTTGAAATTCAAGGTACTATTCATTATGGTGGCAGCATCCTGCTGGCCGTCTGTTGGTGCATCAGTGGTTCTGATGCACTAAGTGGTTGGAATGATGAAGAACGAGAACTACCTTCAAAGCTATTACGACAAGGATCCTAAGCAAAAACCCAGAATGGTTTGGAAAGCCTTTTCAAAGTCCAAAAAGAGTTTCACTTCTGTAATGACCAGGTTTAATAGTCCAGACGCTGCTGGATTGATACCAAATGTGTAGTTTATGTGGAACCTGAGAAACAATAACCCTGGACCCATTTAGGTGGTCCAAGTGGACATAAATCTTAAACTGGTTTTGGAAAAAATAATAGGCAGTAATGGATCAATCTTTTTATATGAGCTTTGCTCAGAGGGGCAAACATCTAACCAACTAGAAACCTGTGGAGGCCACACAAAACATGCAACACCTTTTACTGAACATTAGTCATGATGTCTGAGCAAAATCCTCTACACATTCAAATTTATTCAACAATCTCATGTTTTCTTTAACAATTATTTATTTTTGTTGTATAATTATGACACCCTGAAGGAACACAACCTCAATCAATGAAAAACTAAAATGATTGACCAATAATTCTATACATCTGACCAGAGCTCCTTCATATGATCAGTATAATGATTTTTGTCATATATTACTTGGCTGATTAGATGTAAATGGTCCATATTGACTAAATGTTCACGGTTTTCCTCCAGATGGCCACAGATAAAGACAACGGCATCCTGTTGTACAAAGAAGACCTGGACCCGCTGGCCCTGGAGCTCTACCAGGGACACATCCGGCTCATTTATGACATGGCCAACTACCCGCCGACCACCGTTTACAGGTGAGCCATGCGATCCTTTCAGATCCTCTCACCATTTACAGGTAACAAACACAGACACACCCAGCTGTAAATGCTTATGTGAAGTGGAAAGTCCAAACAAACATCTAGAGGGTTCAAATTGAAATAAACACATTCATTACACATTTTTATTTACGAAATATTTGAATTGCTGCCAAGGACTGTTCAGACTTGGCTGATCGGACCCAGCAGATCCACTGTTTATCTTCATCAGAAACAGATTCTGATCTGAACCTCCCCCTCTATAAACAAACACGAGCTCAGAGGATTCTTTCTAAATAGTGTAAGGGCAGCCTTTCCCCCAGCCAAAACACCACGTCTCTTTTGATCCAATTTCAAATGTTAATATATAAGTGATATTTACAATCAGCAGCGTACAAAAGTATTCATTCCACTTCAAGTTCAATAATGGACTACTGACCTGTCCAGTGTCCCCACCTGCCATGACCCTGACAGATAAGCTGCAGAATATGGATGGATGGTTTCAATGGTTTCAGCCCATGATAATCTGATTAAAAGGGCTGAGTAGATTAAATGTGTATTTTAAGCAGAACATAAAAGGTCCTGGTTATGGCCTCAGAGGTTCTTTTAGAAAACATGAGATAACAACCACATCATGAGGACTGAGGAACCTCAGCACAAGGTCAGGAAGGGAGTTTTGGATCTGGAAGAATATGCTAAGTTTTGAACCTCTCCCAGAGCTCAGTTTAAACCAAAATCTGAATATGGAGGAAAAACATGGATCATCTGCAGACATACCAAGAGACGGAAGTCCACCTAGACTGACAGCATTGATTAGAGAAGCAGCCAAGAGGACTGTGGTAACCATGGGGGAGCTGCTTAGGTGGAGAATATGTCCACAGGACGGCTTTAGGTTATTGACTCCTCAAATCAGACTTATATAAAACAGAAGCCAAAATGAAAAGGCATAATAGGTCGTTTTTGCAATTTATCTCAAACCATGAAGCAGGAACAGTAGACATGCACAGCAATCAGTTCAGGGAAAACCTAAACCTTTTGTTCAACATGCAAAACACAGAGAAACAATAACCCTGAACTTCCACACAAAGAAACACAGTGATGGCAGCATCATTCTGTGAGGATGTTTTTCTTCAGCAGAGGGGATGGAAGATGAAAGTAGCTAAATCCAGGAAATCCTTTGTAGAAAACCTGTAGGAGGCTACAGAAGACCTGAAACTAGGATAGAAGTCACCATAACCTTCAAGCAGGAGAAGCACCATGAGAAGGAATGGATGGTTTAGATTAGAACAGATTCTTGGTTTAGCATGGCCTAGTCAAAGTCCAGACCTAAACCAGACTGAGAATCTGGGGGAAGAGTTGAAAACTGATCTGCACAGATGTTCTCCATACAAATATTTCAACTATGGTCTCACCTGAACCCTCCAACTCCTTCCACACTTTGTTCTCCTAATTAACTGCCTTCTGAGGATCCAGCTTCAAAGTTACGGACCACCTTGTGTCTTTCCAAATAAAAAACAATGAGGTCCGATACCTTGAAGAGACAACATCTGGACAACTTTAAGGGATGTGAATAATTTGGGAGGCAGTATATATCATTTGATTGCATATCTTCTCTGTCATTATTTCTCAAGGATGATGAGGTCCAGTTTTATTTGCAGAACTTTCCTCTTGGATATGTATGAAAGAGGAGGCTTTTCCTTTTTCTGTTTTTTAGAGGGTGTGTGTGTGTACGGGGGGGGGGGGGGCTGTAGGGGGGGATCATTGGAGAGAAAGGACAGATTTTTGGAAAAACTGAAATGAATGGGATGGACATTATTAAGATTCATCTGATCAATTGAAAAGGTGGAAGTTGTCAAGCAGGCGAGAGTAAAGGACATTCCAGAGGGAGACAGGGATGCATAAATGGAAACCAGAGATGGGGGATCTGGAGTCAACAAGTAATTTCTTTGTCATGTTTTTGTTCTACCCCGCCACTGAACCAGGTGAATCCAATCTGGTTTATCTATGTAAATTGAACTCACCAGGTTCAGTGGATGGGTAGAAAAAAAACATGACATAGAAATGAGATTCCAGATCCCCCATCTCTGATGTAAGCACTGATCAGTGAGATAAGTCAGAAGGTAAAAGATAAGGAAATATGGTTAAACAGCTGGATGGATGAGAGGAGCGAGGGATGATGGAGAGAATTCTCCTGGTCTGGAATAGTTGGGGACAGATAGAGATTGGGTGAAGTGACAAAGGCGAGACAGGAAGGGAAAGAGAGTGTGACTCAAAAGATCCCAGAATAAAGCTTTGTTCTCTGCAACGTTCTGCTCAGCCTCAGGGTTCTGGAGCAACTTTAGGAATCCACAACCAAAGGAGGGTCGAAAACCTGGAAAAACGGAATTCAGAACAAATCCATATTCCTCCTTGTATAAACTCAGAGATACCTGGTTGGTTTTAAAGAGATTTAAAAGAAACGTTTCTTCTCATGGCATCTAGAAAGTATTCACCTCTTTAACTTTTCCACATTTTACTCTGATATCCTTGAACGAGTCTGTCGTCTAAATAATAGCTGAACTTTTTTAATCTGCCTTTTAGAGAACAGGGAACATTTCCGCTGCTACTTTTTTCACTAGCAAACTGTTAGCAAAAATGTACCCTGAATCCACCATCACAATTGTGAAACATGGTGAAGGCAGAATCATGATTTTGGAGAATGGATGGAACTAAATCCAGAAAAATGCTGTAATAAAACCTGTAAAAAGTTAAAGGAGAACCACTCAAACATCCACCCAGAGATGCACTGAATGGTTTCAGCTGTAGAGATGTCCTGGTCAAAGTCTAGACGTAAATCCAACAGATAATCTGGTGTTTGGCTAAATAGTTTGTGATTGAGCCTGAATCAGGAGCCCATCTGACTGACAGGAAGAAATCCCCAGGATGTTTTCATCCAACCCAACCCAGCCAAGATATCAGCCTGCAAACGTGCATAGCAGGTAGAGACAAACCCGAGAAACCTATAGCTGGACCTGCTGCATTACAAAAGGAGTCGGAGAAGAAGACGTGACGAAAAAATGACTTGTAAAAAAGAACAAAGGAGAGAAAAAGATAAATTATAGAAAAAAAAAGAGAAATCCAGAGTGGATTTGCATGCAGACAGGAAGAGACGTCACCCATTGTGCCCTTATTAGAGGTTGTGATGCCTGCTCTTACATGAACATCAGGGTGTGTGTGTTGGTGGTGCATTAATACGCTGCCCTTTACTAAATGTCACACTAATCTCCCATCAGGTCAAAGAGAGCACATCTACTGTTATTCATCAGCAAACAATGGAGGGAGGGATGAGAGAAGAATGGATGATGGATGGATGGAGAGACAGCAGGAGGAGAGGAGGTCCTGTCCTCCTTTTTTAGTCGTTATGTGACTCTGTGGACAAATGAAACCCTGAAACATTTCCCCAAAATGCAGAGCGACAGTCATCATGCTGACCTCGTTTAGTCAAATCATTCTGCAGCTTTTGGTCAGTTCATATAAAATATAATATTTACAGCAATAACTGTTATATATAATGGATCAAACGAGTTTTGTTCAATTAATTAACAGCTCAGAAACATGAGGAGGAAGGAAAGGTGGTTCTACTACGTTCTGACCCAGTAGGCCCAGAGAAACATCTTTAATACAATGGTTAGAACAGTCTGAGGGGATCTGCAAGTTTCTATAGTTTTAAAGGAGAAGTTCACTTTTTAACACTTTAAGCCCATTTTCTGTAGTGTCCAGGATGAAATCGAATGATCGACACCAAAATTTTGACAATTGGTCCGGTCACTGCTTTTTGGCTCATGCAGAATCCCCCCCTGGCTGCTTCAGAATGGCTTCCATTGTGCATGTCCGATAATGTCCTTAAAACAACCTTAAACGTTCTTTTTTTTTTATATGCTACTCACCGGGTCGTCAGCGCTGTTCAATGACGTTCCAAAAAAAAGTTTCGTAAAGAAAAAACGTTCCTGTAGTGTTTTATTTAGCATTTTGTAAATCCCATTGAGTTCTGTTGGAATAGTCAATATTCCCCTGCCACCGGAAACGGAAATGGGGCCTGTTTACACAGTTGTAGTCTTTTCGCTTCACTCTGTGTACTCCGACGTCGAGGTGCTAACGTCTCTGTTAAACACTTTAAAAAACTCTGAAAGCACTGGAGAGATGTAAAACCACCAACTATAAATCAATGGGCCCAGAGATTGAAACATGTTTACATAATGGAGCAAATGACTGCAAGCCTACAGCTAACTATGGACATTTTTATACGAAGGTGGACTTGTATTTCAGAATATCTAGGGTTCTGATGGAGAGGACGAGATATTACTAAAAGGAGGGATCTGATGGAATTCCTCATTGGGAAAGGGTACTGCTTGGCCACAGATTATAGATTGTGGATGTTGTCTGCTCTGCCTGCTGTCATAATTGTAAAGACTTTTGGTATTTTGTGTTTGTTGTGATGTGTACTATTTGAGTTTCTGTCAGGAAATGTTATGTTTTGTAAGATTTATAAAATGGTTAAATAAAAAGTTCTAAAAAAAAAAAAAAACTCTGAAAATGGAATACGAAAGGTGGATTCTTGATTCTCGACGTCGGAGTACACAGAGTGAAGCGAAAAGACTACAACTGTGTAAACAGGCCCCATTTCCGTTTCCGGTGGCAGGGGAATATTGACTATTCCAACAGAACTCAATGGGATTTACAAAATGCTAAATAAAACACTACAGGAACGTTTTTTCTTTACGAAACTTTTTTTGGAACGTCATTGAACAGCGCTGACGACCCGGTGAGTAGCATATTTTAAAAAAAGAACGTTTAAGGTTGTTTTAAGGACATTATCGGACATGCACTATGGAAGCCGTTCTGAAGCAGCCAGGGGTGGATTCTAAATGAGCCAAAAAGCAGAGACAGGACCAATTGTCAAAATTTTGGTGTCGATCATTCGATTTCATCCTGGACACTACAGAAAATGGGCTTAAAGTGTTAAAAAGTGAACTTCTCCTTTAATTCAATCTGGAAACAGCCTGATCTTGATTCCAATCATGATCAGGCTTGAATTGAAAAGGATTCCTGGATGGGAAGCAAAACATCTTCAAACTTGGAAACAATGTCCAGTGGATTGTTTTTTTTACTTTTTTGGAATGTCTATGACCTGGATGACTGAGAATCTTCACCAGCAGCCTAATCTTGAGTTGATTTCCAATTAATCACAAAATAAGTTTCCTTCTGTAAGAGAGGACAGAAGTAGCCTCTGATTAGTTTCAGCAAAGCAGCTGCTATACTAGCTGTGGAGGTTCTGTTTTCATTCAAGCTGAGGGTTATGCAGAGAAGATCCATGTAACTCTGCACTGAAATCTCCTTATTCAGTCTGAACCAAACTCTTTTAGATGCCTCTTATTCTCACTATCAGTTAGAGGAAATAGAAAAACCAGTACAACATCAGGTTCTCCAAGGTTTCATCAAATATTGGCAAAATTAAAAGCTCAGCTCCTCCCTGAGCACACTCTCTCACATAGACATACTGCCACCCAGTGGATTGTTGGTGTCACTGCAACATGACTGCACATATTACATTTAGTAGAAGAAACTGTCTTATTTCGCTTGAAAAATTATTGACAATTTAAAATAGTTTATAGAAACATAAATCTGAAAGTTTTTTTTCACCCTCCCCTCTCTATCAACCTAAAATAATATTTTGAATTAATTTCAATTTTTTATTGTCTTTACACTCTCTGCATTTAACCCATCCCCTTGGGGAGCAGTGGGCTGACATTGTGCGGCTCACAAGGAGCAGTCTGGGGTTAAGGGTCTTGCTCAGGGACTAAGAGTGGCAGTCTTTAGGACTTGAACTCAGAACTTCTAAGACCCAAGGGCAATGCTCTAACCACTAGGACACCACTCCCAGGTATACAGTTGTGCTTGAAAGTTTCCATACACTACCATTAAAGACACAAAACCCTATATATATATACTGATGTGTGTGTGTGTGTAAGGGTATATATATATATTAATAATAAATTAAGTAAACAAGTTAACAGTTAACTGAAATCAGGTGTTTTCCATAATATATCAGGAAATGTTCACCCAGAGTTTAACACCTGTTGACATGTTGGTTCACTGTTCATGAGGAAGGTGCTTTAATTTGTCTGCTAGAGGGGTTATTTAGATTTATTAAAAAGAAAAATCAAAATCAATAGTTTGTTTTATCACATCGTCATTTGCTATTTGTATTTATTATTAAGTTTTAATTTTTGTGCTATTTGAAATGTGTGGATTTATAATTTTCTTTAAGGGAAGAGTATGTAAACTTTCAAGCAGAGCTGTAAATGCCACGCTTTCACATTTCTGCTCCTGGTTCAGAGTGATGCTCTCTGTTGGTCTGTCTCATCATATCTAGATTAAACCCGATGCTCTGCTGCTCTAAGACGACAGGATGTGGCTGAAGCAGTGTGAATAATTACGGAAAGCTCTGTATGTTTCAAATGGTTCAGACATAAAGTCCATTAGAGGAAGACCCCTTTCTTCCCTCCTAATAACTTCCTGTCCTTCCTTTAAAGGGATAGTTCGGGATTTTTGACATGAATCTGTATGGCATCCCCATCACCAGTGTCATGTAATCACACTGACTTACCCCTGGCAGCATCCTGTGAGCAGAGTTCTCGTCCAGCTTTTGTCAAGCTGAAAGTAGTCCGGCAGGTTTGCTAGACCCAGCGAAATAAAACGTTTCTCTTCCCAAAACATTATGTGTTCAAAAGAGTGATATTTTTGCATCCCAAAAACATTGTAGTGGAAAAAGTCACACGTCATTATCACTTGGTCCTATTTTCTCTCTGTTCGTATCAGTGCGCGCCGTCATTCTGACAGCGAGCTCAACAACAGCCAGATGCATGTCTCGCTCCGTCTAGCTAGGAGCTAGGCGGAGCGAGACATGCATCTGGCTGTTGTCAGGTTAGTAGGCCCTAGCTGTCAGGTCATGGTGTCGCGCGCACTGATATGAACAGAGAGAAAATAGGACCAAGTGATAACGACGTGTGACTTTTTCCACTACAATGTTTTTGGGATGCAAAAATATCGCTCTTTTGAACACATAATGTTTTGGGAAGAGAAACGTTTTATTTCGCTGGGTCTAGCAAACCTGCCGGACTACTTTCGGCTTGACCAAAGCTGGACGAGAACTCTGCTCACAGGACGCTGCCAGGGGTAAGTCAGTGTGATTGCATGACACTGGTGATGGGGATGCCATACAGATTCATGTCAAAAATCCCGAACTATCCCTTTAAGTGTCCCTCCAGAACTTTAACCCAGTTCTCAGTAGACCTTATGCCCATCAAGCCATGAGAGGCTGTGGGTAGAAATACCTTCTCTCTCCATTCTCTTATTATTCTGATGCTCTACTATAAACAGGCTCAGCAGAGGCCTTTAGGACCTAACCATCCCACCAGCTATCTTTCCCTTCCTTTATGTCTCTCCTTTTTTACTTCTGCCAAACCACTGTCTCTAGAAGAGTCTGTCTCTTCTCCAGCTAAAACCACTTCGAGGACAATCTGGAACACTCACTGTCTCTGTGGGGTCAAGCATGGAGCGAAAGGTTCTGAACCATCTTCTCCTCTCTGGAAATTATCAGTTCAGCTTCTTCAGAGTCATGGAGTTTGGCCTTTAAGTTGTTAAAATCTCAATTAGCTTCAGATTATGAGAATAAATGAGCCCATGTGCTGCTATGGGGCCCAGTTCTTGGCCAGGGCCTCCGCATGAGGAAATCATGACCCAGACTAAGGAAAAGATTTAATTTCTTCCAAAAGAACTGCTTGGGGAACATCATCAGATTGTTTTATGCCCAAGGAAAACATTTCAACACCAGTTTTCTCGATTCTCTTTCATTTCCAAAAAGAGAGCAAAACAGAAAGAGAAAAACTTTGATTGGATCAGGTTCTGATCTGTTTCTCTCCATCTGGGACAGAATTCTACAGTAATTTACCACGATCAGAACCACACTGAGAAATCTCTGCATGTTTTCTGCCGTTTGTTGCAGCGTTGAGTCGGTCAGTGACGGGCTTTTCCACACAGTGGAGCTACTGATCCAGAACCATTCGTTGAGCCTGGTGGTGGATAACGGCGCCCCGAAGAGCCTGGGCAAGCTGGCCCGGCAGCCCTCAGTGGACCTCAACACCCAGCTCTACATTGGAGGTTTGCACACACTGCATTTTGGAAAGCTCAATTGATTTATCACTCACTTTTCACCCATCTCTCTTCCCTTACCTAAACTCTATTCACACCTTAGCCCTAAACCTGACTTTTAGCAAAAAAACAAAAACAGAGTGGATCGATGTTTTCATCCCTGTTTGTCCCATTCTCAGGTGTCCCCTCCCAGGTGGTGGCCTCAGGTCTACGTCCAGGTCCTGACCGCTCTCCTCAGGGGTTTGATGGCTGCATCCACAACGTTCGCATCAATGGAGAGACTCAGGACCTGAGCTTCCAGTCCACAGGAGGACCGCCACATGGGACGGAAGCCAAGGTGAGAACATCCAGAGCTCCTCTATGTGAAGCACTCCTCATGTCGGAGATGAAATGCTCCAACAGGCCTTAGAATCAGTGCGGGAACCAGAACCTTTGTCAGATTCTTTAGATAGAAAACGGAACGTTATGAGTGGATCATGAACCTCTGCTAACCTTACATCTTCCTGTTTTTTTATCCAGGCTGTAGCCGTTCTGGTAGGATGTCACTCCTGCAGTGTTTGTGCTCAAGGTGCCTGCAGAGAGGGAGGGGAGACAGGGGTCACTTGTAACTGTCCCCCAGGAAGGATGGGACCTCTGTGTGATGAAACGGCTGCTAATAATCCCTGTCAGAACCACAGGTGAGTGAGCTTATGGAAATGTATTGCTCTAGGTTTTATTTATGGGAGTCAGAGTAAAAGGGGGTGATTTTTTTAATAATAAAATTAATCATTTATGAGTTTTGTTCACTTCATTGGATTCCATTTTCCTTCCTCTCACGTCTCCTCCTCTTCCTCCAGGTGTGTGCATGGCGCCTGTGTTGTGAAGGCCCAGTCCTACAGTTGTCAGTGTACTGAAGGCTACCAGGGTCGGTACTGTGACCGACCCGCCTGCAGTCGGTGCGGTCGGGGAGAATGTCGAATGTCAGAATCAGGCGTGCCAGTCTGTCACTGTCAGCCGGGCTACACCGGACCCACGTGTGACACAGGTAAGACCAAAACCACGCAGCTGAAGGTGAGACGTTGATCTTCTGGCTTTTTGCTGAGGTCTCCATGTTTTGGTTCAGAGCTCAGCTGCCAGGGAGAAATGCTGAGGGAGCAGCTGAAACGCCACCAAGCCTTGAGAACCTGCACCTCCACCAGCAGGGTTCCCCGCATGACCTGTCCCAAATCCTGCCAGGCGTCGGCGCCGCCTGGCGTCTGCTGCGGCGTCACCAAGACCAGACGACGAAAGGTGGTTTTCCGCTGCACCGACGGCACCTCGTACTCGGAGGAGATGGAGACGGCTCTGGAATGCGGCTGCTCCCAATGCCCGCTGTGACGGGCCGGGCCTGCGGCTCGCTCCCTGGCTCTGCAACACACACCTCTGCCGCTCTGAGATCTTCCCACACGGACGAACACCAGCGCTCCATGACTAACTCCCTCAGCCAAGCCGACCGCCGCCCCTTCGGTGCCGGAGAAGCCAGAACAGAAAAGGACAAAGAGAGAAAATATATATTGTAAAATATATGTGAGAAACATAGAACTTATTTTTATTATGGATTGTTTCTAAGATGATAAAAGGACTCATAAGTTGTTTTTAATGTTGGTTCTTAAATGTGTTTCATAGTTAAAAAAAATATTTTATTCTTTGTAAGAAAAAAAACCCAACAAACTAGATTAACATTCCTTAAAATATCTGTAAATCTTTATAAATACTTACTTTAACCAAATGAATGGAAAGTATTCAGTGTATTAGCGTGATGTTGATGTGTGACTGTGGACACTGCGAGTGGAAATGTGATGAGACCCGGAAGAAGATGCTGCCTTCTGTTGACTGAACCTTCAGCCTCATCATGGAGGCTGAGGGTTCCTCACTCGATGACTGATGTCGTTCTCACCACGACACCTCCTGCAATAATGCCTTGTAAAGTATTGTGGTTCTGATTTATCCTGTTGTTCACCAAGGCTGGATTAGATCCTTTTGGGATCTAAGGGTCAACAGAGGAAGGTTAAAGGAATCTGTTCCTCCTAGGACCTGATACAGGTGCCTGGTGATGCCTCCAGGACATAAACAGAAGCTTCTCTTGTTAAAACTGAAACTTCAGACAAAACAAAACGAAAAAATTTACTTTTAAAAAATGAAACTCCTACAGTAGACCGGTTCTGAATGCAGAGGGATATGTTTGTGTTATCTCACTATTTCTAGCTTACTCTGTAAGCTACTTTGAATGTAAAATTAGACCAATAAAAATGGATTTTGGATCCGGAAATGTGGGCCAGCAGACCAGTAGGTCCGCGTTCTTTACAGTATTTGCATAACCAGCATTCCAGAATCATCGCTAACTGAGAATACTTCCACTGGACTGCGTTCTCACCTGTTTAAAACTTCTCTCAGTGCTTCGTTTCTTCTGCAGTTTTCAGCTTTTTGCTAATAGTTTATTTTTCTGTTCTTCCAACTCTTGAATTTAATCACTCTGTGGATGAATCGGTATAAAGTATGAGTTTCAGTCTGAAATGGAAATAGTCAAACAGATCAACTGGGTTTGCTGGTGACCTGCTGATTTTGACCAGCTTTAAATTAGAACTTTCTGTCCTGATTTCCTGCAGGATCAGTAAATCCAGCAGCTGCTGTTCCACCGACCATCAGTTAGTGTGAAACAGGTCAGCGTGGAGCTGCAGCTTCATGCGGTCACTTCCATGCTCAGCCAACACTGCTGCAGCTCTCCAACACCAGTGCGTCAAGGAGCAGAACTATCCGCATTCGCCTTAATAGATGAAATACAATCTTTTTTCTGTGCCTTTCTGAAATTGAAATATTTTACTGCAAGATTTTGAGTCTGGCTGCTATGGATCTTCTGGAGTAGATGTTTGCAGAGGAGTTGGTTCCTCCTCCCTCCATCAATACGATGGAAGCTCTGCTGTGGCCGTCCCAAAGGAAACAATGCTGGAATAAGGGTTCCTCTGTCTGGGGATGGTTCTGTGAAATTTGGTGAATTAGCTGATGAAGCAGAAGCCGCCTCAAAGATGCTAAGGACCCTGATCGGCAGAAAGAAGAATGTGAAACTGCTTTATATTGAGAAGTGTTCTTACCCACCTGCAGTGTTCCTGCTTTTACTGTCTGGACAGACTGTCAGTGCAGGGTTCCCCTGGATCAGATCTATGTTCTCCTGGATCAGAACTGAAGCTTTTAATAATGAAGGTCATCCATGCTTTATCTTCCCACCCTGCACTCATCTTAATCTGCCTAGATTAAAAAGTGCCTTCAGTCAGTAGCTCCTCCTTCTGATGTCACAGGAGCAGAAAAGTGCAGTTCTGGGTTTTGGTGCCAGGCAATGCATGTCTCACTCCATCCTGGAGGGGTCATGCTGTCCTCTCCAAATTGTTTTTTATTGAAGAAGCTGAGCTCTGTGTTGATTAAAACTCAGTTAAAACTTTATTACATAAAAAGAAAAGAAAAACAGTTGGTGGTGGACCACTTTTTCTGGGTGCAAAGCCGTATTTCCTATAAGACCCCCCCTCCCAACAGCTTGCAGTGTTTGACCAAAGACCAGGTGGATGCTGATTCACTTACCACCAGCAGCTTCTAGTTAGCAAGCTAACAGGAGGTATAACAAGGTGGCCATTTTGGGACTACTGTACTGTTTATTTTCTGCGTTATTTTGTTTACATCAAAATCTGCTTCCAACCTTCAGCACCTCACTACATTTTTTTGTTTGTTTTTTAAGTCTGCAACAAAACTTAATGACCTTTTTTAATCACACTCATCACCCTTTGTGCCCCTCACCTAACTGATCATAAAGGTTCATCTTGAACAGAATAACAAACCTCAGCTACTAGTTATTAACGATAACTAAAATGAACTGTATCCACTCACCTGTATAGGTCGTAGATTAAAATTCATGATTATGTGACTATAACTGATGATTTGTTGAATGTTGAAATTAAACTTCTATGGAAACACGTTTTCTTCAGTTTCTGGTGTGTTGAAACCAGTGTTGATGTGAGCGCTTTACATTTGACCAGGAGGCCAAACACAAACCCAGCAGATCAAAGAGTTCTGCTTGTTAACAACTATGAAGAAAATATTATTTTTCTCAGATTTAAGAGGACTTGTTTAGCCACAGGCAATAAGACTTTAATGAGGGGAAATTAAAAATTTTAAGAACAGAGTAAACTGTACAGAGGTGTGGTTGGATGATATTCTAAAGATCAGGCTCTCAGGGCCTACTGTCCCTCATGGTTCAGGTGTTTTTCTGATGGGTTTCGACAATTTTCTAAAGCTGGGGTTCTAGTCATCTAAATCAGCTAATCTGAAGCAGAGATACATCTAAAACATTGGGGATAGTGAGGCTTCATACATTTCTATCCAGGCTGTTTTTGCATCATGGTGCTTCACTGCAATATCAATCTTCAAATCAGTAAGCTTTTCTTAAATTAAGTGTATTTACCCATAATTTGATGAGATAAATAAGATGATTCGCCAATGGAATTAGTATTTTTACACTTCAAGTCAGATAATTAATAATATACTCTTGAAATAATAGTTTTTTTCTTATCTTAAATATAAATTGTCTTTATCCATTGGCAAATGGTCTGACTTACCTCCTCAATTCAAGAACAAATGCACTTAAGCACTTAAAGTACTACCTACTCCCGGTAATAGTAGTAATTAGTGGCTCTTGTCTAATAAATAAAACATATAATGGTGAGCTGTAAAAAGGATTTGCTGTTTGACTAATGTCTTGTTTTAAAACATTTCAAAGAGCTGGAATGGTTTGAGAGAGGATTGTGGAAAAAAAACTCTGCTGCACCTTTTTAGCAGCTCCTTGATAAACGCAGAGTTGGTTCTTCACTTGGACTAAAGGTGAGGAATAAGGGAGAAATTCTTTGTTTTTATACAAAATGTGAGATTAACAGTTGCTTACTTCTTATGAGGTCCTATGAAATGCTTCATTGTGTAAAATTACTAAAACCATTGCTGCTCTGTCAGATTACCAGCTTAGGGCTGAAACATCTGCTGCATTTGTTTCACCCCCTTTAATACATAACCTTTAGTCCAGGGGTTATAAAAAAGGTTTATTTTTTAGCACTCAACATTTTATCAACAGTGTTCTTTGGTGACATCTGTTGACCAAAGATAAGAAGAACATCTTGGAGCTCCACATTCAAAGTGGCTGCAGACACTAAAGGCTAAATATGATGCTTTCAACACAATAAATGCGTTAATGTTTCCTTTCTATAATAAACATACTGTTTTTTAATAGATCAGGGGCGTCTAAGTCCTATCTGGGTTTGCAGTTCTAGAATAATACACATTTGATGCAAATTATTACTAAAGATGTGTTCTTATTGACTAAATGAACATTAATTAAAGCTAATAGTTCCACCTGATCCACATCTCCCAAGATACTTTTACTGATTTCCTACTCCTAGATCTGCTTTAAATACATTTTCTAAACTTCTCTAAAAACAGCAAAGTGTTTTCTGTGATACAGTGACTAATATCCTGTTCATATTGCTGAGGAGAGATTAACTTTTTAGATTTGTTTCTAATTGATTACAAACTGAATTGCTTTCTTTCAAATAGAAAAAAAACTTTCTTATCAAACTTTGAATGCAAAATAATTCATGAATCATTTTGCTACAATAATCGATCTAAATGGAATATTTCATGCTCTTGCTTTCATTTTAACAGATCACAATCAGGATTTTTTAGTTTTATATTATTCATTTATTTTTTGGCCTCTGAGTTTTTGTTTTGACCATCTTGTCCATATGGTACAAAGTTTACACTCACCTGTTATAATCTATTTTAATTCAGGTAACAAAGCAGCAACGGGATTATATGACTATAAGCAAATGACCCAAACCCAACAGTGTTTCAGAAGCCAGAGATTCAACTTCCAGCGGACTAACTTTACAAAACACTGTCTGCAGATTTAAAAAAGAAAGTTTAGATCTAAAACTGCTGCTTTGGTTCAGAATCTACTGAAAAAATGTGGCTCATATGGACCGGCATAGATATTCCAACAAAGTAAAAAAGCTTTTTAAGACCAGGATGACTTTAGGTCTTTCAGGATTTTTTTTGTATTATTATTCTTCGATTTCTTCTTCTTCTTTTTTTTAAAGGAAGTTTGGAGAAACCAGGTTTCAGTGTCAATACTACACCAGAAAAACAATCTAGAAATAAGTAAAACATTTCTTAAATTAAGTGTATTTACTCTTAATTTGAGTAGGTAAAATGAGATAGCTTGCCAATGAAATAAGATACCGGTAATTAGATAATATGCACTCGAAATAAAACAATGCAATTGTGTTTTCTGATTTTAAATGTAAATTGTCTTGTTCCATTGGTAAAATATCTGTTTTACCTCCTCAATCCAAGAACAAATGCACTTATTTTAAGAAAAACATGACTTATCTAAGATTTTGATTTTTTCCGCTGTACATACTAACATTTTTTTTTTTAAATAGGTAAAAAAATTATTTACTTCAAGATCAATAACCAAATGTGGACATTGTCTTGGTCTTAGAACCAGGACATCTGGATTCTGTGAACTGCCTGAACGAAGACTTTAGCCATCCATCTTTGGAGTTTAGAGCTGCTAAGTTCAACATGTGATCTGTATCTAAACCTTTTCCAGTTTCAAACTTTAACCTCATAATTCACACTGGAAATTGAACCCAAAACTTTCTGGCATGCTTCTTAACAGGTTTCAGAGATTCTCCTGATTATTTTTAAAAGCCTGCCGTCAGTTCAGGCAGGTTTGACAACAGACTTTGTTACTGCTTCCAGGTTGGATTCAGTTCCTTTATTCAGGCATTAATCATTTAACTCCAATGTTGAAGGTCCTGCAGATCTGATCAGAACTTTGCTCAAACTTGACTGTTGCGCCAATGCCATTTTTTGGCCCGATGCCATATCGGCCAATACCGATACCATACGTTTGAAATTTATGTGTATGTGTATATGAAGAACTGCATACTACTTGGATGTAAAATAATTGTCATCATGGTTTTGTCAGGTTGCTGCCTACCTTTGTGAAGCAGGAAAAAGACTAATACAAAGTGAATCCAGTAGAACTTTTTATTGCCTACCTGGAATGGGGGACAATAGTTGAATAAACTTTTAGCTCTTAAAATGGTGCTCTATTTGTTGGTACTCGCCGATACCAATACCACCATTTTAGTGCTGGATCGGGGCCCCGCCCGATACTGGTATCGGTGCAACACTACTCATTAGTGGAGAAATTAATTGGTTCTGACTTGGTTTATTTTTACAGCATCTTTTAACAGCGGTAGAGAAAAAAAAGGTAAAACTTCCTCCTCCTCCAGATCAGAACAGGGCAGAGATGAGCACCTGCAGCAGATCCACATCCAAATAAACCCGGCAGAATGAGAGGAAAACACCCACAGCCGAGAACCCGATCAGAACCCACAGAACCTTGGCACTGAAGTAGAGCGGAGCCAGTCTGGAAGAGAGCAGAAATTGGAGAGCAAGAGCTCAGAAAAAAACAATGCTGCAGGCTCTTCTGCAGGATCTCTGGTATATCAGAAACAAACTAGTAGATCTGTTCTGTGATAATATAATTAAATCCATGTCCCATGATAAATTCAAAGACTAAAACCACCAAACATCAGAAGAACTAAGCCTTTCCAAGATGATGCCAGAGGGGCTATAAAACTCTGGGACTTTCACTTTCTTTAAACTGATCCAGTTTAAAAAGGACAACGGGGACAAATAAGGGAGTTTAGGTCCTTTAGTGCTTAAAGCAGGTATTTATACTCCTCTACCACCTTTATTAAGGAAAAGTATCTGCTGCCAAGTCTTCACAGAAAGTTAAGATTAAAATGTCCAAAGAATAAATCAAATATTCTTGATATGTAAGAATATTTTCCTTTAAGGTGCAAAAACTCAGCAGACTACTACATTTTTCTGGTTTTCATCCTACCGTCCCTGTGCAGACTCTGCGTATCCCCAGAAGTAACGCAAGCGTCCATATAGATACAGCAAACCGCAGATGCTGGACAACCCTGCATCACACACACATACAGCCTTAGAGTCATCTGTTCCCAGTGAGTGTACCCATGCTCACGTCAGGCGTGGCCTCACCTTGGCTGAAGAAGACTCCAGATGTCCACATTACAGTAATGAAGATGGGGAAATACTCCGAACAGTTTGCTCTGCAGCATAAAAAGCAGTAGGGTTAGAGCTGTGATAATAAACTCACCAGGAAGCATCAGCGAGCTTTCAATTATGGGCAAAGAGCAACTTTACAGGAGATCTTCGTGCAGGTGGTAGATCTGCAGAGACTCAGAATAGTCAGCAGAGCAATTCGTCCTGCTTATGGACCGTATTCAAAACTGCTGCTAACTAAAAAGCTTTACTAGTTTTTGATCTCCACTTATCCTGCACTATCTCTATAGTTATGCTGCTATAGGCTTAGACTGCTGGAGGGCAAGAATCGTTTCCCCTCACTCTGCTACAGTCTCCTTCTATTCTCTTATTTTGCTTTGTTTATTTTACTTTAAACTTTATTTTCTGTCTGACATTTCTTTATGCCCCATTGTGTTAGTGTTTAACTGTATCTCCCTGCTGAACAAGAAGTTTTTGGGGGTTTTTTCTTACTTGTTACTTGAAGTTTGGTATCTTTGTCTGTCTGTAGTTCTTTTTCCTGTCCTTTCAAAACTCTGTTGGTTCCCGCATTTTCCTCACACATATCAACACTGGTTCAGCTCTTTTGTTCATATTTAAGGGAGTCTTTCTTTCCCACTGTCACCACAACATGCTCATGAGACGAGTTTTATGGGCAGACATCAACTCAATTTATTTGTACCCAACTGTTGTACCATAGTTCGATCTAAAGGGAATCACATTTTTTGACTGTTGTGGATTGTTCTGGATTTGATGTACTCCTGTTTATTGAATTGGTCATTTTGCTGTGATTTGGTTTTATTTGAATAAAATAACTTAAATTGCAATTAAAGCCGTTTTTTCCAAGCTATTGCAGAGTAGCATCAATAGACCAACTATTTCACTGCTTTACATTTCACTGTTGGAAGACACGCTAGCAGAAAACACTGCTGCTATATCTTCATGCACCTTAATAGAACAGCTAACAAGTATTACTTGATCACCTGAAAGCCAGACCGGCTCCAAGTCTTTTAAGCTGTTCCAAACAATCTGATGCAGTTGAACACTGCGTATCCCACAGAGCGTAACTTTTATGCTAACAGATGGTGATGGCAACTAATTTTGAAAAGCTAAATGTGTAAAAAAGTGTGCATGAATGTTTCTATATATCTTTTCATCGTACATCCCAGTTCACATAGAAAAGCTAAGCTGCTGGAGGCCTAAAGACCCCCCAGTTTTGATGCTGATGAGTTGTAACATTTACATGAGAAATTAACATTTATATTTTCTATCTGACTCAGTCTGTTCCACCATTTTCTGAGGTATGTTAGGTTATTGTATGAAGATAAAAGAGGTTTAGTTTCCTTGTTCAGGTTAAACAATACATTTTCAAACTAAGCTTTCAAGGTTAAAGGTCACATAAAGTGGAACAGGATTTTTTGTTTTTTTGTTTCAGCTGGTTTGTTTTCACACAGTTCTCTATGCTGTGATCTACAGGCACCCTAAATACAATATGGACTTCTTAAAAGTGTTTCATAATTTTGCTGGCAGCAATTATACCAAAATAAAATCGCTTTCATGTCGTGGTGGACTTAAATATTCATGTGTGCTTTTCCAATAAGCTGATGGCAAAGTCATGTAGATTATTTTATCACCATCTTTCTCCAAGCCCACACAAATATTTGCACATTAGAACTGGTATTTACATATAGTCAACACATTCTTAGCTTAGAGCTTTGTTATGTGGTTTGGTCAGAATGTAAGACCGTATTGTTTGAAATTTCCCTTTTATCTGGAAAAGTTAATCCCTCCCCTAAAATGCTTTTTTGATGCTTTTAATCAAATATTACAGCTTTCCTAAATCCGTACAGTATATACGACGAATGTGGCAAACTTTGTGGCCAAATTTTAAAATCAGGCAAGTAAAGACCATACCTAAACCTTGACTTAATCAAACCACCTGGAATCTGCATGATTTAAAAATTATTTTGCAATCAGCTTATCAGGATAGCACACATAATTATTAAAGTCCAAAACAAAACGAAAGTAATTATATTTTGGTATAATTTCAGCTAACAAATTAGAAAACACATTTAAGAAGTCCTTATTATATTTATTGTGCCTGCAGAGCTAAGCACAGACGGAAGAAAGATAAACTTCCAGTGTGAAATGACATTTTAAAAGGAAACTGGATGTCTTTACAGAAAGTTTTCCAGAATCATAGAAAAAAAAACATTTATTGATCAGTAAAGCACTTTGTCACAAGACCTCTAATGCATTTGAAAGTATTGACATGGTTCTTCATTCACCAAAGTCTATCTGTGTCCAAGCTTTTTCTAAAACAGATGAAACATTCCTTCCAGTGAGGGATCTGACAGTGAGGTCAGTGTCCTCACTGTGTTCCTCTAACAGTGCCCTGAGCTCTCCCACTAGTTGAGCCTGTTTTATTGCAGAAAACTATTCTTTCTCCTGGTCCTTTATATGATGTTTTCCTTCTGCCGCTCTTTCAAAAACACCTTCCTTAACATTCAATAGCTAAATAAATAGCATCCTGTCCTCTGGGGTTGTTCCTACAGACCTTAAATAGACAGTAATTGAGCCTTTGCTAATAATAAAAAAAACATGCTCTAAACTAATAATTTTCAAATTAAGGACATATTTCTAAACTTCCTTTTATTTCTGGTTTTCATTATTTATCAATTAACAAGTAATTCATGTCTTTTAAGAGGACCATGTAGTTTTAGAGATCTTTCAATCTGATTTTAAAGCTGTGTATAATACTGAGTCTACAGGTATCCCACAGGGCTCAGTGCTGGGCCCTCATCTTTTTTTCTCTATTAGTCTGTTATCATTTATTCTATTTTCAGGAAACATTGATTCTCCTTTCATTTATTTGCAAATGTGTTTTGTACTTCCTGAGAGGATTGTTTTTTTCCCCTTTTTTATTTCATTTAAATTTATTTTTTGTTTTAAACTGTCTGTTTTGGCCTTTGTTTTACTTGCTATGCAGCACTTTGTGAATATTAGGTTTTATCAAAGTTCTTTAGAAATTAAGATCATACAGTGTTTTAAAACCCTGGCATTTTAACTGGGTTTTTTAATTTTTTTTAGACATTTTTATTGTCAATACAGCTACACAGGCAGGTGTAGTTTCCCCAATGAAACACACACAGGCGAACAAGGTACTGACTGAGCTCTGAAGATCCGCTCGAACTCTGGCGGGCCGCTGGTGGTGGGTGGAGAGACACTGTACTTCCTCCTGGCGTAAATTACTTGCAGGGAGAAATAGGCTGTATACAAAAAAACACCAACATCATTATTATTATTATCACACTGATTTACATACAGTGGCTGATTTTTCAAAAGGTCTGAGTCATAACATATCCTTGTTCCTATTGGACCCATTCCATACACCTGTGGGAACATCCTCAGTGAGGAGTGTGAGGTTCTTCAAAACAAAGTTTACTCTTAATAATGAAAGCAAATATGCTTCATTAAAGCAAACAAAAGGTCAAATTTAAATCTTCTCTATAGACCTCTTGGACTGTAGAAGGCTTTCCTTTATACTATCCCAGAAAAAGCAGCAGGATAAAAATAGATAAAATATTTGCATCTGGATGGAAATACTTGTCTCAACTTTATAAAACGGCAAAATGGATACAGGAAAATAACAAACCTGAACCTAAAGAGTAGTCAGATTACATCCTAGACACTGAGGTTTCCTTGGATCTCCAACCACAGCCTTACCTTGCTCCAAGACACCCAGCACTGTCACTACACCAAGTCCTACTGCCTCATCCAGCATCTTTGCAGGGTGACAAGTGAGAAGCACCTGAACTGTGGAGATGGAGTGAGACCAGACAGGAAGCTTTGACAGTCCGAGAGAGCCTGAGAGAGAGTACACCTGTAAGAGGCGGGGCTAAAATTCACACCTGTAGGGAGGGGAGCTTAAATTCAGACCTGCATAAAGCAGATCCAAGTTACACTAGCAAAAAATATGCCATCAAGAGGCAGATAGCTGGTAAGGCATCTACTCAAACAAATCAGATCTTCTATAAGTTAATTATAGAATGTGGTCATGAAACATGTATGAAAACCCCTGGAAAGGATTCAGTCTTGAAAGCAGCTGATCGTAATTTCTGCAGGCCCATACCATGATCAAACTTGCAGCAATAACTAATCCTGGATGAAGAGGGCTGTTGATTCTCTTTCAACAAACTTCATGGTGGACTGATAATCTGACAACAAAATGCTGGTGTAGACTCTCAGCCATCCAGGACATAGTGAATCCAAAACATGACGATGTCAAAGACATTTCAGGCTTCATCCAATTCAATTCAGTTTATTTATACAGCGCCAATTCACAAGACATATCATCTAAAGGCTCTTTACAGTTCAACCAGATCATACAGTCAAATTGATTCAAAATTTTCTATCTAAGGAAAATTAGTTGATTGCATCGACTCATTGGCTCTAATGCAATAACCTTACAGTGGAGAGGAAAAACTCCCTTTTAACAGGAAAAAACCTCCAGCAGAACCAGGCTCAGTGTGAGCGGCCATCTGCCAAGACCGACTGGGGTTCAAGGAGACAGAAGCAGAGACACAAAAAGCAGCTGCAAAAGGCGGCCCCGTCCAGGAAACACACAGCCAGGCAAACGAGCTCAGAGCCAGCTCCCATGCCAGAGGACGAGGAGAGCACATCCAGCCAGTCACAGTCAGAGAAACAGGACTACACTGGAAAACAGGCTGATCTCCAACATCTATAAACAAGGGTGTTGATGGAAGCAGCACAGCTGATATTTCTCTCCAGGATGGAGTCGCAGCTTAACAGGGTTAGACGAGGGAAAGCTACTATGAGAAAAAGCAGAGAGAGCAGAAGGTTAGAGATGAACTAACAGATTCTGCAGAATAGGAGAATGAAACAGAATGATGAAATGGGGGTCCCTATGTCCTCCAGAAGTCTAAGCCTATAGCAGCATAACTATAGAGATAGCTCAGGATAACCTGAGCCACCCTAACTATAAGCTTTATCAAAAAGGAAAGTTTTAAGCCTAGCCTTAAAAGTAGACAGGGTGTCTGCCTCACGGACTAAAACTGGTAGTTGGTTCCACAGGAGAGGAGCCTGATAACTAAAAGATCTGCCTCCCATTCTATTTTTAGAAATTCTAGCAACCACTAGTAAACCTGCAGATTGAGAGCGAAGTGCTCTGTTAGGAACATAAGGAACAATCAGATCTCTGATATAAGATGGAGCTTGGCCATTTAAGGCTTTATATGTGAGAAGGAGGATTTTAAATTCAATTCTTGATTTAACAGGAAGCCAATGAAGAGAAGCCAGGATAGGAGAGATAGGATCTCTCTTTTTAATTTTCATCAGAACTCTGGCTGCAGCATTTTGGATCAGCTGAAGGCTTTTGACTACAGTTTGTGGACTTCCTGAAAGTAAAGAATTACAATAGTCCAGCCTTGAAGTAACAAATGCATGGACTAGTTTCTCAGCATCACCCCATTAATCCCATCCAAATGAAGTGACTGGCTAATCAGCTTATTTTTCAGAGACTCTGGTCCAAAGACTATAACTTCTGTTTTATCTGCATTCAGAAGGAGAAAGTTAAGAGTCATCCAGGTTTTTATGTCTTCAAGACATGCCTGTAATTTATGTAATGGGTTAGCTTCATCTGGATTTATAGAGAGATATAGCTGGGTATCATCATCATAACAGTGGAAATTAATCCCATGCTGTCTAATAACTTTACCGATTGGGAGCATGTATATAGTAAAGAGAATTGGTCCTAGAACTGATCCCTGTGGTACTCTACAGGACACCTTAGAGCATGAGGAAGATTTATCATTAAAGTAAACAAACTGAAATCGATCAGATAGATAAGATTTAAACCAGTCTAGAGCTGCTCCTTCAATTCCTACAAAACATTCAAGTCTTTCTAAAAGAATATTATGATCAACTGTATCAAATGCAGCACTGAGATCTAACAGGTCAAGCACAGATACAAGTCCATTATCTGAGACCATGAGAATATAATTAGAAACTTTCACCAGAGTTGTTTCAGTGCTATGATGAGCTCTAAAGCCAGACTGAAACTCTTCAAAAAGTTCATTATGGTTTAAGTGTACTTTCTCAAGAATTTTAGATAAGAAAGTGAGATTGGATATAGGTCTCTAATTGACCAAGTCATCAGGGTCAAGAGACGGTTTCTTAAGCAAAGGTTTAATTACAGTATCAGTAGAGAAGCTGCAGAGACGTGTGTTAAACTACGTCTCTGCTTCCTGGACCAAAGCATTATGGCTAACATGGAAAACCCTTTGTGGAGGAAGACATCCTGTACAGACCATACGAACAGTAAAGCATGGCTGTGGTGGCATCACGCTGTAGGGATGCTCTTCTTCAGCAGGAACAAGGAAGCTAATCAGAGTTGGTTGGATGGATGAATTATCCAGGGCCTGATAGAGAGAAGCTTCAAGGAAATCCTCACCCTTGTGGGCTGAGTAATATTCAGACCATCTTCCTGATGGAAATAAAGATTTTTTGCAATATGTTGTTTTAGGGATGCTTCACATCCTCTGATAGAGGTGGGGACTTGCCTCCTAACTGGCAGGAGCCATCCACCTTCTACCAGCTGCTGAAACCTTCAGCGAGACAGAAATAAGATTTTTCCGGGGGGAAAAAAAAGTTTGATTTTAGAAGGAAATCCCCATTTGAAAAAATGTTGTCATCCATTTCCCACTAATGAGCCACAACGAATGAAACCTACTCTTTCAGACCCAGCTGTTAATCTCTAAGGTGTTCCTCAGGGATGTTGATGTATGTAGATATCAGGGGTTCCCAAACATTTCAGCTGGTGATCCAATAAATACAAATGCAATAAGAAACACCCTGAAAATACATATAATTAGATTACATTTACAGGTGTTCTGGAAAGTTTACATACCTTCCCATTAAAGAAAATAAATTCTGACTACTAATGCAAATAATACAAAACATTAAAACAGTGAAAACATTTTTAGTAAATTATGATTTAGTAAAATGTTTGTGTTTATGAAAATAATTCTAAAAAAAAAAACAGACTGTCCCTGACAAATTAGGAAACATTGATCATGAACAGTGAACCTGTAAACAGGTGCAAAATCTGACTGATCATTTCCTGAACATTACAAAAAACACCTGATTTCAGTGTTTGCCTCAAAAATCAAAAACATTTTATTTCATTCATCCATTCATCCCTCACATTCAAAATTAATGTCATGATTTTAATTACTTTTGTGATTTTCAATCAATTTTATTGGCAGCTGATTGACAGAAAGGTATGTATGCTTTCAAGCACAACTGTATTTATAAAGTGCTAATTTTTAAATAAATGTGTTTGTAATTGAGATCTAATCCTTTTATTTTAAATGCTTTAGTGCTACGTTCTCGAGTCAAAGGACCCCGAAACTGATGGTGAGATGGAGCGGGGACCCCCTAATTTATATTGTATGCAATAGTGTTATATCGAACTGGTCCTATAGTCACTCTATTACAGATGGAGTAATGTACTGAAAGTAATGTCTCCCTGGGATTATTAAAATATTTCTGATTCTGATTCCTGGTTGATGGGACAGGTGTTGTGGATGAGACGGTGTCCAGCTTAAAAGAGTTCCTGTGTGTCGCTGAATGTGTGCATTGATGACTGAAAGACATCTTCTGCCTCCATTTATCTGTTTACTACAATGTGTTGAATTCATGCCAATATGTATTTAAAGAAATTTCAATAAGTGGAAAAAATTACAGGGAGGAATATAAAAAAAAAATGGTTAAAAACTTTTGCAACCCCCTGTTGATGACCTCAGCTTTAGTGAATGGGACATTTTAATCTATATGATGCATAAAAGATACATCTACCCATTTCAAGGTGGATTTAATGACAGTAAAATGTATGCATTTATTCTGCATGTTTGCCCTACATTCATCAGGGGTCCCATCACAACTATTGTGAAAACCATTTTGGGAAACCCTGCCCTAAACCTTCCTCAGGGTTTTCATTGACACCACTCTTAAGCACAATACAGGAGCGGTTCAGGGAAGCGTCTCAACCAGGCACAACCACTAAAATCCAAATCTTACATCAACACCTTACAGGTAAAATGATCAGGATCCAGAACCCCGAAACGATTTCTTCCAGGAGTCCATCATACAAGCAGATGACATGTTGGACACCACATGTTCTGAACCTACTAACACAAGGCACAGACCTGAGGAAGGAAATGCACCCTGTAAACACACCAAACATAGAACCACATTCATCCCTCCTTTCAGCCTCACTGAAGAACAAAGACTTGAAATATAGGAGGGCCCTGAGGGCCTGCTGATAAATAATTTTGAATAAGAATGGTTATGACCCCGTAGAACGTGTGGGATGATGACTGAATGATGAGGTTTTATGATACTTTTACTGTTTATTGGACCTTTTTTTATGGTTTTATTCTCTTGATTGTTTGGGTTGTTGGAGCAGCTTTCACCTGCAGAATCGCTCTTAACGGAGAAAAGAATCTGTTAGTGCTTCTGAAAACCCAAACCGATCCTACAGACCAAGAATTTATTATAGACCGATTGGATCCAATTTTCAATTAAGTTTTAGGACTCTACTCCACAGGAGGAGGATGCTTCCAGGCAAAAAATAAAACCCCACAAAGAAATCATTTCTAAAGAACTATATTTACACAATAATCTTGTTTTACAGAGAACCATATCAAAAGTATAAAATACTTACAAAATTCAGCTGCAATATATAAAAATAACTTCTATCTTCTCCACATCATTAAGAAAGGTTTACATAACAAAAAATATATTTATAAACATTTATACATAGTCAGTTCACAACAGTTGGGCCTAGAAAAGTCGGCAGACTCTGCAGATGGAGAGTGAAAACTGTCACAAATCAAACGTACAAGTCGTCTGCAGAGACTGGAAACGTGGATGGAGACAGAAACAGTACAGTAGATAATCCAAGGCCACCTTAAAACCAGACGGCTGTCAGGGTCAGAGGTTTGAAAGAGACCAGAATACGCTTTTAAAAGTCTAAGGAAGGATCCCTGGAAGACCAACGCTGCGTTCTTACAGATGTTTCCAATTCTGTTACACTAAATGATCTGTTAGAATCTCCCATCAGAACTTTAAGCTTTAGAATGAACTCATAATAAACTCAATTATTTAACTTCATTTTTTTTTTTTTTTAATCTATACCTGCTTCAGATTTATAACATATTTTGCAAATGGAGAGAAAACAAACCAGTTGACACTGCTCAAACTTTAACAAATTTAACAGAAGGAAAGAAGTTAAATTCCTCCTTTTCTACAGAAAAAAAAAACAAAACAAAAAAAACAATTTTAGTCCCTGAAGCTGAAATCTTAGCTACAACCTCCTGAAGGCTAACATGCAATCTAGCAGACCAGATTTAGGGCTCTAGGTCTCATCCTCAGAAGCGCAGCACTGCAACAGGTTTCTTTTCCTTTAGGTTAATTTCTAACCAGAATATAAATGCAGTTATTGCAGTGGATTTATCAGACTGATCAACAAGCTGCAGCCCAGGGACTAAAAATATTCAGAGGGGAGAAACTAGTTTGCATAAACGGAACCAACTCTTGTTGAAGATGTTAGACTTTGTGTTGTTTCCATAAATTTCCCTACAGTATGAAAATGAACCTTCTACATGGGAGCCAACAGAGGAACCTCATGGAGGCTTCAGGGTGAATGAACTTCAGCTGCTGTCCATTAAAACATCTCGCTCCCCAGGGCGGTGCTGCCAGCCTCCAGGTGGCGCTCCGGGGGCGAGAACAGTGGTTCAGTAGTAGTCTCAGTCTATAAACGCCACACGGTTTGCAGCCTGATGCGATCAGATCAACATCCAGACATGCCAACTCTACAGTTTCAGGAAGGGGAGCAGGAAGTTCTACTGGGATGCCTGGGACTCATCGTTAAGGCATCCCGCCTGCATTAGATCTTTGTTTTGTGGCTTTAGATAAACAAGATTTCTTTGTAATTATGAGATGACTGGACATCCACAAAATATTCAAAACATTTTGAGGCAAATGCTGCGATTTGACTGGGAGTTGATGAAACTTTTAGCCCTGGATGTTTTAACCAATGGATGATATCAGCTAAGGTGGCTGATTTTCATAGAAAATCAGCAGTAAAGCAATAAAGATGGTGGCATCCCTAACTTCACTTCTCAACCTTTTTTTCCCAACCATTCATGATGATTCAGCATGAAATGACAATGATGAAAAATTCTGATTACACAGTAGTGAACAACAGATGAAGTGGTGTCATCCTGCTGAAGATGTTTAACCACTAGAGCTGAAACTCATTTTGGTCCCTTTAACTTAAACCGTTGGTTCTGATCACTAATTCATGATCCAAACCAGCATCTGCCATCACTTCATGCTTTCACTGAATGAATTATGCCAGAAGTTGCATCAACTCATTCAAATGTCTTCTTTCCCCCGGAAGTGACTCTTTGGAGGAAGTAATGCAATAATTAATGCTGTTTTGTCTTTGTGCTGTGATTTGGAGTTACATGATGGGGGTTCTGATCCGATCTGGCCCTACAGGAGGGTTACTTCACTGTTCACCTTCTATCACTCACGACAATAGAATTTTTTTCAGCTATTCCGGGGTCAGCAGTGTGCAGTGAACTCATCTGGCCCATCTAAGTAAAATTGCTGCCCTCTTTCCCATCTGAACCTTGGATCAGATCCTTCTCAGCTGGGGCGCCGTGTCTTACGGGTGGCTGGCGAGCAGCTCGTCCAGGTCGGCCATCCACTCCTGCGTGCTCTGAGCCTTCAGCAGTGAATCGACTAGCTCACTTTCTGCGGCGAAGCTACCTGCCGCTGCGTTGTAACCGAATGACACCTGCTGCTGCTGGCTGGCAGTCCTGCTCACCTGGTAACCTTGGTTACACTGCATTGCCTGGCGGCTGCTTCCCTGTCCGAATGCTGCCAGGTCTGAGAGGACTGCCTGGCTCTGATTGGCCGGCTGCTGCTGACTCTGCTGCTGGCCGAGGCTGTGGGCCGCCGGTGGTGCCCTCTGCTGGGCAGCCATGTTTGTCTGCATCATCTGCTGCGCAGCATTTAGACCAGTCATAGGGCGTCCACTGGAGCCAGGGCCAAAGGAGGCAGAGCCAGCGGCCATCTTGGGGATGCGAGGCTGCTGCATATGGAAGCCGTTGTTGTTGAAGTTGGAGTGCATGCCGGAATTAGCAGAGGGCGGCTGGTTGGTGATCTGCTGCTGCCATGTGCTGCCCTGCCCCCCTTGCATGGTTCCAGCCATCCCGCCCCCCATGCTGCCCTGCATGCTGTTTGGCATGCGGCTGGCAGCCATCTGCTGCTGCTGTTTTAACATGGCGGCGTTGGGCTGCTGCTGCTGCTTCAGGAGCTGCTGCTGCTGCAGCTGCCTGTAGGAGGTGCTCATGGGACCAAGAGGCTGGCGTTGTAGGTTGGCCTGCTGGCTGGGGTGCAGGTTCATGTTGTTGTAGAGAGAGTCCACACTGGCTCCGCCCCCTCCACCTCCACAGGATGGCAGACTGATGTCAGCCTGACTCACGGCAGTGGCTGAGGCTACACCACCACCCGGCCCCCCTCCCTGGGCCATTGTCATTCCCATCATGCCTTGGTTCTGGAGGAACATGCGGGATCCTGGGGCGGGGCCTCCCATGGAGCCGATGTTGCTCATTGACTGAGAAGAAGCTGAGAAGAAAAAATAAAAAAAATCTTTCAATTAGAGACAAAACACAAACATTTTTAAACTATTTGAGCAGCCTAATGGTGCGTTAAGACCGGGCGCAGTGGCTGCGGTGATTTCCTAGAGCCCCGCAGGGAGTTCACCACTCAGCACATCAGATGCATTGTGTTTACACCTTAGACCGCACCCTCATATTGGAGGAGCTTCAGCTGCGTGAAGCTGAAACCCCACCGATGTGAAAAATGTTCAGCAAACAGACTGAATGGTTATTGCTGTAGTGTATGTTTTTTACATTTTAATTGGTCATTTGTAAAAATCATGTAAGCTACTGTTGTTTCAGAGATTTTAAAGATAGAACCAGAGGTCAACTATCCATCTATAAAGCTCAGAATTTTATATAAATTATCTACTTTTTCAGGGCTACTTTATTTAGGCTGATTTGGTTTTCAAGATAGAATAAACGTAAATTACGGCTGATGGCGTGACCTTCCCAGCAGACATTAGTGCTGCGCTCGTTCCTGATATAAAGTTATTGCATAATATCACGCCATTCCTGTGCTTGTGTTGAATATAACAGCGAGCATGTTTGCCTTATTTAGTGTCTTGAATGACTGTTTAATATTTAGTAATTCAACCAGCCTCCCAGACCCTTGGCCCCTGACAAACCCATAGCATTTCCTGTCAAGGTCCAGCTGTTAGCATTTCACAATAAAAGCGCTGGGGTCCACTCTGGTTCATCCAGAGCCATCTGCATGATGGTTGGATTCAGCGGTACCTCCTTGCAAATCTGTGCTGGAAGGGAGGACGATCAACATTGCTTCTTGGACTAAATACTAAATACATTTTGTTATTATTCTAATCTTATTTCTACCATTTCTTTTTCTTTTTTACATTATTTATCTCTGTATTCCATTTTAAGTGAAAAAAGCTTCACTTACAACCAGCACCTGATTGGCCACTGCTCCTCTCTCCCTCTCTCCATGTGCTGCTGCTGTTTGCCAACACCTCAGCTCCATCTAGTAGCACGAGGTGAGAGCGAAGCAGTGAACACTGAACGATTCCCCGTGTTGTTTCTGAAGGAACAAACTAAGCTCTGGCTCTATGGGGGACTATAGTCTGGGTCAGAACCAATATCTTAATGCCTTGCTTATAAGCTACTATGTGACCAGTTACGCTGAGCAATGTCTCAGCAGCTGCTTTCATTTCCCAGTCAAATGAGTGGTGCGCATCATTGGATCTGAACAGGAACCAGATTCTGATGGAGGCAGCTGACTGGGACAGAACCTGGCTTTGGAACAGTTAGATGCTGAGCTTTTTCAATTTGAATATGACCTTCAGAGTGAAACAAATGCTAACACTTAGAGTTTTTTAATATATTAAGCAAATATAAAAGCACACCTACTGAGCTGAAGTCCTGCTGGATCTTTTGAATTCTGAAACTGTTCTGATCACAACAATCAGAGCTACACTGGCCCAATCTCTGAAATCTGAATCGAACCAGAACCCAAATATTACATGAAAGCAGCAGAAAGAACCTGATCGCTGTTTCTCTGATATCACCGCCAGCTCTGGGGGCTTTGTTAAAAACATAAGCTTTCAGAACAAGATGAAAGCCATCAGGGTTTACAGGGGTTTAACTTCAGGTGTCGTTTAATTATCCAAATGGAACCGGACCGTAACCTCTAACCTGCAGGTAGGAAACCAAGGACAGCACCAATTGCCCATACTTATGTGAATAATCTCACCTGTAAACTGTCCAACTGACTGTTGAGGGAAAGGGTTCTGACTTGCTGGTCCCGTCTGGTCCTGGTACTGTGGGGGAGGTCGGGTCAGATGTCTCTGCAACTGCTGCTTTTCCTGAAAAACAAGGAAAACAACTTAAATCCTCAATCAGTGTTGGAATTTCAAACTCAGTGAAGATTATACATCACAGAAAGAGAAATAAAGTCCTGTTTTTGGCCCAGTTTGGACCAAGCTTCGGCTTTTAGACCTTAGTTTCACTCTGATCAAACTCAAGGTCTAAGTGTTCAGATGACAAACTGCTGATCTAGCTCTCGCTTCTGTTTTCATTTGAAAAGCCTGGACTCTGATTCTTGATCTGCATCAAAGAACCAACAGCTCCATCTGCTGTCTGGGATGAGAAGTTTTAAAACAGATAAAAATGGGTCAGGGGTAAAGAAGGTGGGAGAAAATGTTGTACTATTATATTTAAAAGCACTAATCTAGTGCACTTTGAAGAAAAATCAGGATTCAAGTTACAGGATGGTATAGCATTTATACATCAAGGGTAAAGTTAGTTTTAAATTCTTGTAAGACAGTATTTGAGCCTCTGTGTAAACTTTAATGTAAAAATATAAAAGACAAGAGGAAAGCGAGAAAATATACATCTTACTTGACTAAATAGAAATAGAGGATTTTTGACCAAACTAATCAATGAAATTCGATGAGCCTGTTTATCAGGATCTGTATCCAACACTACCTTAAAACGATTAAACATTTAATCTGAATATAGTATAGAAAACCCAACAGCAAAGACAGCCTTTTATCAAGCTAGCTTTTGGAAGCTACAAGAAAAAAAATATATATCTGAAAATTAGACATACCTTAACTCCTTAGTTTATTTCTTATATTGCCAACTGTACTCTGAAGTTGGTGGAACAAAAAACATGTAGCTTGATAAAAACAGCAGCAATGTTCCTTTATTCTCAGTAGACTACTTAGGGTTCCTACAGCATAAGGCAAGTTAAATTCAAGACTTTTTAATGCCACTTGAAATAAAAATTTAAGACCAAATTCACAAGAAACAAAAGAAAAACCTGCTTGCTACAACTTAACCCAAAGGTTTATTTTTAACATAAACCACTGTACTAATCTTTCAAATTTTGAAAAACTTCCCATACAGGAAGAAAGCTAAAAACACATAAATGACAGATATATTTTAACAATTATTTAACTGAATTCACAAACTTTGTTTTAGCAGTGAACAAAACAAATCAGTTTTAAAACCACAACATAACCAGTGCTAAGTCTTTTTTGCAGCCATTTTTCTTTGTATCGTTTTCTTAGTATGTTTGATTTGGTGATAAGTGGAGGCGTTGCAGAGACGAGGGGGGAACAAAACCCAGAAATACCGGCTGTTTCTTGCTTCTTTCACAAAATCCACTGAGCCTCATGTATGTTTCCTGGTTTTAGCCATGGAGAAAACTCTTGGCTGGAGCCAATTTTGGTTACATTTACACTTGCTCATATTTTCCAGGAAAAAAGTTAATGGCACATCTCCCAAATGTCCCGGCCGCAACAACGCTTTATTGGTTCCGCTATCGGGACGGAACCAATAATGGCGAGCCGTTATTTTTTTTAAATAAAAACTAATTGTCAATTTTAAAGTTTTATTCAGATTACAAAAAATAAATCGTAATAAAAATTATCCTATTTATGATGTTTTAAAAATTAAGACCTACAAAAGACTGATCTAAGACATTTTAATACCAATTAAGGCCTTAGTTTTAATTTGAAGAATTCAATGCCTTTTAAGACTTCTTAAGGACCCGTGGGAACCCTGCTACTACTGATTATGATTAGTGGTACACAGGACCAAGCCTGCTTCCTTTCATCCCTGTACATAATGTGGCTGGCCAGTTTAGTCACTAATAGCCTCTGAAGCATCTGCCTGAGTCCAAACATCCACATCACTGAGTCCTCACTGTTGTCATGCTAAGGTTTCAATGCTGTAGCTCTAATAGGGGAATGTCTTATTGAAAGCAGGGCTCCAATCAGGTTTATGCACACATTCACAGCTCACTATCAGAGCTACACTTCACCCAACACTTTGTATTATATACAACTCAGGTCATAAATCATTTCTGGGATATAATCAAATGTAATTAATTTAACCAAAGGTGAGGGGTTTATGTCTGTTTACAGAACTGTTCTCATCTCAATATAAATGTACTGCCCTTTGCTTCAGAATGAGCAGAACCTAAAGATCCAGACCATCCGCCTCAGTGACCACTCCTACTTCAAAGTTCTGGAGAACAGAACCAGAGAGGATCTGAGTCGTACCTGTTCAGCCAGGAGCTGTCTCTGCAGGAATTGCTGCTGCTGCTGTTGTTGTTGTTGTTTCTTCTGCTCCAGAATCTGCTGCTTCATTGCTGCCATCTGAAACGCAGCGTTTCCATGGTTACCTGCCATGGTGTTTGCCCCCTGCGCTGATGCCATGGGGTTGTTGCCAGTGTTAGCGGGGCCCGTGACGTGTGGAGGAGCAGAGAAGTTGTTCTGATCCTGTTTGTGACAAATTAAGCGGATTTTAGATTAAATTCAAGTTACAGTTTATTGAATGTAAAAAGGAAGCATGCAGCGAAGGCAGAGGGACAGTGTGTGTGGTTCAGTCTGGATATTTGTCTCCAGTGCAAATGTTGGTTCAGGTGCTGAAAACTTTCCAAACATATCAGCTGGTGTCAGCTGGGATCTTGTTGAAACCAGACTTCATGACCATAGTTGAGAATAGGAACATCGACCAACCAGTAAATCTAGAGCTTTGCCTTATGGCTCAGCTCTCTTTACCACAACAGACCGGTGCAGCGTCTGCATTACAGCAGCAGCTGTAATCTGTCCGTCATTCTCCCCCCACTCATGAACAGAACCCCAAGATACTGGAACTTCTGCACTTGAGAAACAAACTCTTCTTTTCCGATGGCCTCTGACATCAGGAGTGGATCTAATCCCAGCGACTTTGCACCCTGTGGTGAAAGGGCCCAGAGCTTGGTGTAGGTCTGATGGGCACAAGGAAACCAGCAGAACCACAACCTCCACAAAAAGCAGAGACCAAATCTGACGGGAAGCCATAAATGCTGGCAGCTCATGTAGTGACAGAGCTGACAGAAGAGGCAACATATGAAGACCATGATGGCTCTAACTGGGTAAAGGACTGCAGGGCTATGGTTAAGGGGAAGAAAAGTAGCTTTCATGCCATTACAGTAAATGCTGGTCCTGCTTTAGCTTTCTTTCATTACCTGAATGTAGTTCAAGGTGGTTTTCTCCACTTTGGTCCCATTTTAACGAGAATATCTAACCTTTACTAAACAGTGGGAACACTGTGGTACCAGCAGGTAAAGAGACAATCAACAAGTTTTACTAATAGAGACAAACCTGTTCAAAGGTGTTTTAATTTAATAGCTTATAGTGTTTCCAAACATTTACATTTAAATTTTCAGTTTGAAGGGACTAACAAATCTAGGACAGACCCAATCACAGAGAACGATGATGTTCAGGAAAACCTGAGAGGTACTTGGACACGGGGCCCTATTAGATCCACTGCGTTTAGAGTGTTCAAGGTGTGGCTTATTAGTTTTAACACATCAGCAGGTCCTGCTTGTATCAACTGTTTGACCTGAAGGTGGTGCTACAGGATGGTTTGGACAATAACTGGACTTTAAATCCCATTCTAGCCTCAGCGGACATGTTCAGCTCCTAGCACGCTGCCGACTCCCTCCTCTGACCCGGGACAATATGGGACGTTTGAGGACACACGCTGTAAAGTGTGGACTGTAGCAGGAACACCAAGTCCCGACTGCTGCGAGGAAAAACACAAACTTCAACAGCAGCGGCTAAATTTAAATACAGAGCAATGAAAGGCTGCTTTGTCATGACGGGCCTCCTCCCCCTCACCAGGCCTTAGCAACCAGCTGCTGACCCACATACAGGCCTCCAGGATGTCAGGCGAGGGACCCGGTGGTTCTGAATGAAAAGCCTTCGCTCCGACTAGCTGTTACTACAGCCACGGGCCAATAGGTTCTCTTCATGTGAAGGGATTGAGATCCGGTTCTGAGCAGGCGAGGGTCCTTCACCCTCCCCCACCTGTTACTGCACCCTTATGGTCAGCTGGCTGATAGAAGGCTGCTTATGTCACCTCATAGGGAAGAATTTCTAGACCTAAAAATAACACCACCGTTGCTCTGGTTGCTGCTGTTGCATTGCAGTAAGAAGGTATTTGGTTTGAGTCCCAGAGTTGAACTGTATTGTTTTTGCATGAATGGGTTGTCTCTGGGTAACCCTACTTTCTCCTGGTCAAAAACATGTCTATTGGTGTCTGAGTGCCAGGCTGTGTTTCATTTGTGTTGCTTGTGTGTTCAGTATGCATTTGCTAATGCTAACAGCAATGTAATTATTTTGGAGGCTAATTAATTACCTACTATAAGCTGGGTGTTGCTAGATTCCTTTAATGGTATGAAGCAAATGTTTCTCTAACACTGAGGCAGGGACCAGTAAATTGAAGATGAGCTTCAGCCACTGGTCTCCTCCTGGGTTTGGTGTTTAAGTAATAGAGGAATCAATCCAACCAGTTTTTTTTTATTAATCAGACTAATGGAGCGGTGTTGTTTACCTGAGGGTGGGGGATATGCTGCCTGAAGTTCATGTTGCTCTTCTGCTGTCGGAGCAGATTCAGCAGGGCCTGCTTGTCCTGGATCTGGTTGTTGGGGGCCCGTGGAGGCCCCGGGCCTGCCTCAAAGTGTGACAGAGGTAAGGTGTTCTTGTAGTTCAGATGCTGTGCAGGGGTCTGAGCACCTTGTGCAGGCGGGTGGCTTAAAGGGGTCCCTGAAGACAGGTGATTCATGATGTTGGGGGACCCAGTGGGCCCCGGCATGTAGCTGCCAGCCCCTGCCTTTGGTGAACCTTTGTTGGGCTGAGCAGGCATCAGTAGCTGCTTTTGACTGCTTAGGTTAAAGTCTGAGGGGTACAGGGTGGGGCTGGTGGGCTTGTCCATACCAAAGGAGCTCTGAGAACCGTTGGCCATCTGAGTCCAGGGTGGGGGGTGACTGTGTGGCCCCTGGTTGGAAAACTTGGCCCCTGGCTGTGGCTGTTTGTGCTGCATCTTGCCCTGGATGTGTTGGGCTCTCTGCTGCTGGGCAGCCAGCTGCTGGAGCTGCTGAGCAGGGGACAAGTCTTTGGATACTGGGGGTCCAGGAGGGAGGAGATGGTTGGGAGGGGGCTGGAGCTGCCTGGGGGGAGGAGCTGGCTGCGACTGGGGGAGAACAGGAGAGGAAGCAGAGGAGGCAGCAACAGGGGAGCTGGTGGGGTGGGGAGGCGGTCCCGAGGAGGTGGACCTGACATGGGGGGAGCCGGTACGAGAGTCCTGCTCAAAGACCGCCGAGGCCGGGGAAAACTCTGCCTTAACCGGACGCAGACTCTGGGATGACTGCCCCCCACCTCCCCCTGCTGCTGCTCCGGCCCCCACAGCTCCGCCACCTGCTGGAGTCGGAGCCAGCTCCAGAGGATCTCTCCTGTCCTCAAAGCCGTAGTTCAGGATATCCTGGATGTCCTCGATGGGTACAGAGCAGTTCAGGTCCTCTATCAGCTCCTTCCACTCTTGCTCGTTCAGGTTCAGGTCTAGGAACAGGCCGTTGTTACCGGCTACCGACGGAGGCACGATGGGCAGGATGTCCTCCGGCTCCTGCTTCATCTCTTTCTGACGGAAGTCTGATTCCCCACTGACATCCACCGTCTCCCCTGCAGGGCGGTGTGTCCCGTTGGAGATCCGATCACCGTGACCCAGTTTTGGGTCCATAGTGGAGCCATTGGCAGGTCCGTTATCTGGACATGCCTTCTTACTGGAAGAGAGGCCATCTGGTAACCCGTTGCTCAGAGGAGAGCCACCACTCTCAATCTTTCTCTTCACCGCATCAAGCTGCAAACAACAAACAGGAGGGTGAATAAAAGTAATAGACCCATCTGAACTTTAAACCCCCCAGTGCTAAACAAGCATAACCTGATCAAAACCACTGAGAGGTAGAGAGACGTATCAAATGTTCTTTCTTCAAGGTTTCCAGCCCAAATAAAAAATTTTAAGGGAAAATTGCATTTTTTTCATCCAGTGCACAGCAGCAGGAAGGAAAGGGAAGCATTTAACAGGAACTGGACTAAACTGTCTCTTCTGGAAACAAAGAACACTGAAAAACTTTACACTAATGTGGAAACTAACAACCCCTGTCTCTGCTTGTTTGTGACAACAACAGAAAATTAATTAAGCCAGTTTAAAACTGTAATTTTAAACCCTCTGTGTGTTTTCAGTAACTAGCCAATATAGAGATATGTTAAGGTTTCTGTGTTTAAAGAACTGGACTTCCTGGTCAACCAGCCCCAGCAGCCCCATGTGGAACTGGTCTCTGATGTATAATTGTGAAACTACATGAGGAGTCTTAAACTTTTCAGATGAACCCTTTAGCACATTTCTCTTCTTCACCTTTGCAGACAGAGAAAAACTCTGGGTGTGGGAGGCAGCCGACACACCAGGCAACTGTTCCTGGCTCAAAACGAATCCCTCCAGAATCGGTCACTGACTCATCCTGATCAGTTTCTGTTGCTTTAGATCTCGTGAGCACCGCCTCAATCTGATCTAACTGGTTTCTGTTCTGAGATGTAAGCTAATGCTGGAAGGAGGTTAACATAGAGCCCAGTCTTTTAGGTCCAGCAGAAGTTTACATGAAATTTGCACAGATGAACCCTGAGCTAGGCCTAGGCAATAAACTGGATTTTTACCTTTATTGCCATTCAACCGGCAACCAATTTCCCATGTCGGTAAAAGTAAAATTTAATTCTGCCGTTTTTCATGCGTGCGCTGGTGGCTGGTATTTCCTTCCCCTTTAAAACCCTGAAGCATGTGTGTAAATTCTTGTCTCCACCAATCCAGTCACAAGCGTAAACAAAGAATAGCGGATGAGTCCAGTGAAGAAGCGTCTAACACAGCAAAATTACATCAAATAATCCTGTGGAGCCGAGCGAGAGCAGAGGTGAAGCTGAGCATGCAGAGAAGAAGTTAAGAGCGCGTTGTTAGTGTTCAGCATGTGGCAGACCAGTTTTAAGTGAGGGTGAGCGAATTTAAACGATGCAAATTTTAATCACTGCACGCTCAGATCGGTGGCACCAAAATGACACCACAGATGTTGAGCAAAACAACACAAAAAGCAAAGTTTGCCCGAAAACTGTCTGGAACTAACTGAACCCAACTGTCTTTGTCCAGTCGGTCAGCAGGACATGAAGGTGTGTGCTGAAGGTAAACTATTAATTTTGATCCAATAAGATGGGTTTCTATATTCAACTGCTGCTGCTCAACCAGAACATCTATGAGGCAGTCAGCTGGTGGGCGTGGGCAGGGCCGCGTCTCTGTGTGTACCAGTAAACAGTAAGCTGTGAGAAGAAAGTGACCCACTGAACTTCTCATCTGACTTCTCCTCACATCCTGTGCAGCAGAGGAACGGGGCTGCGAGCATCTGAGTCAGAACAGCTTCTCCTGTAGAACCTCTCCTGGTAGAGCTAAATGCTGATGCTAACGCAGCTTTGAAGCAGACCATCCTGGAAAACAGTTTCCAAGGTGGGTCTGCGATCCGGTTCTGCGCTCCGACCCGCAGGCAGCCAGACAGGCCTTCACAATGACTCATCCTGGATTTTCTGGCTCTCGCTCAGCCACAAAAATTCAAAGCATCTGCAGTGTTTGTCCACTGATATTTTTCTCCTGGAAGAATTTCAAACACGTAGAGGGCAGTTTTCTTTGTTCAGACTACTTTGTGTTGCTTGTGTCAGCAGGCTGATTTTCAGCGCATCAGCCGAGGACCAGAGGAGACAATTAAAAGCTTCAACAGCTGTGACTGCTTTCTTCTGTTGAGATGTTATGGTTTTTAATATAGAAAATGTATGAAATGAAAAACCACCAGTGATGGTTTTAGTTTTATAACTGATATGTCAGCCTAAAGGGTCCTGATGTCACATCCAACCAGGTGACAAACGCTGAGCAAGAGTTTCCATTTCATCCTAGCTGCGTCTTCATTTGTTTAAAACAAGTTTTTCTGGTTAAACAAAGTCTTTGAGAAGGATAAGTGTGTTCTAGGTGATGGGAATATCACAAGTCCACATCACAACTATTACAAATGCATGAAAACAGTTTGCTTTACCTGCTAATGATCTAACTATCTAGTCACAAGCACTTGATAATCTGCTTTACTTTCTCCGGGGTCAGTGAATGCATCACAACTCAAAGAGCAGTTACCAAGAGGCCTTCAGTGTGGAAGATGTAGCAGTAAGGAGGTGTAGGTGATGGACTGATAGGAGGCAGTGTTTTCCTGAAGGGTTTGGTCATCATTTAAGAGAAACTGAGACAAGGATCTGATGTTTATCATTATGGGAGCAGAAATGACTGCAGACAACGGTTTCCTTTTATTCTTAATTCCAACCTATCAGAAATCATCTTCCCTTTTATTCAGATGAATGATAGATTTTTTTTCTGACAGTTGGGACTGAAAGATTAAAAAGCATCACTTCCGTCACCACCTCCACTTTGCTTTCTTTTAACAGTTGGACATGCTAAGGTGCATGTTTAGTTTGGGCGTGGCTCCAAGCTACAGGTGGGCCCAGGTGACTCCCTCTGCTCATCAGAAGCTGGAAGAGGAAATGCTCTGTTGGTCATTTGTAACCAGATCAACCTGTAGTCCCCCTGGGGGGGTACAGGGAGCTGCCATGCTGGTTTATTCTCCTTAAGCATATCATCACATTTCTTTATTTTAGGTTATTTATAAACTTCTGACATATTAAAAACTTTATAAAGAGATAATTAAATAAAGCTGGACTGTAAACTATAACAAAATTAATCAAAGCAATTGAAGTAAGAGGGGAATAACACTGAAGTTAAGCTATAACAAAAATTAAATACAACTTTCCCTTTTCCAAATAAATACTGATGGTATTTGGTTTATTGTCCTGCAAATATTCATCTCTAGAGTAAGGCTAGAGTATTTACTGTGCAGAAACATTTATGTCAGATCATTTTGAGCAAAGACATCTCAATGTACAGCGACGACCTTATAGAGGCGAACTATCCCTTCCTGATGCATCAGAATGAAGACCCAAAGCAGTCTGCAGCGTAGTCGTCTCCAGTCATTAATCTAAAAGATTGACAATCATGGATGCCGTTTCTCTTTTTCTCCCCACCTTTCAGACCCTCAAACACTTGTGTTCAAAACTGGGAAATGGATGAAAGCAGTCGACCATTCAGATCAACAGAAAACTCTCCAAACATCAGCAGGTGTGAGAACCAGAGATGGTTTGAAGGGTTCATTGTTCAGAGACCTCCAGGTCGGTCCTGCAGATGTTGGACATGTGTCTGCTTCAACACACTGGAGTCAGATAATCAGATTTCTAAAAGGTGCGGGACACTGGACCAAACGGATTAGAGCTGAAGTTTAAACATGTCTGTCTTGCCGTATCTGCCCGCCAACAGATCCAGAGCTCCTTTATAATTTAGATATAGAGAAATCCATCTAAACGGAAGAATAATGCCTCTAAAATCTAAATGAAACATATCCACAGAAAGCTAAAATGGATCCCTGATTTACTCTGGAAAAGTTTCAGGGTGATTAACATCAGTTTAAAAGCTAATGAAAAATAATAATTTGCTTTTGTATATTTTTTTGGGACCCTTTTCACTTGGGTATCATTTTAAATACTAACAAAGTTACAGTAAAATATGTAGTTTTATTAAATGGAGTTGGAATTTAGAATTTCGTTAAATTTCATTCAAAAAAGTGCAACCGCAAAATACTTTTATTTGATTAAGTGGCCATAAATAAAACAATTCAAAAACCACCACTCTGTTGTTTTTATATTGTCTATAAATAAAAGCATAGCCTTTCTTCCAGGGCTTGGGCAGCACCAAACAATATTTTCATCTTTGGAAGTTTGTGTTGATATATAACCATCAGCGCACTCATAGTTGCAGTAACATGGGTGGTTTCGATTGAGCCTGAGACATGGACATCCAGCGAATCTGGATTTACTGCGCTTGCGTTCATGGATATTCTCCAGTTTCACAGAGCGACATTTTAATTGTGTCTGTCCTCTTGAGTATTTGCAGCACAGAGAGCAGCACATCAGCTTAGCATCATCATCATAAATAAGCCAGTCTGTTGCGAAACAGTCAATAAACTTTCTGTGGGAGCTTGGAGGCTGTAGACCTCACTCCCCCCTACCCATCATTGTTGTCTTTTAGAAGGCTTGGTTGCTCCAACTATATTCCTCCACAGTTTAATAAGTGGAGGAGCTGTTAAATGACGGGGTGGGGTGTGCTAACTGTACGCCTGTCTATTGGCGTGTGAGGGAAAGTGGCAGAGGTGAGACTTACCAGAAAGGAAGTGACTGAGACGCTGCTGTGGTCCAAACATTTACTCACCTTGTGGCGAATGGGGCTTTGGCATTACCTCTCCAAATGAAAAATTTAGTCACATTTTATGAGTAGGAACCATAAATGCAGACTGTCGTCTCTGGATGAATGAAATGCTACTACAGGGCAGTCAAAACATTTGTCGGCTAAACAAGCAGCCACAGCTGCAACAAATGTTAAACGAGCTAATAAAAATGAAACGATGACAGAAACTCCACACTCTCCTCAAGCCACCTCATACAATTTAGAAATCTGTATTAATCAACAGCAAACACCCAGAGGTTCCTAACGTGGTCCTTAGACCAGTCAAAGGGATGCCAATGATTCAGATCATGGGCAGGTCTGTAGCTGGAATATCTACCGAGCCACAGCCAGCCACAACAAAGACTGAAGGTCAGCAGAGAGGCACAGCATATTTGACTCCTTCCTTGGATTTCCCTGCTATGAGAAGCTGTCTGTAGCATAACTCCTGACACTGCACAAGTCTTTTTGCTCATGTCTCACCTACAGCTTCAACTAACAATTATTTTGCAAATCGATTAATCGGTCCATTAATTTTTCAGTTAATCGATTAATAATCTGACCCCTTGTCTTCATCTCACTTTATAAGATCCTATGGACCCAAACAGGGTTAAGAAATACAGCGGAAATGAGATAAAATCTTCAGAGAAATGACACAATGTTTGCAGCAAGAAGCTGCACTTCTTGGGTTTTGTTGTAAAGAGGGTGAGCTCTTCTGCCATCATCTGCTGCATTGGAGCAAATGACTTGTGAGAGAGAGAGAAAAAAAAAAGGAGGTTAAGAGGTTAAAAAAAGAGCTTAACAGGCTAATAAAGAAGTTCAGCTCTGTTCTAGGAAGTTCTCTAGAACCTCTGGAGATAATTTCACAAGGAGGAAGAATTCATAAAATGAAGAACAGTTTGAATAAACGTGAGCATCCTGTTCAGAAGATTGTTAAATAACCGTCTTCAGTCAAAGACTTCTTAAGATCAGGTGCAGGTCAGATCACTACAGAATAATCTGTCTACAGCTATCAACAACTAGTTGGAAAAAAATAAATAAATAAATACTACATGAGATACGACACTATTACCATTTGGGATCAATAAAGTATTTTCAAACCTAACGTAACTTCCATAGAGTGGGTGTGATATGAGGAAGCAGCGCTCCAAAAGACACAAAACAAGCTGTATAGAACAGTCTAAAGCAATAGCAGGACCAGATGGGTCCTGACCCGTTTATGAGTTCACATGTGGATGAAGGTTTATATCATGAAAACATTAGGTCTGAAACAACCACAGTATGTCATGTTGAAAGGGCAGACGGCTTATTTCTGTCAGATGCTACAGCAACTGCCTGATAACACCTCTCCTCTGGTGATGAAACACTCCTAGTTTTGTCAGGGTTACCATGACCTAATGCCTTATTCTGTTACTCAGAGGTGGACTGGCCATTGAGATTTTATTATAATAAACCATCTATACCATTTGTGCTTTTTACTTGTTGAGTGGGTGTCCTGTTTAGCTTAGAGTAGTAGAAACAGTCCAGGAAAGGAGTAGATGTGGAGTGCATAAAAAAAAAAAGAAAGCTTCCTTCAAAGTGATGCAAGAATAAGGCTGGAGGGCAAGCAGGACATTAAACTAGAGGAGAAAACACCATCATAGTCCATACACCTCAACTAGCTTAAAATGGAAGCTAGTTCCAGTATAAGGAACCCAAAAAGACAAGAAAATAAATAAATCACTTAATGAGGGAACTGATTCAAGCTTTTAAAATGATCATTGTTAATGCTAGTCCTAGAATACGTCTTTTATATAATTTTATTAAACCACAACAAAACCAGATAAAAATCTTAGAAAATATATTTAGTGATATGAATATTTTCCAATGCCTTAGGATGACTTAATGAATTAAGCTGTAAGGAGTGTTCTGAGCACCACATCTATGGTCATTCAGAGCTGCATCACCAAACATGCATCTGGATGAGATTTGCTACACCCCCATAGTGAGATACCACAGGCGAAACGACAGCATTTCAGGAAATATAAGGAAATATAACAAACTAGGGTCAAGCAAAGTAATAAATATTGTAAATGAAGTGATTAGTAACTGTAACCAATTATTTTTCCCTGAACGAGCAGAACATTGAACTGCATTTACACAGAGATAAATGCAAATAAAATGACTCCAGCTTCTCTTCTTGCATAGGTGTAAATAGATTCCTTCCACTTTTAAAATCAGACCCTGAACCATCAGTGGTAAAGAAACTTAAACCCTGGAATCAAAGCCTGTTTGGATCTGGATGATTTCATAAATATCCAATGATCTATTTGCATTCCTCCTCTACAGGATCTGATGTTCACTTATTGTGAACCAGTGTGATGGACGTGATGCTTTCCTGCAGTGGGGACTTACCACTGGCCGGTTGCTGTTCCGGTTCTGCTCCGCCGGCGTCCCTCCGCTCTCCGCGCCGCCTCCCGGCGCTCTCTGGGCGTCCTGGTCTACGCTTGGCTGCGGCTGCCGGTGCTTGCTGGCCCGCTTGGCTTTGTTCTGGAGCAATCGCTGGTGCAGGTTGATGGTTTGCTGCCGGTCCAGCTCCAGCCGCTCGATTGCTGCGCCCTCGTAGCGGGTTTCGCAGGTGTTGTGATGCTGCCGGAACTGCTCGATCCGTCGGCGGAGCCGCTCCATCACCGCGCTGTGTCGCGTTGTAACAAAATCCGCCATCATCAATAAAGACCTGCAGTGAACTCCCGCCTCAGGTTTCGTCCATAAAATGCTGATTATGGCTCTCTGTCACTCTGGGCGTCTATACACCCCCCTGGCCCTTTACAAAGACTCCTGTGCTGGCTCCATGGAGGCGACCTTTGTCTCGCTAACGGCCTTCAGTCACAGCGGCACTCACTGCCGGAGAGGAAAAGTAAGGTTTCTGGGTAAAATACCATTCAGCCTCCTGATTTCAAATTCTAAACATCAGCTCATTTAACTGGCTGAGCTACTGGAGCCACGTTCGGTTTAGCTTATACTAAAACCTGTTGCTGTCTGGATAGATAAAAAAAAAAAAAAAAAACATTTTTAAAACAGTCGCCACCAAAGTAACTCCCGATCAGCTACGAAAACTTAGCACATTCCTGCACTCTAAATCAAAGCCAAACTTTGGAAAAAATCCAACAAGACTTGGTCTGTTTTAAATCCGGGAAGCAGCAGCCTCTTTTTGAACACAAGGTTCTGGATTTGAGCTGGTTTTCCATCCGCTGGGAGCGACATAACTGCTCACCAACTTCCCTCAAACTTTTATTTTGAGACGGGAGTTAGCTTTGGTTAGCGAGTAGGAGCTAGCTACGACACCAAAGTTGGCTTCCGTTTCGCAGTAAAGGGCTATTTCGCTGTTTTTAAAGGACCCTTAAGTAACTTTAATACATTTTAGGTCACAATTCAGAGAGATAAAAGCTAGACCAAATTACTCCACATTCCCTAGAGACGGTTGAAGTCACAAATTAGTTTTTACTTAAGGAAAACTTCAAATTATCTATCACAGAAAGCTTGACAAACCACAAAATTAGCTTTGATCGAAATGTCTTCAGTGTAAAATAATGTAATTGTGCTTTTTCACTTTAGATCCTATGGTTAAAAGGCAACACCACCAACTAATACGATTACCTACTAAAACAACTTTAAATACGCCCCTATAAAGTTATAGAACATAACATACTTAATTTAAAACCAATCTAGAAAAATCTAGTCAAGGTTTGACCCTTATACACACTGTTAACTGTTAAGTAGTCGTAACCAAAAGTAGTAATTTTCCCTTTAAAACTGTAACTTAGCCTCTGCTTTGAGCTACCAACCGGATGCCAACTTCAACATCGTAAGCTAACGCTGAATCAAACTTAAAACTTAAAAAAAAAATCCAGAATTCGTAATATGATAAGTACTAAGACTGTCACTTCCAAAATACTGAAATTTGAGTTTAGGATTCAATACACTTACTGTGAAAATGTAGCAGCCCGTTTTCCCTACAGCATCTGTCCGGTGAACAGCAGCTGATTCTCCGCCTCCCTGTAGCCGTTAGCCGCTGTGTTTTGGGTCGACGGGCCTGAAACATTTAAATAAAGGCTCATACTTTAACTAAGTTTAAATCAACACGGCGGACAATCCTTCTTCTCCGCGGCCAAGCCAACGTCGGGAAGAAAACCGTTCAATGCGAACCAGGACTTAGGTTAACTTCGTCCCTCTTCCCCGCTTCTATTGTTTCCCAGCGAACTAGCAGCTCCGGCCATATTGGAAACTTTCTATTTTATTCCATCAGAAAAGAATGTTCCTGCTGGTCGCCATTGACTGACAGTCACAACAGCCAATAGAAACCGGACATTGTCCCATTCCTAACTGAAAGCTCAAAACAACCAATCAGGCTCGAGTACATTTGAGTGCCACATAATGGAGCCAATCACAGCACATCTGGGTGTGACTTTTACAAGAAATATTTTTTTAAATTGAGAAAATATTACATTTTACTACTGGTGGCTAGCTGAGTAGATGAAAGCATACATCTTAGATGTTAAAACATGAAAGAGTTCAAAAGTATAACAATATTTCTATATATTTTATTTCTGTAGTGTTTTATATGTGGACAAATCTATTCTTTTTTCATTTGTAACACAGTGAATAATGCCCAGATAAAGACACAGGATAAGTCTCATAGTGTGCATAATGTATATTATAGCTGCATTAAATTAAATGTGAACAAATGGTTAAATTATGCAGATTGTGTGTGAATCAGAAATGCCTATTAACTATCCCAAGAAAAAAACTGGAGGCTTTAAACAGTTTCCATTCAGCCTTTTTTTTTATTCATCAAAACATTTTTGCTGTGTGTCTATGCACAGCAACATCCGGCTCCATCATCACAGTGTTTCATTCAAAGATGGAGCTTTCTACAACCAGTCGGTCCAGGACCATGGGAGGAATATGACGCAGCAGATACAGTGTTAGTTTAAAGTCAGAGACCCAACCCACCCATCAGACCACGGGGGGACGAAGACGAGGAAGCTCGGTTTGAAGCCAATCACAGGACGCAAACATTGAAGGACCAGCCGATCCCAGCAGACGTTCAGAAACAGGCTTTCAGTGAGGATTCAGACGAACCAGTAGCGATCGCAGTTTGGCTGTGAACCCTCCTCTCTACATTAAACAACCAGCAACAAAAGCAGTCTACTGAGGCGACCCCGCTCAGGATTGATCGGAGGATCAACCACTATCTGCATCATCTTGTGGAAAAAAATAATACAAATTATAACTTTAAAACAAAAACACAACTAAACAATCTAAAAACCAAACACAAGAAGATGCGAAATTAAATTAGATAATTGCTCCATGTTACCTACTGGTTAAAATGAAGGCTGAGGCTCCCAAATATTTTAATTTCTACAAAAAAACTGATAGAAAGCATCAGCAGTTCTCATAAAGCAAATTTGAAGAAAAGGTGAATGTAAGTCTGAATTTTGCAAGGAAGCACTTGGTAAAAAAAAAAAAAAAAACATTAAATGGAGGGAACTGGATGACATCTTTGAATCCAGTCCAACTGCACATGAATAAAAAGACAATATTTTTCTATCCACTTATTTTTGAACATCTGATAGCATCAGCTTTACAGATAAAATGATCCACTGAGGACTACCTCACAGAACCTCACTTAGCTAATGTCAGCTGATGTGATGGTGACAGTGCGGTAGTTTACACTTCAAACTGTTTTCAGATAGATAATCAACAACTTTAGTATGGCTCTGTTTTTATTTTCAAAATATATCAAGTTGTACAGCCACTGGACGAGAGCTAGAGGTTATGTGTAATGTAAAAATAACATTAAGAGGAAGCTCAGGACCAACTGAAGAAAAACCAGCAGCAGTTGATTTTAAGTCGTCTTAGCACCACCTCTGGTAACTGGTGGTAACTGCAGGTAGTTTACCCCTCCTTGTTCATCCCCTGAAGACCCAATCATGTTCCTGATGGTCAGATTCTTACTGGATTTGACTTTTGATTCAATAAGGCATTTCTTATTCCATGAAACTAAGGGATATAGAGCACAAAGAGGGTGGGGGTACTGCAAGTAGGAGGTTTATCAGGGCTTTGTGTTCACTCTTGGTCCCTTTTATTGTTTTGAAATGGGGATTAGTCTGTCACTGAGGTGCTGAAGGGAGCAAGTGCTGAATATAGAAGCAGAAACAGACAACCTGCTGCTGGAGACTCAAACTTTCAGGTGTTTCCAGAGCTTCCTGACTGTCTGACCCAGAGAGCAGAACCCACTGCAGGGTTAACAGGTAGTTACTGCTTTACAGTCAACAGGACACAAACAGACACATGGAAAAAAAGTTGGAGTGTTCCCAGTTAATTTATCCTCAAACACTATGTTCTGGGTTTATTAGGCAGCTAGCAGACTAACTCAGAACCTCTATGAGCTGCTAGTAGTTAGTTGTTTTTAAGTTAGTTATCGGTGGGCTGATTAGCAGCCAGTGTGTTTGTCCAGCAGGACGATGCTTCCTGCTAACTGATCGGTTTGCTGTTTGGTGGAGGAACGTCGACTCCACAGGTTGGAATGATGCAGGACGTTTTAATGAATCTCCGTTGATGTCTTAGAAAAACAAAAACAAGAAAAAAATATCCTTTTCAGTCCTAAACCAGATCTTGTTGGAATCATGATCATTATTCTGTCGGCTCCACTGCTTTTTCCAGATCCATTCAGGCTTTGTGGCCTCGGAGCAGAGGAGGAGGAAGATGACGTGGGGGAGGCGGGAGGAAGGCGTGGGGGGACAAGGATAAAGATTTAGAGATATCAGTCCTTTCTGACCTTCCTGCTCCTGGGAGATCTCCGCAGAATGTCATCTTCTTTCTGTATAGCACAACCAGAGAAGGCATAACATGAAGAACATGGCCAAACCTTTGATTAAAACGTAAAAAAGCAAAGTCTCACAGAAAAAGCTTTTTTTTTGCTTCAACAAAAAGAAAAGCACATGTTTAAAATGCATCTTATCCACAAAGCTAGATATGTAGCTCCTGAGGCGTCCGAGAATTTGGATAGATCCAAAAGAATCGGTCTGATCAGTTAGATGGCTTACAAGGTTACATGCAGATTTGCTCCACTTCACTACAGAGACGAGGAAAACTGAGCTGCTTTTCCAACCCACTGGGTAAAGCTACAGTTTTTCTGATTGACTTCACTAAAACAGTAGGGTTAACAGCAATAGCCAAAGTGAGATGCAGTACAGTCATTACACCTGAGGGAGGCACCAAACACAAGGATTTAGACACAAAAAGAAGGATCCCAACAAATATGCAGTGAATCATCTAATGATAAGGACACACACCAATATAAGACAGCCATGTCTATAATTAATCAGCAAAAACATGTAAACTTTCTTGTGATTCCTGGTTTAATTGGTACTTTTGTAAAACTCAGAAGCTAAGTAAGGTACCAGCAAATAAGCTACTGGTTAGCCTAGATATTTTTTTTCCAGATTTCTCCATCTTTAAATCATGTGCTTCCACTGGTGTTAATAAATTTGACATCTCCCATTTTAAGGGCTCCTAACTCCTTTCTGATATCCCCTAAAGAATAATAACATGACATTAAGAATTAACTATTTAAACTATTATTTATTCTGATATTAAATATTTTTTCATTAATTGCTTTTTATTTATCTTTGATTTGAAGAGTCTTGCTTTAATTTCACACATCCACTCCATTACCAGTTTGACCATTTCGGATGGAGCCTTTTTATCTACCAAACCTCCTCACCTCATCTGAGTTGGCTTCCTTCTCTCCATCCTCTCCATCCTCAGCAGCAGCCTCATCTTCATCACTTTTATCTTCTGCAGCTGAAAGAAAAAAATAAGAGTTACAGAAGGTAGCAGGTTGATCCGCTGCAGTTCATCGAGACTGCTTCCCCACCTGATTTGCCATTTTCCTCCTCAGCCTTTTCCTCTTCTTCACCTTCCTCCTCCTTCACATCAGGCTGAGGTTCGTCTGTCTTCTTGTATTCTGCTGCGGTTGCTGGAGTCTTCTTCTTATCCTGCAGAGTGGTTCAAGGAAATCAGTCAGAGAAAGGGCTAACAGGGCGGACATGAAGAACCCTTCTCCCGCTACAACAACACATCCAGCGCTAGAGCTAAAGCAGCACAGCGACGCCACATGAAGCTATTCTAACAGCAGGAGTCACCGGGTGGGAGCGTCCGGCTTCTTTCAGCTCTTCCTGTAAGTTGGTAAGACTCAGCGCACCCTGAGCCGACCCCGATGACCTCTGTGGACAATCCACCAGCAGAACATTAACCAGTAGGGATTGTCACAGAGCCCTTAGCTATCATTGTTACATTACAGGATTGAGGCTGTTTGAAGCCAGTTTATCTTCCTAATGTGCTGGTTTTAGCCTGTTTAATGTAATCTGACACATTATGGGAAATATCAAGAAGAATAAACCTGCTAAAAGGCTGGATTCATCTCTGCACGTTTGTGTTTCACTGTTAAGTCTGTGAACTGGTTACCTTTCCTGTGCAGCAGAAGACGACGATGAGGACGAGCGGCAGGGCCACAGTGAGGACGTAGACTATCCACAGCCAGGGACGCTCCTCTGCGGCGGTCAGCATCTGAGCTGCCAGACCAGGCTGTAAAGAAACCAAAAATAAACCCCATGGATGGATTTATTTTAAAACGGACATTTGCCTTTATGCAGCAACAGCGAGCCATTTACATTCAATTCAATAATGCTCTATTAGGGAACTTAAATGGCTTAGAAGAAACTGTACTTATCTACAAACAAGATGAAAAGCTTTTATTTTGGTCTGTTTCTATTCATATAAAGGGAAACCTCACACCACACAGTATTTTATTATGATTTTATTGGAAGTTTTATGAAGATTGAATCCAGGATAATCAGAAAACGGATTAGGGGCAGCAGAAGACCTGAGAATGGGGCAGAGGTTCAGCTTTCAGCAATGTACAATGGATGGTTTAGGTCACCACTGATTCTGAAGGTGGATTGGTCTAGTCAAAGTCCTGCCATAATTCTATCCAAGAATCTGGGGGAAAAGCCTGGAGATTTTCAAAGCTGGGGGAGTAAAACCCCAGAAAACCTGCAGCCCTAAGAGATTCTGACTCATTGGGGGCTGAATGTCTGAAATAGTTTTTTGAAATTTGTTAAATTGGAGAGGAATGGAGGGACTTTAAGCAGCTCTTTTTTATCTGCAGTTCATAATTTCAAGTGAAAACACTGGATGTGTGGCTCCTTAAAGCTTTCTGCTGCGGAACTGATGAGACACCTAACGGCAGCATCTATTTCTGCTTCCTCCTGATGGTTGCATCATCGACAGTTGAAGACGGACAAACAGGAGGGGGAGAGGGGGAAAGACGCTGTCTAAAAAAATCTTTAAGACTCAGAAAAGGCAAAACTGTAAATGTTTATCTTAGTTAAGTTGGACCTTTTAATTCTACCTCAGCTCTGTTCTACCTCTGGATTTTTTTGTGTGTGGTTGACCTGAACTCACCTCAGCAGCACCCTCTGCTGCCTTCTTCAACCCCCAGCCATCAGCAGCCCAGCGGTCGGCCGTGTTGCGGTCGTTGGTGATGAAAAAGTTGTCAAAGAAAATGTCGGAGGTCATAGACCAGAGCTCCAGTCCCAGGGCGCTGAACGGCGTCATCTTGAACGGCTGCAGGTCCTCAAAGTAATCTGGGTTGGGGATCTTCCTCGGCTTCCAGATGCCCTAGAACCAGGTGTCAGATGTTGAATGTGTGGCCATAACCAGACAGAGTAGTCGTCCTCCAAGCACAGACTTACCTGGTAGTTAGGGTTGTCAATCATTGGGGGCTTCCACTTGCCCTTGTAGTTGGGGTTGTCGATCATTGGCCGTTTCCAGGGGCCGCAGCCAGGGGCGCTCTCACAGGCGGGGTTGGGGACCTGGGGAGCTTCCCATTCTCCATCCATGTCCTCATCCCTGCAGGAGAGAAATGAGCATCACAGCCGAACAGCAGAGCACATGCTGGAGGCTGGCAGTCGGTATCGCCATAGTGACTCACCAGTCATCGGGTTTGATGGCGTCGGGGTCTCCGATGTACTCGGGCTCGTCGTCCAGCCAACCATCTGGTTTGACTGCGTCTTCATCAGGAATCTGAGTGGGAGCATCTTCATCCCTGCAGAGAAAAGCATCAATTAAACCATTATCAGAAATTTAGAAGGGGAATGTTTTTGGTCCTTAAAGTATTTTAAAGTATTTCCCAGAGAGGAGAGTCTTTATAGGTGTGAAAAAGACCTGTAAGACGCAGAAACTGAAACCTCAGATTATCAAGCCACGTGACCCTTAACTTAAAAAAGTTAATGCAATAATTGCATTTCTTATATACCTAATAAAATCTGGGAAAGCAGGAACCTTTGTACCGACTGTTTCTTCTACACCCATAAATTTGACACACAAGTAGCACCACAGGAGTTGGTCCACTGGCTTAAAAACCATCACAGCTGAAAGGGAATACAAGTTCTGCAGCGAGGTGTACCTAACAAATACCTAAAATTGGTATGAACATCTAAGCTTTAGTGGGCTTGCATCCGGGGATGCCATAAAAAGCAATAAATATGTGGGCATTGATGGAAGTTAAGAAGGCTCTAGGACCAGAAACAGGGATCATTTATGAGAGTTACTGGCTTAATGAGAAATAGTAGCCTCAGTGAGCTAAATGTTTTTGTTTCTACTAAATGCTGCACATTGAGCAGCAATTGTTAAGCCTCTAAAAGAAATGCTGAGCTAAACTGTCACAGCTCTAAGTATTAAAAATAAAACTATCTTCTGTTAACAGGCAATATTGTTTGACTTGACTATATATTCATACAAAATTTGGTGGAAGGAATCATGGTGTAACTAATGATTATATACTGATCACACTTCTATAGAAGTTGTTTTTCCACAGATATTGTATAAAATATGGCTTTCTTTAAAAAAAGTAAGGACTGAAAATGTGTTGTTGTACATGTATAATTCGAAGGGAAAAGGGTCTGAACCAAAGAGGTGGTTTATTTTGTCCCTTATATGGTTTTCAGTTAAGATATAATTATTGTGGAGTAATTAATAAAAATCTGAATCCAGTACAACTACTTTTCTTAACCTTCTTAGTTTTAATGACCCTTAAAAAAAGGTTAACCACATTTACTGAAGTTAATCTAATAATTTTAACCCAACCCAGAGCGGGATAACCACAGTAACCATTAGAGAAGAAGAAAACAGTGGGTTCTGACCAGTCTTCAGGTTTTACGGCGTCGGGGTCCTGGATCTTTGGCCTCTCGTCCCAGTCCTCCGGTTTGTGGTCGTTGGGGTCCTCAATCTCAGCGGGGGGGTTCACAGCAGGCGTCACGTCCGTCAGTAGATTGCCGCTGTTCACCACCGTCTGATCCACCAGAACTTCAAAGCTGTTGTCGCTGTTCACCACTTTGGGGCATCAGGAATGACAGGAAAGTTATAGATTCCTTCTTGTGTGTGTTTTTGATGGTGGGGGAGGTTTGTGTGTGTGTGTGGCCTTACCCAAAGTGTACAGGTGAGTCTTTTTGTCTGTGAAGTAGGACCGCAGGTCAGCGTCTGGTTTCTTGGCATGCTTCTCTTCGTATTCGCCGGTTTTGGGATTTTTGTGCCTGAAGATGAAGTGCAGCTTATAATCTTCTCCACATTTGTCTGGTCCAAACATGATGGTGTACGGAGTCTTATCCACAAACTGATCCTGCAGGAAAGCAGCAGTTTAATCAAACCAAAACTGGTTTTGTCATTTCTTCCTGGGTGTTGGTAAATTAACCTAAAGTTGGTGTACTGACCAGGTCCAGATCAGGAGTCTCACTCAGCAGCTTGACGTAGGCGCCACCGCAGTCGATCCCAGACTGGAAGTTCACTTCATACCTGATCACAAACAGAGCAAAACCTCAGTATTTGGTTGAGATATACAGATAAGCCACCAACTAACACGTCAGGAGGAAGCTGCAGAGCTTTGGTTCAGATAGGCTCTTACTGGATGATGAGGGGCATGGCGTCAAAGGCGAAAGGTCGCAGCAGATGTGCAGAGATGGCGTGATGTTTGGCTCGGGACTTCAGGACCAGACCTTTATCACCTGGGAGCTTACTGTCCTTCATCTCTTCTACTGCCCATTTACCTGTTCATACAACAACATCATCATCATCATCATCATCATCAAGAAATCTACCAGAGGTTGAAACATCCACATGTCTGTAAATTACTTTGACAGGAATGAAATTTGATCCAATAGCAGCTGAGGTTCAGAAAAACACAACACGTTTTATACACAAAACTTAGACCAGTTTAGTGTAAATGTAGAATTTAACTAAACTAAAGAGAAAACTAAGTTTCAAAAGCAAAGTTTCATAAAATAAAAACGGACGAAAGCCAAACTAGAGACAAATCATTGACCTTCAGTTAGACTTCAGATAGTTTAAGCTAATCAGAGGAAAAAAATCCAACAAGTCCTGAAGAAATGTATCAACACCTACCATCATATTTTGCTATTTCTTCATCTGCATCATTCTTCTTGGCCTTGGACAGAACCCACCTGAAACCAACCAGCAGACCTAATCAGTGAGAGCTGTAGTGTGGATCAGAGCCAGATTAGAATCATCCTGCTTCTACGCCACCTTCTCCACACCAAGATACATTCAAATGGTTCTCTTAGCTAAAACATGCTAGCAGAACCAAAACTCATCAGGATCAGTTCTGCTCTAAAGCTGATCTCCAAGGTCCAAACTGGCTCAGATCAGACCCACCAATCTGAACCATGTTGAATGTTTTAAGTCTGTCCAGAACCAACTACATTAAATAATCTCAGGTATGTGTCTGTCCTCACCCGTCCAGGGTCCCCCGGTCAAAGGACTCTGCGAAGAAGTGTTCCCCCATTGGTTCTGGAGCCCTGTAGGTCACCTGAACAAAGAAAGGAATCACCTGTTCATTAGAGTGCTGAAAAAAAAAGAAAAAGAAAAAAAAACATTCAGCTACAGCTGATGAACAATTGTCAGAATGACATTCAGGTCTGATGCAGAGTGAACATATCAGCGCAGGTCAGTGGATCAGTAGGTCACTTTAGGTTCTGTTATCAGACTGAATGGACTGGTTAATGTGTGACAGCTGCTTCCAGGGAAGTTCTCCCAACAAAGCGCTGATAAAAGCACTTCTTATTCCTACAGATAACAGGATTATAACCACATTCCTGAAAACATCCTGAAAGAGATCCTGATAGAAGCTAAAGTCTGTCCAATCAGCAGGCGGCTCACCTTTGGTGCAGCAGTTTTTGTTGCAGGCGGGGTTTCATCCTGTTCGTCTCCCTCTAGCTCCTCCTCATCGTCCTCGGTTCCAGCCAACCCCAGATCCAGGTCGTCCTCTACGTCCACGTCCTCATCCAGATCCTGGGCCTGACAGACAGGGACCAGGCTGAGGCAGAGGAGGCCTGCCGCCAGAAGAACGAACAACAGGACCTTCTGATGCATAGTCTGCCAAGACAGAAGATTGAACTGGGCTCAGAAATACACAAAAAACATACCACAACACCAGGCTGCGGGTCCATCACCACGGAGACCAACCTGCACCCATAGGACAGATCACCTGAGCTCTTTTACCCTTAATGAGATTACACCCAATGGGATTACTGCAGCGGCCCATAGATGATTTACTGCAGCACACAGCAGGCTAAAGAGGCTCATATTTACCCACTAATCAACTGCCACCTGTGTTTACAGCCATTTAACAGCATCTGTATCTGCAGTGTGTATTTTTTTATATAACCTGCAGAAATCCTCTCAGGGGCTTTTTAACAATAATAACAAGAGCTGAGAGCGAATCTGTGTCAACTGTTTAATATTTTGATGTTAATGCATGACCCTAGAGCTGTATAGATCCCATTTCTGAAGATAACCCGATTACCTCTTCTGTTTATTGTACTAGTGAATATGTTCATTCAGGTCCTAGCACCTCTCAAGACTGCAGCCTGGTTGATCCGAATCAGGCAGTCAGGGTAACAGCAGTTAAGAGTCATTTTTACCCATTCCCACACAGTGGATCCCGACAAGGCGATATCAACACTGGATCTCAATTATGGACTCTGACATGCAGAAAGTCTGGGCCATCATTGTAGGCAGGCCTGTTCACTGAATAAAACAGGAACGTCTGTAGAGAGCCTGGGGGTCCAAATCTGACTTGTTTTCTTTTATAGAGGGATGGCATTATAGTTACTGATCAGATAATTTCCTCCTCCATAGACAGCTGATTCTCTGACTCAGGACCAGAGACTTTTTGGAAAGCCCATTCAACAATATCAATGATCCCACGATGCGCTGCAGAACATACACTCACCGGCCACTTTATTAGGTACACCTGTCCAACTGCTCGTTAACACTTCATTTCTAAGCAGCCAATCACATGGCGGCAACTCAGTGCATTTAGGCATGTATACATGGTCAAGACAATCTCCTGCAGTTCAAAGCGAGCATCAGTATGGGGAACAAAGGTGATTTGAGTGACTTTGAACGTGGCATGATTGTTGGTGCCAGAAGGGCTGGTCTGAGTATTTCAGAAACTGCTGATCTACTGGGATTTTCACGCACAACCATCTCTAGGGTTTACAGAGAATGGTCCGAAAAAGAAAAAACATCCAGTGAGCGGCAGTTCTGTGGGCGGAAATGCCTTGTTGATGCCAGAGGTCAGAGGAGAATGGCCAGACTGGTTGGAGCTGATAGAAGGGCAACAGTGACTCAAATAACCACCCGTTACAACCAAGGTGGGCAGAAGAGCATCTCTGAACGCACAGTACGTCGAACTTTGAGGCAGATGGGCTACAGCAGCAGAAGACCACACCGGGTGCCACTCCTTTCAGCTAAGAACAGGAAACTGAGGCTACAATTTGCACAAGCTCATGGAAATTGGACAATAGAAGATTGGAAAAATGTTGCCTGGTCTGATGAGTCTCGATTTCTGCTGCGACATTCGGATGGTAGGGTCAGAATTTGGTGTCTACAACATGAAAGCATGGATCCATCCTGCCTTGTATCAACGGTTCAGGCTGGTGGTGGTGGTGTCATGGTGTGGGGAATACTTTCTTGGCACTCTTTGGGCTCCTTGGTACCAATTGAGCATCGTTGCAACGCCACAGCCTACCTGAGTATTGTTGCTGACCATGTCCATCCCTTTATGACCACAATGTACCCAACTTCTGATGGCTACTTTCAGCAGGATAATGCGCCATGTCATAAAGCTGGAATCATCTCAGACTGCTTTCTTGAACATGACAATGAGTTCACTGTACTCAAATGGCCTCCACAGTCACCAGATCTCAATCCAATAGAGCATCTTTGGGATGTGGTGGAACGGGAGATTAGCATCATGGATGTGCAGACGACAAATCTGCGGCAACTGTGTGATGCCATCATGTCAATATGGACCAAACTCCCTGAGGAATGCTTCCAGCACCTTGTTGAATCTATGCCACCAAAAACTGAGGCAGTTCTGAAGGCAAAAGGGGGTCCAACCCGTTACTAGCATGGGGAACCTAATAAAGTGGCCGGTGAGTGTAGATCCTCTTAATAACTTAAAACTAAGAGTGAATTAAATATCTGCTGGATGACCTGTTTAATGTGACATGGTAAATACACCCGTCAGGATCTGGTTCTAGCAGCAGCACTGATGCCCTTTAGGTAGAAAAGCCTTAAACTCCTCAGCTTATAGTTCTATACTGAACTGAACAGGTGGAAAACAAACTCCCCTCAGGCTGGAAGAGGAAGAATCCACACATGAACATAATTTCTACATTAACAGCTGAAGTTCTTTTAAAGAAAAGTAGCATCACGTTTTCACATCAGTGAAAAAGTTTCAGTCGATCCAAGAAACCGGAACTGAGGCCTGCATGCCTTCATTAATAAACCTTGATTCTTTGCCATCCAGAAAACATGCTGAACCAGGCATATTAGCAGCCATACCTGATTTTCCTGCAGCTCACTAATAAGATTCGAGCCGCCTTCTGATTGGCTGATAAAACAGCCGTCTAATCCTGATCAGTGGAGTGAAACCAGCTGAAGTTGCTGTTATCTACCCAGACTGACGGCACCGTTGGAGCCTGGAGTTCACTGTTAATCAGATATTAGAGCCAGATCAGCCTGCAGGACATCTGTTGCTCCTCACATCACTGTCTAACTGGAGCCTAAATGGTTTCTAACTGGGTTTATGTGGAAGTTTATCTCATCACAGGATCAGTAACAGTGGAGGGCCACTGTCCAGACCAGAAACGGAACAGGAGGTTCACCACATTTTCTGCTGATGGTTCATAAACAAGTCTTGAGGATTAGTTCATAGGCAGTTAAATGAGACACCCCACCAGTTAACTTCTCACCCAGCAAGTAAGACAGGTTACTGTATAAACTGAAGTCAACGGCATCTTAGTTTCCTTCCCGAGATCTGTTACAATGCTACTTTACTGGAATAACTTAATATCAGATGGATCTTCTACTTTACTTCCACTTAGACAGAGCTCAGAAATGACGTTACCCACTGGGTCACAAACGGGGAGGGGACAGAGCAACAATGAGCCAAATTCTGACAAATCTATTGACAGGCTGCAATAATACTTTTACAGCTTTGATATGCATTACAGTCTATTATATTTTATATACATATTAGGGTTGTCAAAAGTATCGACACTGAAACGTTGTATTCGGATACAATACTCATTTTCAAAAGTATTGATACAGAGCTACCACCAGTGGCACCTAAGCAGTCATTCATCTAAAGTGCAGAATAGAGGAAAATGCACTTTCAGAACACTGTGTGATTGAATAATTCTGTGCACTTTTCAGTTTCAGACTTTTTTTTGTAACAGGTGCAGCTGCTGAGAATTATTTTTGTTTCTTAACCGGTTTGGCTAGTGTCATTGTTATGTGTGCAAAGCATAGCCAAGGAAGGAACACTTCATTTTAATTTTATAAGTTTTTTATCAAGCTTGCTTAATATTGTGCACAGCATACAACCTTTATTGTGTTTATTTATTGCATTTTATTTATTAATGAAAATATTTCTGTAGAATTTTGGAGTCTGTTTTTATCCTGGTGGTATCGAAAATGGTATCGAGTATCGAATATTTTCCTTAGTATCGGTATCTAGTTGAAAAATTTAGTATCGTGACAACCCTAATATATATATATATATATATATATATATATATATATATATATATATATATATATATATATATATATATATATATATATATATATATATAGTCAATTATATTTCATCTGCTGGAATTAAAGATACATCATTCAGCTCTAGTTTCTAACCAACTCCTATTTAAGGTCACAAAGTCCTCTGCAGATAAAAAGGACAGGATAGGTTTAAACATCAAACATGGGGAGCTGTTAACCTGTCAGCTCATCTTCCGCGCAGCTCCAATGAGCAGCAGACAGGCAAAAAAAAGAACCACGTCACTTTGGCATGGAGATAGTCTGGGTTTATTTTTTTTCAGATGCATCAGGAATCAAATTCCCTCCATTTAATAGAAATGGGGACAATTATACCAACCAGCAGCCATCAGAGCCACAACAGTTTCACTAAAGTGTTTCGTGATCAAACAAGCAGCAGATCTGAGAAATGCAGCAAAGCTAGAGAAGCTTCTGTTGCAGGTCCAACTGGAAATTTTCAGGAACAAAAAAAACCAATAGGACCAAAGACAGGACCCGGACAACTAACAGAACCAAAACAACAGAACAGGGAATGCCTTCATTACCACTTCCAGAAAAAAACAAAAAGTTAAAGACAGTCAAATGATATGAATTGATTGAATGATATTGATTTTCTCTCAAAATGAAGTGTGGATTTCCCTTTCCTGTTTGCAGCTTCCAATAATGGAAATTTTGTCAAAATAAATCAATTAATTTTAAAAAGTTAAATAGAACTTTTGTTTTATTCTGCTGTAATAAGCTTGACCAGTCAGCTGGAAAAAGGTTGATGACAGATGATAACATCTGAGGATATAAAAGGGCCTGATTATCATCACCCTCCTGTTAGACCCATTACATTTTAGACTAGATTAAAAGATACCTTTAAAAGGGGGAGAATAGAAAAAACAGTGAGGAAACTTTTCTGTGGGACATCTAACAGGTGAAAGAAAATTCAGGTCAATTGAAAACCAAGTATGAACAGGTAGCTGGTATACAGTTTTAAACCACTAAGGGCCCTGGTGTGTAGCCATCAGCTCCTTCAGCTCATCTGCAGCTACAGTATAGCAACCCCCCCCCCCCCCCGCCCCCCCCCCCCCAGGGCATCCCTGTATAGCTGCTTGTTCTGCAGGTATACTTCAGCTGCTACAGGAAGAAGGTCGCCCTGTGTACAGGACGTGCTTTTAGGCAATACTTCTAATATGTTAGCACATCTGCTACCCATCACTTTAACTGATCAATTCAAGGTGATGTTCATGTCAACCTCAAATGAACAAGCTAGCATTAGTAGTAGTTTAGTAGTGAGACAAACACTACCAACATGTTAATGAAGCAGAGAGACTGCTGATCACGTTGGTTGCCGGATGGTTCATAGGGATGTTCCAATACAACTTTTTTCATTTCCAATACGATATCAATACTGCAGTAAGTGCAGTGTGATACTAATGAAGTCCATGCAACTAATTGCATTTGCAATAGTATCACAACTAAATAAAAAGCTATTTTCAAATCACAGAGGCACTTTTTTTTTTTTTTTGGTAATATTATATTTACCAAGATTAAGTAGCTAAAACTTCCCAGTCTTTTAGGTGGCTGTAAAGACCGACGTACACTGTGCGATTTTCAGGGCGATTTTCCAGTCATGCGAGAATATTCCGATCGGGCCGACTTTCAGTTTGATTGTGTGTCATGTGTCGTGTAGTTTACAGGGAGTAACGAGCGGTGATCAGCCTCTCACGACCACCTCCTGATCAGGAATCGTGAGGTCGGGAGAATATCAAACATTTTAGATTTTCTCCCGAATGTCGTGGGCAAATGGCTCAGGGGGCATACGCAAAGAAGGATTCTTCTTTTTCTTCTTCCTCTCAATAAAACACAGCAGCGTTGCAGGGATGCAATGAGTGAAATGCAGTTCTGTCAGTAAAATTGACAGACCTTAGTAGCCACGTTTGCTCAGCCATTTCTTTTTTTCAAATACGTCGTTGCATTTTCTTTTTAGGATTTTCAGCACAAAATTGCACAAATTGCCAAGGCAGCGCGGTACACTATAGTGAGGTTAATATCTCTCTTCTATTTGTTTGGCTTCAGGATAGAGAGCTACAGAGCAGCTCCATCTCACTGCGGCAGCTGAGTCCGACGTGGATTTTAGTCATACAATGTGAGCAGGTAGATCGCATCAGAGCATCGGGCCGAACATAGATCGTGAGCTGTGAGCAGTAGCTGCGTGCAACGACAAAAATAAATAAACATAAATCGCACAGTGTACGCCCGGCTTAATGCACTTAAAGTGGCTTTGCAACCACATAGAAGGGAAGAGAGAGATGCAGCTAGAATGCAGATTCAAGCATGCAAGTAGAACTTAGCACTTTTTCCACAAAGGGTTACAGTTAAGTCCTGCAACAATAGACTCTGGTCTTTAAGATCATGAAAAAATTAACTGATCAAATACAATATATTCCGATATTGGACCGATTTCTGATAGCAATATCGGATCATCCCTTTGTGTATTTGTTTAGTTTTTAGTGAAAGGCCAGAGTATAGAACCGCTGCAGCTTTGCACTTTGTCTCCTCTTGTGAATTATATTTAACATGTACATAAAAAAACAATAAAATGACTAAGTATACACTGCTTTGTCTTAACCTGTACACATGTACCATAAGAGAAACCATAATTTCTGCCAGCCATATTTCAGAATAAAGCAATTTATGGCAACCCTCATTCCTCCATGATTGGCTCAGGAACCAGGAAGTAAACACAAGCTACACACTAGTTTCAGAATGTAACTGTAGCGGGACTTAAACATTGCTGATTGAGAGGACCGATTGATTATAAGAAATGTAATTTCCATCCAGGAGAAAAATCAGAATATTTTGGTTAATTTCACAGTAAATGTCTCATTTACTGCTCTTTTAAGGTTATAACATCAGAATATCATATGAGACCATGCCTAATTCAAAAAGAACCATTGGGAAGTGCAATTTACTGCAAGGGAACTACAGCAGGCGTGGCTTTCTCCACTCTGGCATCTGATTGGTCAGACAGTCCTCTAGCAGTGGGAGACACCCTAGGTGTAGGGAGACAGAAATGCCTACGACTGAATGAAGAAAGTGTTCAAATGCAAACTTTTCACAAAATTATGGTTTTGATAAGATTAATGTGATAAGGAGGTCCTTAAATATTTGGGTTTGTATACATTTTCACTAATCAGGATTGTTTTATTAGCAATGTAAAAATGATGGCTCTGGATTTCTTTGAGAAATTCTGTCTACATTTAAAATGAAAATATTCTGTTTTAGACCTAAAACTGGGTATTTGTTTTGTATTCTGACAAACGCATTGTTAAACAAATGCTACTTCTTTAGCATTTTATGGAAACATCTTAACATATTAATGTTTGGTGACGTTATTTCAGGTAACACGTTTTTCCCGTTTTCAATATAAACTCACGATCATAAATCACTTCATATTAAGCGCTTTAACATTACTTTAGTTGCATTAATTTAAACTCGAGCTCTTCTGTCATGCCATTTTTAAGTCTTTTTAGTTTTTCTTATTGAACCACTGGAGGCCTTTTTATGAATGTGTATCTAGGAGGAAAACACGTCTTTAAAAACCACACCCGACGACGGTCTCGTTTTAATACATATAACGGCTGCCTTCTGAGTGTAATTCTGAGCTAATCGGCTGCCCATGTTCACCTGCGGTTAATTAGCCCCAGCTAGCTGACCGCTCACACACAATTCCCAGTTTAACCACCGGAACAACCCACCACCAGTAACCAACTCCAATCCTATGTATTGATTATAAAAATGTTCCCACCGGGAAACACTGATTTTCATGTAAAGTTTACAGTAAAAACGTCAATTAATCCCTTTCTTTACTCACCTACAGCTCCGCGATGTGACCGCCTGGGAACTACTGAGGAGGGTCACGTGGGGGAATCTCAGCGAAATCGCCGCCTTCCATCGACGATGATTGGCCAACAAGACCCAGGGTCGGACGTTTCCTGTCAAATGTCAGTTGCTTATTGGCTGCAGAGAAATCTCTGTCGGACAGCCTGTCTTGAAGCTGAACCTCGTGGACGGCGATGATTGGCGCACCTGCCACAGGAAATGAACGCTGATTGGCTATAGTAAGCCTTTCGAAAGCAGAGTAATGGCGTTGGCTGAGGCTGAGAGTGAAACTAATTTTATAACAAATATCAGTAACTGAAAATGAATATTTCGGTTTGTTTATAAATACAGGAAGTCCGTAAGCTATACAAAGTGGTTTATATAGCAGTCTAGATCAATCCTCAGTAGGTTTGCTACATATTTTGATAAAATCTAATGAGGAAAAAGAAACTACTTATGATTACATTTTTTTTATAATTATTGAACTGAATTGAGGGTAAAATAGACATTTATCCTTTCATATACAGGTGCTGGTCATAAAATTAGAATATCATGAAAAAGTAGATTGATTTCAGTAATTCCATTTAAAAAGTGAAACTTGTATATTATATTCATACATTACATACAAACTCATATATTTCAGATGTTTATTTTGTTTAATTTTGATGATTACAAATGACAACAAATGAAAATCTCAAATTCATCATATCAGAAAATTAGAATATTACTGAAGACCAATAAAAACAAAGGATTTATAGAAATGTTGGCCAACTGAAAAGTATGAACATGAAAAGTATGAGCATGTACAGCACTCAGTATTTAGTTGGGCCTCCTTTGGCCTGTATTACTGCAGCAATGCGGCGTGGCATGGAGTCGATCAGTCTGTGGCACTGCTCAGGTGTTATGATAGCCCAGGTTGCTCTAATAGTGGCTTTTAGCTCTTCTGAATTGTTGGGTCTGGTGTATTGCATCTTCTTCTTCACAATACCCCATAGATTTTCTATGGGGTTAAGGTCAGGAGAGTTTGCTGGCCAATTAAGAACAGGGATACCATGGTCCTTCAACCAGGTACTGGTAGCTTTGGCACTGTGTGCAGGTGCCAAGTCCTGTTGGAAAATGAAATCTGCATCTCCAAAAAGTTGGTCTGCTGCAGGAAGCATGAAGTGCTCTAAAACTTCCTGGTATGTGGCTGCGTTGACCCTGGACCTCAGAAAACACAATGGACCAACACCAGCAGATGACATGGCACCCCAAACCATCACTGACTGTGGAAACTTTACACATTTGAATTGAGAAAGCTTCCTGGAGAGGTGGCGAAACGTCTTCAAATCTTGAAAACCAAGTCCAGTGGATATTTTTTGAATTTTTACGGAAAGAGAAACTTTACACTGGACTTCAAGCAACGTGGATGAAGTGCCTCTCTTCTTTTCCTCCAGACTCTGGGACCTTGATTTCCAAAGGAAATGCAAAATTTACTTTCATCAGAGAACATGACTTTGGACCACTCACCAGCAGTCCAGTCCTGTTTCTCTTTAGCCCAGGCAAGACGCTTCTGACGCTGTCTGTGGTTCAAGAGTGGCTTGACACAAGGAATGCGACAGCAGAAACCCATGTCTTTCATACGTCTGTGTGTGGTGGTTCTTGAAGCACTCACTCCAGCTGCAGTCCACTCTTTGTGAATCTCCCCCACATTTTTGAATGGGTTTTGTTTCACAATCCTCTCCAGGGTGCGGTTATCTCTCTTGCTTGTACACTTTTTTCGACCACATCTTTTCCTTCCCTTCGCCTCTCTATTAATGTGCTTGGACACTGAGCTCTGTGAACAGCCAGCCTCTTTAGCGATGACCTTTTGTGTCTTGCCCTCCTTGTGCAAGGTGTCGATGGTCGTCTTTTGGACAACTGTCAAGTCAGCAGTCTTCCCCATGATTGTGTAGCCTATAGAACTAGACTGAAAGACCATTTAAAGGCTTTTGCAGGTGGTTTGAGTTAATTAGCTGATTAGAGTGTGGCACCAGGGGCCATCAATTTTGAACCTTTTCACAATATTCTAATTTTCTGATATGATGAATTTGAGATTTTCATTTGTTGTCATTTGTAATCATCAAAATTAAACCAAAATAAACATCTGAAATATATGAGTTTGTATGTAATGTATGAATATAATATACAAGTTTCACTTTTTAAATGGAATTACTGAAATCAATCTACTTTTTCATGATATTCTAATTTTATGACCAGCACCTGTATTAAAAAAAAACTGATGAGAACATTTTTTGTTATAATTCATACTCCACACTCTATAAAGCAGGCACCCCACTATAAAAGCAGTATACTTTTTTATACTATCTGGTACTGTAGGAAGATGTTAGCTTCAGCATGGTAAACTGAGCAAAGGATGGGTCACCATACATTATCCTGAAATACAGTCACAGTGGCCTAACTAACAACTTGGAGCACATTTAATCATATTACATTTTATGAAGTACCATGGGAAATGAGTGGTAAGAATGTGTTTGGACAGTTTGTGACCAGGCAGGGAAAATGACTGTTTTCGGCTGGTTTAAGCATTTTACGATTGTTATGATAGCCTAAAGCATTGATAACTCTAATTTTCTATGTGGGCATTGCTTCTGTTGTTTTTTTTTTAAAGACTGCTGCTGTTCTAAGTTTGACAGAACAACCTCAATTAGACTATTGCTTTGTTGAATGGATCAGATGGATCCTAATATTTGAATTTTTCCTGACAATACTCTGCATGAGCTTTACCCCTTTTCCGCGGATGACATTTCCTGCCTGTGAAGACTGCAGGGATTCAAAATTCAGTACAGAACAGAACCATGGATTGACAGTTACACAGATGTTTCAGGCTCAGATTTTCAACTAGTGTTATGTTCCTGCATGAGGTGGGATAGGCTGAAAAAAGATTAGATAATACTGTTTATAATAAGCCCCAAAAATCTATGACAGCAGTGTTACTATTGAGTATGAATGAGAATGAAGGGAAATTGAAGGGACTTTTTATGTTTTACATATTTATTATTTTAGAAAACCACTGAAATTTTTCAAATAAGGTCATCATTTCAAAAAAGTGTTCAAAAAATGATAAACTGGGCCAAAAAACAGAGATCAACAAAACAGAATCCAATTCAGGCTTTAACATAAAGGACTCACGCACAAACTGATCTAACAAACAGGACATGAGGGAAACTTAAATAGTGGCTGATCAGACCACTGTTGACACACAAGGGGGATAACTGACTAACAAACTAATAAACTTGATTAAACAGATAAATACTGGCCAGAAACTAAATACACTACAATTTTAAATTTAACTAATTAACAACATTATCCAAACAAAGAATATTTAAAGAAATGATAAACAAATTTCCCTTCCCATTACAAATGGTTTGACCTGCTGATTAGCCTGCAACAACCAATTGAGGAAAGCTGGAGCTCATTGCAGCCCTCCACCAGCAGATCCAAAGGAAACTGGCAACTTAAAGAAAAAAGAAATTAATCAATTACATCTTGACAAAAAAACAACCTGACAAATAAAGTTAACTAAATGTGTGCACTGCAAAAAGCTAACTTAAAGTCACGCTAATGAAAATATATGAAATGTGCAACTCATTTTGAAAATGAAAAAATGTAAATGTTAACACACAGCTTCAGAGTGTGACAGCAGGCTGTCACATGGACTATATAATAATTGATATGTAGGCTGATAAAAAAAAAAATACCATAACATGCAGATAATGTAACAGAATCACATACAAACTCATTGATAGATTTAATCACTTAATTGAGACTTAATTAGATAAGAATATCAGAACAATCCAGACTTGATCTTGGTTTTGTTCTGGTATCTGTTTGGGATCATCACTGATCTGATCATTGTTTGGAACGCCCACCTTGGCACAAGTCTTATTCTTCTGACTGTACGATCATGAAGTTAAAGGATTTGGAATTAATCCTCATTGATTATTCCATCCAAATTCAGAAATGAACCAAAACATAGAATTTGAATTTTCACTGCCACAAACTAGCGAAGCAAATAGGCAATGAAAGCATGAATGTACATGGAAGACTTGGAAGAAAACTAAAAATATACAAAAAATCACCAAAAAACAGATTCATAAAAGGAATTCAGTGCAGTTTGTTAAAAAGAAAAACAGATCCCAATGTAAATATCATCTTACTAGAGAGCTGTAGTATTCTAAGTTTCCAAACCTTATTTTGTCTCCTCCAAGGATACGTCTTGTCAGACTTTTTCAAATGTTCTGATGATTTATCTCTACAAGAAGGAAAAGAGAGTCCTGACTCTCTTTTGACTCTGAGTCCTGACTCTGGGAGCAGCTGTGTCAAAATCCAAGCCAAGGAAGTAGAATCATTCTCCAGAAGCATTGCATACATCAAATACACTAGTGAAGGTTCAATAAGCTTCCTGTTGCAAATGGAAGGAGACTGAACCTGCAAGATTGAGGTTTATTGGAAACCAACCCAAACAGGCCACTACCTTCTGTTTACCTCTTATCACCCACAAGAACAAAATATATCATCATAACTTTATGCCACAATGGCAGAAGGACATAAAAAAATAGTAATAATCAAAAAACTCTACATTCCTTTATTTCGACTCTGCCTTTCTAAGAATGATGAGGAAACCTAGAAAACACCACACAAGAGAGAGAATAAACATGTTTTTATTTAGAGTGAGCCAAATAAAACTCTGTTGGAAGGTGTTTGAGATCTGAAGGTCCAAGAAAGAGACCAGTGGCTGCTAGAGAAAATGTTACACAGGAGGGCAAAGGAGGCGCAAAAGGTCTATACTGTAGCTATAGCTATAGCTGGACCTCTACTTTGAAATATGTAAGAAAAATCTAAATAAGTCACCAAAACATACCAAAATATTTAAAAACTATTTATTCAGTCATTTTCTTTACTCAGAAACAAAAAGATTTATTTAGTTAAAGGCCGACTGATTAAAGCAAACATGACACAAAAAGCTGAAGGAATTTTTTGAGAACCATTAAAAAAAAGGACAAATTTAAGTCATCACTTCTTTGAGAGCTTGAGGAAACAATTGTTGTGCTGGATTTCAAAATGCCACAAAGAGAACCTACGGTAATCTATTGCTGTGACCCGCT